TTTATCATTCTCTTGCAGTTTTATGCTTTTTACAACATAAGTTGTATCTATAAACAATATACGGTATAGGATAGCATTGTTTAAACTTTATATAAGTGGACTTCTACTATTCTTTCCTCTGTAATTTGCTTCTTTCCCTGGATTGAACACCCAGGGCTTCATGAATGCTAAACATATGCTCTACCACTGAGTTACACTGGCTAGGCCTTATAATTTGATTTTTCTATTCAATAATATATTTTTGTGATTTTTGTTGAATGCAGGGCCTCACACACGCTAGGAAGCACTCTTAACATGAACCTATATCCCCCGTTCTTGACTTTTTTCTTTCCTTCTTTCCTTTCTTCCTCTCTTTCTTTCAGAGACAGAGTCTCACAATATGACTCAGCCTGGCCTTGCACTCACTACATAGCCCAGGCTAGCCTGAAATTCATGGCAATTCTTCTGCCTCTGCCTCCCAAGTGCTGGGATTACAGGTGTGTACCACCATGCCTGGTCTATTTTTCTTTCTTTTTTTTTTGAGACAGAGTCTTTCTATATAGCCCAGGCTTGCCTGTTACTCATGACAGTCTATCCTCAACCTCAGAGTGCTGGAATTATGATGTTCACCATTCTCAACATCTGACTTCTCATCTTAATATGGTTATTTATATAGATGTTTTCTTAAACAGAGGACTTAGGACTGGGAATGTAACTTAGTTGTAGAGTACTTGTAGCATGTATAAGGCCTTGGATTCAACTAAGCACCAAAGTAAATAAATAAAAAGGTTTAAAAAGAGGAGTTAGAAGCCGTGCACAGTTGGAGGTTCCTGTAGTTCCAGCTCCTTGGGAGAATAAAGCAGGAAAAAAAATCCTTTGAATTAAGGAGCTTGAACCAGCTAGGTAACATAGTGAGACTGTCTTACAACATATATGTGTATGAAAACAAAAAAACATAGCATCTTATATATGATCATTTGCACTTTGCTTTTTTTTTTTAACTTAACAATGTTTCCTGGAGATCATGCTGATCAACTCACAATGATCTTCCTTGGTTTTTATTACAACTGCACAATACCCCACTAGATGGATGTAATAATTTATTCAATCAATTTCTTAGTCCTGGACATTATGTAGTTTCCAATATTTTACATTAAATAATACTGTAAAGCATATGTCAACCTCTACCTATTTCCTACCTACCTATCTACCTATATTATAATAATAATAATAAACAACAGCTTAACATATTGTTAAGCTGATCCCACTTTTATAAAATGTCCCAAGAAGGTAAATCCATAAAAACAATGTAGAGCAGTGATTGCCAGAAGTTAGAGGAGAGGGAGCAATTGGGAGTGACTTCTATTGAGTGTGTGATGATAAAATATTTTGGAAAAATTAGCTCTAGCATATTTTGTTTTATTTGTTTGTTTTTAGTTTTATCAGTACTAGAGACTGAAGCCAGAGCCTCATCTATACCAGGCAAGTTGGGTCTACCACTGAGCTATACCCAACCACTTATGAGATTCTATTCTGAGACAAGGTAAATTTCCCAGGCTGGTGTCAAATTTGTGATTCTCCTGCCTCATAGTTGAGGTTATAGATATGCACCATTAAGCTCAGCTCACATAAGTTTTTGATGCATTTCTTATGAATTATAGGCAAATTTATCAATATAAAGGGTTAATAATCTATTTATCTATGTAGCCCACAGTTATCAAGCACCTTCTGCTAAGCCTAATTTAATAAAAGATGCTGGGAGGTTGAGGAAAACAAGGTCAATAAAATATGAACCTTGAGTATCATAACAATGATGACTGAGGTCTAATGGGGAGAAGGGTGTGGTTTCCCTTTACTACTTGGTATTAATTCTCTAAGATGTATGTTTAGATTTACATTTATGTCATTATGAACAATTATCACTTCCACGAAAATATATTTAACATCAAATTATTTCTGATATTTCACTGGGTGCCATACACTCCCTAGGTTGGACCTAAGAGTTCCTTCTGAGTGATTTGCAGTCTGACAGAGATGACTACACAGGAAGTCATGTGAAGTCATTTTAATTAAAAAAATAATTTACTGAATAAATATACAAACATCACATTAAATGCTTGAGTGAAATATATGCCACAGCATTTTTTTAAAAGCAGAGATGAGAATAATTAACGCTTCTCTCTAGTTAAGTCTGGAAAGTGATTATCTCAGAAAATAGATGATGAAAGAAGCAACACAAAATCTGCAGAGGGAGAAAAGAAGGCAATTCTATAACTTGATTTGAAGCCCTGAATTGCTCTCACCATCTTCTTTTGACTGATGTTCCTCTATTCTGTTTTGCTTGATAGTACCAGGTTTGAAAGTTTAGGCAACAGCTGTGAAGATAGTGGGATTCATTATGACGCCCATTCTGGTTGACTATTATCTACTTTTGAAGACCTGTAATGTCTCCAATGTTTTGGTTTTGTTGGTTTCATTCTTTACTGTTTTGTTCAATTTTATTATAACTGATGATATAGGCAATTCTATTGGAGATAGCGGGAGGCATTATGGTAACCATTGTTGATCACCTTGTATTATATTTTTACATTATCTATTATGTCCACCCTTTTGATTTGACCGATTCTGTTCTGTTATGTCACATTTGGTTTTACTTTCTTCCAAGAAAGTAATAAGAACTGTGGGAGTAATAAAACCCAAAAAGTATAATAGTCATTGTACAAAAGAGAGGAAAAGAAAGTGCTCTAAATGATATAACTGCATGTATATTTAAGTGCATACGATAGACAATATTACTGTTTTGTTGGGTCATTGAACAGAACTGTTTGCAGTCTCACTGTTTGAATGTCCACTTTATATGCTTTAATTTTGTAACTTGAACAAATATTTCTAAGATGACAATATGTAATCCATTAACTAGTGATTTTCTACTGTTTATTTTTTTTCTGAAATTCTGTATAACTTGTACCCTTTTTCTGCTTTTTTTTCTTTTTCTCCTTAACTAAAATTAAAAAAAAAAAGAAGGCAATTCCAAAATTTATGGTAAATGTATCAAAAGATGCTTGGACTCAGGTAGAGTTTGCTTCTCTACTTGCTAGTTAGTTAACTTAATACTCAATTGATTTAACCTTAGTTTTTTCATTTATAAAATGAGAATGAAAAAAAAATATATAAAATGAGAATGAGAGTAAGAGGATTGTTTTGAAAATTAAATTATATAGGGGAAAAAATTACACAAGGCATTATCGAACTCAAAGGAGATTTTAGCTAAATGACAGTAGTGTTAGAAGCGTTAGAAAAATTTTAGAAGTAGAGGAGAAAAGCCGGGTGTGGTGGCATACATGCCTCTAATTTCAACACTTAGGAGGCCGAGCCACCAGCATTACTGCAAGCTCAGCCTGCGCTATTTAGTGAGTTCAAGGTCAGCCTGAACTACAGTGAGACCCTGTCTCAAACAAAACAAGTAGAGGAGAAACAAGAGTAAAAGAACACTTGTAAATCCTCCACTCATTCCTTGAATTTTTGGAGACAGAAACTCATTCTAGGGGGGAAAAAAAGCACAATTCTTACAAGGAATTCATTGACTCTAGACTCAAGAAAGCCAGAACTAATTTAATACTATAGGACTTTTGGTTTTGGTACTTCAAAAGACTATTTTTAAAAAAATCATATTTTAGAATACTTTTATTTTCTATTATTTTTAGTCTGAGCATTTTCTTTTTCATCCAATGGTACAAATTATTATAATAAAAGGTTATTGCAGGTTTCTGTACATGACAGATAAAAAAAGATGAGCACCATCCTAAATTCTGCCACTCAAGAGGGTGAGGTAGAAGGATCTCCCATTTGGGACCAGCCAGCCTTGGGCTATGTGGCAAGCTCAAGGTTTGTGTTGACGATATATATTGTAAGGCCTCTGTCTCAAAAAATTAATTCCTGGCAGGGGATTTAGCTCAGCGGCATAAGGGCCTGCCTTGCAAGCACGCAATCGTGAGTTCTATCCCCCGTATTAAAAAAAAAAAAAAAATTCCTGCCTGAAGATATTTGCAAGTCCAGCATGGTGGCAAATGTCTGTGATACCATGACTCTTCTGGCTGAGAGGGTAGGAATGTAAATTTCAAGCCCAGCCTGGATGACTTAGTGATTTGTCTAGACCCTGTCTTGTAATTTTAAAAACTTTAAAAAGGCTGGGACTGTAGCTCGGTACGAAAGACCTTGGTTCAATCCCCCATACCGCCCTGGCCCTTTCCCACACTAATCTAGTGCCATCCAGAAGCTTCCATCCAGCAGCTTTCCTAAGCAGTAAGCCTCAGGACTATTTGATTGCTTTCCCTTTGCTGATCACGCCAGTCATCTTTTAGGTACTCAATACCATGATTTGTGCTGCACCATCAGGTCCCACATGAATTCAACATAAACAGCAATTCTTGGATGTATTTGCCTAATTCTCTTAGGGTTTGAGCAATACCAAGCTGACCTAGGAAAAAAGCCTTGTTCAATGTAGTCCAACATAATAGGAGGCACTTACTAATTAATGAAATTGAGAAATCAAGCCATATTGAATAATTCATTTTTGAGGAATTTAGAATGCTTAGTGAATGAATACTAAATCATGTCATAGAGATGAGCAGAAAGAGTTTTAAGTTTAGCACTGCTCCTAACTGGCTGAAAGTGAGCAGTTGATTCAGATGTATCAGCTCTTTGGCCCTTAGCATCCCGATCTACAAAGCAAGGGATAGGCCAGATGGTCCTGATCAGTGTAATTTCCCAAACCGCTCCTCACGGGGGTCCACAAGAATAAAATCCTTCAAGGTTGGCTACATGTGAATTCAAGGGCCAAACTGAACTATTTGCTCTTGGGTCCAGGCAGTAACAGGGCCACAAAGCACCGATTCTGGTTAATTCATCAATGCACTTTGCTCACACTAGTGACTCTTCTTTTGAAACTGTATTTTCCCCACCCCTCTCCGAAAAGTAGAACGCTCGGGGAAGGCAGCAGAGCGCCAGACTGGGTTTTGCGCCTGCGTAGTGAACTCGGAGAGCAGACATCGCGCTGCCAGCCAGCCCCTCACTTCGCGTCAAATCCCGCGAGATCTCCCACCCTCGACCTCAACCTTGGCGAAGGAGAAGTGAGTCGGTCGGTAGTGGCCGCTGAGTCTGCAGCACCTGCCTCTGCAGTACCCTAAGCTGAGTAAAGCTCGCGCGGTAAGGGAGGAAAGTACTAACTAGAGTGAACTCGCGGCCTCTCGCTAGAGGTGCTGGCGACACTGGCGTCACTGCCTAGGACCCTAGGATAGGGAATACTGGAGAAGCAAGTGTTTTTTTGTTGGTTTGTTTTTAAGAATTGGCAGGATAAACAACCTCAAGTTTGGACATTATTGTATTTGAGGTGCTTTTGGGACTTTCATTTAACTCTTGTCTGTTTAGCACCTTGTGCCAGATTAGGAGGCGGACTTAATTCTGCATAGTGTGGACACAGATCTTTATCGCTTTGGTGCCAGCAGTCTAGAAAGTCAGTTTAAAAGTCTGAACCAGAGACGCCACTTGTTAGTACTGTAATTTGCATTTAAGTGGTTGATAGTGGAAGCTATGGAGGAAGGTGAGGTCACTGAGAATGGGAAGAGCCATGTGAGACTGGGGAGAGACAGGATCAGGACTCAGCAAAGGGCAACAGAGAGTTGTAGCAAAATAATCCAACAAAATAAGGATAGAGACACATATTAAAAGATGGTAGAGGCCAGGGGTGCAGCTTAGTACTGAGGCAGAGTGCTTATGTATTAGGACGTTCATGTTGGAGAAAATGGTATATGAGAATGGGTTCTAATGTGCCATTATTTGCCCTCTTCTCTCCTTTCAAGGATATGCTTCATGAAGCAGGCTTGAGTTGAGAGAAGAGACTTTTTAAGATCCTATTTGATTAGTACCAGGACACTTAACTCTGCTTCTTGTGTAGTGATCTTTCCCTTATACAAGGCTGCAAAGTAGATTCTCAACACGCTGTTTATGACCGGTACCAGAGAAATTTTTTAGTTGATCACCCATCTGGTATTTTGGTATGTTACCTAGCACCAGTTAGGAATCCACTTAATATCATACGTGACAACTAGAATTCAGATCTTGAATTTGGCATATCTTATTTTAGATGTTAATTTTGTGATAAAGCAAGTTGTTTATAGTTTTAATGTATTGCTTGCTTGTGCTGTTGAGAACTATTGCACAGTTGTCTTCATTAGTTAGTTGTATTTGGCACTTGAAAATTTTGTAATGTAGGGCTGGGCTGTAGCTCAGAGGCATAAGTGTCTGCCTGGCAAGCGTGAGGTCATGAGTTTGATCTCTAGCAGCAAAAAAAAAAAAAAAAAAAAAAAAAATTTATAATACGGAGGGAGACAGCTATAACAATGTACTTTCCTTTCCAATAAGCAGTATTTGGAGAAATCTACAATTACATATGCTTTAAAGAAATAAAGCATACTGTTCAAAGTAGAGATGGGGACAAGTATGAAATCTCATTTGGAAAGATTCCTTTGGAATCATCATAGTGCAATTAATAATCAGTATGGATAGTCTGTAAGCACTTTATTTGGAAAAACTTTGCTTACATAACTTAACACATGGTGATTCAGTAGACATTTTCCCTCTGAATTTTATGATGTGTTGAAATAGGGTGCACACATCATAACCTTTAAGGATTCTTGTTGAAGAAAATTGGATCAGAATCTAGTTAAGCCCCCCCACCCAAACAAAATCACAATGCATGCCTGTAATTCCAGCACTCCAGAGGTTGGAGTTCAAGACCAGTTTGAATTACAAAGTGAAACTGTCTCCTTTCTTTTTTCTTTTCTTTCTTTTTTTTTGAGGCAAGGTGTTGCTGTGTAGTTCAGGATGGCCTTGAACTCACAGCAATCCTCCTGCCTCAGTCTCTTGAGTGCTGGGATTACAGGCATGTACCACCACACCTGGCAAGACCCTGTCTCAAAAAACAAAACAAAAAAATCAAGCCCCTAGATCTATGCAACAAGTCACAGGTATGGGGAGGTGATAGAAAAGCAAAGCAAATGACACTAGAAGCAAGCAATCAGAGGATGTTTTATATACAAAGGAATAAAGAAACCAGGCCATGGCATGACATAGATTCAAAATGTAGCATGTAACAAGCTGGCCGTGGTGGCACATGCTTGTAATCCCAGCACTCAGGAGGCATCAGGATCATTGCAAGTTAAGACTAGCCTGGGCTGCACAGTGAACTCAATGACAGCCTGAACTGCATGGTGAGACCCTATCTCAAAATGACAAAAACAACAACAACAACTAACTCTTAACAAAGCATGTGAATTTTGAATCCAGATTCTAATGAATCAACTGTAAAAAAAAAAATCTTTGAAGCAATCAAAGGGATTTGAGTATGCACTGGGTGTTAATTGACTGTATTATTAATTATTTTAGGTATAATAGTATAATTTCTGTTATCAGAAGTGCTTACTTCAAGAGTTTTTGAGTGAAATGGAACGAGTCTGGGATTGTTGGGGTTTTTAGGGGGGAGAGGATTTGTTTTAAGGGAAAGCTGGAAAATACAGTTTTAACTGAGCAATACTATGTCCAGAGGCAAAGAATGCGTATTGAGGCTAACTAGCCATGTTTGCCATGACTAGTGAGACTATAAATATATACCTTATAAAATATAATGAAGCAGGGCTGGGGATTTAGCTCAGCGGCATAAGCGCCTGCCTTGGAAGCAGGCAGTCGTGAGTGAGTTCGATCCCCGGTACCGATAAAAAGACAAAAAAATAATAATAATAATGAAGCAAAAAGGATGTATTTCTGTGTTTTTCATTCTGTTTTACAGAATATCACCAACATTATACATTTAAGTTCTTTCCAGGGAAGGGGATGCTGGGAATCTGTTGTGGCTTGTATCTAGATCTCCCCCCAAAACCTCATGCGGTCATAGGTGGAGCTTCATCAGAGGTGGCTGGAGCTAGAGTATATGACACTGGGATTGATTCATGGCTCAATGCTAGGATCAAGGGCACTGGAATTACGGGGGTGAGTGCTACCTAAGTAGCCTGAATAAGATATAAGGGATAGAAAGAGCTGTGTTCATCCCTTGCTTCACTGTTGATTTGCTACCTTCTGCCTGCTGTGAATTTTTTGTTCTCTGTGATACCCTTCTGCTATGTGCCACCCTGCCTTAGAGCCAGCTGGTAATGGACTGAAACCTCTACAGGCTGTAAGCTGAATAAACCTTTCCTGCTTTAACTTTGGGTGTCAGGTATTTTGTCTCAACAACAAGGGAGAAGTAACTAAGAATTAAACTAAGGGCCTCATAAATGTTAATACAAGCACTCTACTGCTGGGCCACACCCCCTAGCTCTAGACATTTACAATAGTTCTTAACCAGTAGAAGCCTTCTGTAGCATGGGGTACCTGCAGGAGAGTTGGCAGTCACTGTGGCTCTATATGCAAAAGCCCTGTTTGAGGGAGATTTTGCAGAAAGAGTAGAAAATGCTGAAATATGAGCTCTGGACTGAGGATATTTGTGTTTCAATCCCAGTTCTTCTCCTTACCTGTATTCTGATCTTGAGCACAAATTCTTAAAAATAAGAATAGTAATAAACACTCATCTCATAGCCACTAAGGATTGGTTCCAGAATCCTGCTCCTTATGGATACCAACATTTGCGGATGTTGAAATCCCTTATATAAAATGGAGTAGTACTTGCACATAAGTCCCACGTATCTTCTTATATTCTTTAAATCATCTCATCTCTAAGTTGTTCATAATACCAAATGCTCTACAATGTAAATGCTAGACAAGTAATTTTTTTGTATTTTTACCGGTACCAGGGATCAAACTCACGACCACAGGTTTGCAAGGCAGGTGCTTATGCCGCTGAGCTAAATCTCCAGCCCTTAGACAAGTAATTGTTAAGTAGTTGAATTTTTTAAGGAATAATAATAAAACATCTGTACATATTCCACACAGACTAAATGTTCCTTTTTTTTTTTTTTTTTGGTGGTACCAGGGATCAAGCTCATGACTTTGCATTTGCCAGACAGGCACTTATGCCACTGAGCTAAATCCCCGGCCTCAGACTAAATACTCTTTCAAAGTACTGTCAATTTAGAGTTGGTCAAATCTGCAGATGTGAACTTAAGGATATGGTGAATAGTTTATTACAGCTGAGCATGATGGTACATGCCTGTAATCCTCATATTTGGGAGGCTGAGACAGGAGGATTGCTTTGAGTTCAAAGTCAGCCTGAGATACACAGAGTTCAAAACTAGCCTGTACCATATAGCAAGACCCTGTCACAAATATAAACAAAAAAATCTATTACAGGAAAAGACACATTGTCATTAATTCCCATCAAAATACTACTCCTCCCTTCAAACATACTTATCCTGTCATTCTTGCCACTTTCTGAAGCAGCTCTGGAAGTCCTCTTTTGTGATTAAAAAAAATATATGGTGAATGCAGCTACCAAGCACCATTTAGTGGAAAGGTAGATTCATAAAAACATGGAGTGTCCTCACTCACCTGATCCACTATAGCTGATAGTGTGCAACTGCTGGCTCTTCCCCAGTGTCCCAAATGACCATGAAAAGTAAGCATTTTGAACCAATTCAGGATATGAAGGCAGCCACAACAGTGCAACTAAAGACATTCACAAAAGAGGACTTCAGAACTGCTTCAGGAAGTGTCAAGAACGATTGAGTAAATATGTCTGAAACAAGGGGGAATATTCCGAGGGCAATTCATAACGATGTATCTATGACTGTAATAAATTGTTCTTTATTTAAACATTCATCCTATTGCAAAGGGCCTGTATTCAATTCCCATTACCACCACCATCACCACTTAAAAAAAAAAAAAAAAGAAACAAAAAAACCAATTGATAGAACGGTTTTCCTTTGGGCTTTTCAATGTATTCGGTAATAAAGATAGTAAAATTCTAATGAGAAAACACAAGTGGTATAGAAATGTATTAACTTGGGCTGGGATTTAGCTCAGTGGCACAGTGCCTGCCTGGCAAGCACAAGGTTGTGAGTTCAATCCCTGGTTCCCCCCAAAAAAAGAAATGTATAACTTAAGAATAACATTAACAAGAATAACATTTAATATCTTAAAAATCAAATACACAGGTAGGGTAGACTTTTTAATAGTAATTAAGAGGAATGTCGTGGGGCTGGAGATTTAGCTCAGCGGCACAAGCACCTGCCTTGCAAGTAGGCAGTCGTGAGTGAGTTCGATCCCGGGTACTGATAAAAAGGAAAAAGACAAAAAAAAAAAAAAAAAGAGGAATGTGGGTTTATACTGGACCACTTCAGTAAGTGCTTAAGTCCTTTAAGATACAGATTCTTCATCTTTAAATGGGGAAATAGTGCTCAGTAAAGTTGTTAGGAGACTAACTGACAGATCATCTATACAACCACAGCTATGCCTGGCCCACAGAAATGCTATGAGTTTGGTGGGTTTTTTTCATTTTTATTGATGAAGCAAAGGAATTCTCAACAAGTCAGATAGTTCCAGCACTGAAATTTCGTTTTGCTGCTTTCATTAGCTCAAATTGTAAACCCAGAATAAATGAATCTTTTACTTACCTTTCTGGCCATCCTATACAGAATTTCTTATAAAAATGAAGATTTAAAAATGCTTTGGGACATGGTAGCAATCACCTATAGTCCAGGTATGTGGAAAGCTGAGGCAAGAGGCTCACCTGAGTTCAGGGGTTTAAGGCCAGTCTGGGCAATGTAGAAAGACTTGTCTCACAAAGGGAGAGAAGGGTTTTACTCTTCTTGTTACTCTTCTTGTTGCTGAAACAAAATACACAACGCTCACAAGTTAAAGGAAGGGAAGTTTGTTGGCTCACATTTTGTGGAGTCCAGTCCCTTAGTAAGCTCGCTCCCCCCAAGGCAGGGTGCAGCGGCACAGGACCATCACGGAAGAGAAACAGTTCATGGTGTGGCAGGCAAAAGACAACATGCAGCAAGCCTGCCTTTCCTTTTTATCTCAGACTCGAAGGCTTTTGGGTGGTGCCCTCACACCCAAGCGGCTTCTGCTTTCAATAAATCCATTCAGCCACAGCCAGAATGATGGTAATTCCAATCAGTGGACTAATTTAGTACCACACTCCCTTGATCCCAGTGTTATATGCCCTACATCCAGCAAGCTCCAAAAATGCCTACCTACGTGTGCAGGGGTTTTAGAGGGCCATCTGGAAATAAGCCATAAAAATAAGCCATGCTATGGGGGCTTAATGTAGTACTTTTGTAGTCAGCAAAACTATAAAAGAATTTCCATTTTGATAAATGAATACAAGAACCTTTTAAAGGTTGGTTACTTTTCAACTAGGCAGTTTATGTTTTGCTGCTAGATTAACCAGCTAGCTCTAGAGGAATATGTCATTTTTAAAATCAAACCATAGTAGGATGCTTAAGCATGACGGTGTGAAGACAAATATGCTTGAATTATCTGAGTTGAAAATGAGATTGCCTTATTCAGTCTTCAGTGAACTTGCTGTTAGCTAAAAAGTCTAATGAGATTTGCTTTGGGAGCCTAACTCTTGATAGGAGAGTATTTCTTTTTTTAATTCTACGTAGGATTTTTCATTTCTTCATTTCAAAGCACAAATGGGCTTCTTTTTTGCTTTTTAAAATTGTCAAATACTTGAAATCTTTTTTGTGATTTAAATTTTTTCTATTTATAGGAGTTATTTTATATAGAAATCCTGTGGCACCCCTGTACGGAGTGATGATTATACAAAGAGTGGTATTGAATTCCCGACCTGGTATGTATTCATCTATGATCAATGAACAATTCTGATCTTTGTTAGTTATTAATGCAAATGGAGGAATAAAAACTAATTATGGTTGGATATGATAGTATATGCCTGTAATCTTAGCATTTGGGAAGCTGAGGCAGGAGGACCACTATGAAATGAGTTCAAGGCCAGCCTAGACTACGTAGTGAGGCTGTCTCAAAAAAAAAAGGAAAGAAAAAACCCCAAAACTAATTATGATGCCAGTGTGGTAAATTAAGGCAGTAAGATATTAAGACCATAAATAATACTAGATGAAATTCTTTGAACAGTGTACCAGTGGTGAGATAAACTACCATAGAATCTTAATATTTGAAAGGAAGCTGTATTGCAAATATTGTAACTTGTGTTTTTTTCTTCATAGTAGGTTATTTTTGATTCTTACAGTTTGCTTTTCTATTTTATGTGAAGCATACTGACATCTGTCAGTGCTGAGTCATAGAAACTTAGGCATAGAAGTAACCTGAGAAGTTTGGGCCCATATTTGCCTTGGTTTTGCTGCTTAGCTACTGTGTGACCCAAGGAAGCCATCCAAATTTTCTGTCCTCAGTTTCAGTAAAAAAAAAAAAAAAAAAAAGTTGAGTGGTTTTGTTTTATTTTTCAAACTCCTATTTTACACTATACTGTGTGAAATGATTTACCTGTTGTCATTTTATAAAAAACAAAATTACAAGCTGACAGCAGTATTCCAAAAGAATAGAAAAGGAATCAAGAATGATGGGACTTTTAGAATTTATGCAGAGTCATTTCTGCAGTCACAGAGAAGTTACAAGACAGTATAGATTTATTTGTGCTTATTTTAAAAGAGAGTGTTCTGAGTCCTAGGGCGACCTTTTAAAATATAGTAATTATATAGGAGAAAGACTTTTTGACTTTATATTTTTGCCTGATATTGTAGGAAAAAATGGCAATCCGGTGGCAGAGAATTTCCGAATGGAAGAAGTCAACTTGCCAGATACTGTCAATGAAGGGCAAGTACAAGTCAGAACTCTTTATCTTTCTGTGGATCCTTACATGGTAAGAACTAAGACATGAGTTGGTGAAAATATTTCTGTTTTCATGTCATTGTCTCAGAATTTTATTGTCTAATCCTTGTGATTGATATTTGAGTAGTTAACTCTTGATTTCCATGCATTACAGATTGCCTTTGTTTTTATTTACTGTTGATATTTGCTCTTTTTTTTTTTTTTTTAAACTTTTTATCGGTACTAGGGATCAAACTCACGACCGCCTGCTTGCAAGGCAGGTGCTTATGCCGCTAAGCTAAATCCCCAGCCCCTTTTACTGTTGATATTAAGAATGTTGTAGAAGGCATGAATTTTTTATAATGGTAATACATGTAGTCAGGTTCTTCCAAATATCCGTATCACTTCCCAGGACTAAATAAAGATTGAAAATATTAAAATACAATTGGAAATTCAGATCTGGTTTCAAGGCAGGATGTGTACAAGGTCTTTATTCTACTCGACCTCTTTTTGAAAGGAACAGACTCATTTATGCTACCTCTAGATAAAAGGAGAATTCTTGGAAAGATGTGTGTTGCTGAGGACTTAGCAAAGAAACCATCAGGCATAGCGACTGAGCTTGAAGCACTGTCCTCTTGCTTTGTTTCTCTCAGAGGTCGCACAGTCTTCACTCCTAACTTTGTCTCATGGTCATGACAGAGCACGCTTCTGCCATTACTTTACCTCCTGCTAAGCCTCAATGTTTAGTATCAGTTTGTTGTGGGAGGGAACTAGATCAATTTGCCTGTTCATTTTGTTCAACTATTTCATAGGTTACTGACGCACTGTATTAGTTTCCTGTTGCTGCTATAACATATTACTTTAAGCTTACTGGCTTTAGTCAACACAAATACTTTATAAAAATATTATAATACAGTTCTAGAAATCTGAGAATCAAAATGGGCCTTATATGTCTAAAATCAAGACTTGGCAGGGCTATGTTCCTTTTGAAGGCTGTAGGGAGAATCTGTTGGCATTTCTGAATTCTAGAGACTGCCTATGGTCTTGATTCATAACCCAGCATTATTCTAACCTTTGCATCAATGGTCACATCTCTGACTGTCCTTCCTTTCTCTATAAGAGGACCCTTATGATTATATTGGTCCCACTAGGATAATCCAGGGTAGTTTTTCTTACATTGTAATCCAGGCTGGCTTTGAACTCACTATGTAGCTCAGGCTGGCTTTGAACTCATGGCAGTCCTCCTGCTTTATCCTCTGCAATGCTGGGATTATACGGATGCAACCACCGCACTCAGCTGCCATCTCAAGATGTTTATCTCAATCATACCAAAGAGTCCCTTTTGCCATATAATGTAAGAATAGTAAAAGAATCAAGAATGATGGGATGTAACATATTGACAGGTTCCAGGGACTAGGGCATGAAGATTTTGGGACCATTATTCTGCCTATCATACCAGTATGCTGGGTGTCCAGGGTTCAGGTGCCCTGACAGAATTTACTCAGCTTTGGCTGGAGGGAGAGTTGGGCAAGGGCTACCCATTAGTGGGACAGTGGCCATGAGAAGTTACAATCAGTTAGCCTGTGAGCAAGTTAAAAAGCTCATGACAGGATTTCTCACTTCAGAACAAAGGAAAGAGTACATCTTACAATGGCTCTTTGGTTCTCAAACAGGCGTGTGAGTTAGAAATCGTAGAAGGTTAAAGCACTCTTGGAAAAAATTGAATTGGCCTTAAATCACTAGAATCTAGCCCTGGGGAACTCAGGATCATTCTGTTTGCTCATATATTTGATATACCAAATCTTCCCTTCCCTGGGCTTCACTTGCCCTTCCTAATAGACGGTTCTTTGTCTGTCATTATTGAATGCCCAAAGGTGGAAAAACTATATGATTTTTTAATCTCCTTTCTCATTTGCTTTTTAGCTGGTAAAAAACTGCATCTCATAATCTCATGTTTTATTTTTCTTTTCTTTTTTGTTAAGCGCTGGGCATTAAATACAAAGCCTTGTTTGTGCTAACACTTTCTATACCATTGAGCTACACTCCCAGTGCATTATCTTTACTTTTAACATCTAAACCCTTCCCTTCTTGTTATTTAGACTCCAAGTATCTTTTTCTTATTTTTAGAGAAATTTACACTAACTGAACAGGGGCTGGGTATTTAGCTCAGCAGCATAAGCACCTGCCTGGCAAGTGCAAGGTTGTGAGTTTGATTCTCAGTATCAAATAAAATAAAATAAAATAAAAAACTTACTGAACAATTTTATGGTTTTCATTGACACTATCAACAGAATTGGATAAAGCAGGAAGTAGAAGAGTCTTTTGGAGGATGGTTTATTGGTCTGTGAGTAGCTGACAGCAATGTACAGTACTAATGTCAGTTTCCTAGTTTTGATGTTATACTACAGTTATTTATCATGTCACCACTGGGCGAAGCTGGCTAAAGGACTATGCATTTTATTTTATTTTGATGTACACAGGAATTTATTGGGCAGAATTTTAAAAGTTTACACTCAAAGAATTGGAATGAGTGTCCTTGAGAGGGAGAAGTACATTATGTCCGGGGCTAGAGGCAGTTATGTGTTTTGGCAGTGGAATGTACAGGTCTATAGAAAGTTTGGGTTTGATTTCAGGAGGAAAATCAATGGCCCAATGACTCATTTCACAAGTGAACGGACAGCCCATTTTATAGGAGAAAAAGCACAGTGTCTGTCTAACTGTATTTCTTAAAGTCAGGTTTCTGTCCTTTATCTTTTTAAATTTAAGTTTATTGGTACAATAAACCAGTACGTGATATATCTTGGTATCTCTTTTTCCCCCCAATTCCCTGCCTCCCTTCAGTCTGTCTAACCCTCCTTACTTACAGTGTTGTTCCTATTTTATCCTTATTTTTTCATTTTTTCTTTTTGCTTCCTTCCTTTCTCCTTTCCCCCTCCTTAGTTTCCACTTCGTTTTGAACAATTTCTTCCCACTTCACAATTTCTCTTACACATTTTGGTTCCAGTTTCTCACACCAGAGACACAAGGCAATATTTATACACGTGTCGGATTTATTTCATGTAAGAGTATGACCTCAGAGTCCATTCATTTAGTTATAAATGTCTCAAATTTGTCTTTTATGGCTGAGTAGTACTCCTTTGTATAATAAAACACATCTTTTTAAAGTAGTCATCAGTTGTGCATTTGGGGTGTCACTAAGATTTTGCTATTAAAAATTGTAACGATTGTCGGGCGTGGCTCATGCCTGTAATCCCAGCACTTGGGAAGCTGAGGCAGGAGGATCCTTGTGAGTTTGAGACCAGCCTGGGCTACAAAGTGAGCTCAAGGCCAGCCTGAACTGCATAGTGAGACCCCGTCTCAAAAAATACCAAAAAAAAAAAAATTGTAACTATTAAAAATAGCCAGGGATATAGCTCAGTGGCACAGAGTCTGCCTAGCAAACATGAAGTTGTGAGTTCAATTCCTGGTATCAAAGAAAAAATTGTGCTGCTATAAACATGAGTGAACATATATTGCTGTAGTATGATACTTTTAATGCTTTTGGGAAGATACCAATTAGGGAATAGTTGGGTCAAATGGGAGCTCTAGTTTAGGTTCTATGAGGAATCTCCACACTGATTTCCACAGTGGTTACACCAGTGTGTGCTCCCAGCAATTGTGGAGAAGGATTCTTTTTCCCCTGAAGACCTTCCAGCATTTGTTATTTGTTGATTTCTTTATGATAGCTATTCTTTCTGGAGTAAAATAGAATCTCAGTGTTGCTTTAATTTGCATCTCTTGAATGACCAGTAATGTTGACCATTTTTATGTATCTATTTCTTCCATCTGAGAAATGCTTATTCATTTCAGATGCTCATTTTTGGATTGGGTCTTTAAATTTGAGGCTTTGATTTTTATCAGTTCTTTCTATATTCTAGATAGTAGAATACTTCTGAGAAGTAGCTGGCAAAAATTTATTCCTACTCTTTGGGTTTTGTTCTTTTTTTTTCTTTTTCCTTTTTATCGGTACCAGGGATCAAACTCAGGACTGCCTGCTTGCAAGGCAGGCGCTTATGCCGCTGAGCTAAATGCCCAGCCCCCTGGGTTTTGTTTTCACTTTGTTGGTAATTTCCTGTGTTGTGCAAAAGCTTTTTTTTTGTGCCAGAGATTGGCAAAAGCGTTTTAATAAGATGAGATCCCAGTTGTTGATTCTTTGTGATAATTCCTTGTGATCAGGGCTGTTCATGAAGTCTTTGCCTATACCAGTGTCTTCAAAAATTCTACCTACTATCTCTTCCAGCAGATTTAGAGTTTCTGTTTTTTTATATTTACTAGTATTTTGGGTTTTGTTTTTTTTTTTTTTTTTTTTGAGACGGGGTCTCGCCATGTAGTTCAGGCTGGCCTCAAACTCATGGTGAAACTCCTGCTTCAGCCTACTGAGTGCTAGGATTACAGGTATGTGTCACCACACCTAGCTTCTGTTTTAATATTTAGATCTCTGATCCATTTCAGTTTAAGTTTAGTGCATGGTGACAGATACGGGTTTAGTTGTAGTCTTAAGCATGTAGAAAGCCAATTTTTCCAGCGCCATTTATTAAAGAGGTTATCTTTCTTCCAGTGAATGTGTTTGACACCTTTGTCAAAGATAAGGTGGCTGAGTATGCCTGGAGTTGTTTCTGAATCTTTTAATCCATGCCATTTATCTTTGAGTCTGTTATTTTGCCAGTACCATGCTGATTTAACACAATAGCTTTGTAGTATAATTTCGAGTCAGGGACTGTGATATCCGCTGCTTTGCCTTAGTTGCACAGAATTGTTTTTGCTATTCTAGGTCTCTTCTGGTTCCAAATGAATTTTAGGAATGTTTTCTGTAATTCTGTGAGATATGCTGTTGGAATTTTGTTGGAATTGCATTAAATCTGTATAAAAATTTTGGGAGTATAAGCATTGTCACTGTATTGGTTCTTCCTTTCCAAGAACAGGGGATATCTTCCCATTTCTTCCCATTTTGATATCCTCTTTGATCTCCCTTTTCAGATTACTGTAGTTTTTAAAGTAGAGATTGTTTATTTCTTTTGTTAGACTGATCCCTAAGTGTTTCATTTTTTTGGATGCTATTGTGAACGATATTGTTTCCCTAATTTTTCTCTCAGTGAGTTTGTTATTTGTATACAGGAAGACCATTCATTTTATTTATTTATTTATTTATTTTGGAACTGGGGATCGATCAAACTCACAACCTTGCACTTGGCCAGGCAGGTGCTCATGCCACTGTGCTAAATTTTCAGCCCCTAAGCCCGTTTATTTTTGATGTTGACTTTGTATCCAGTTACACTACCAAATTTGGTTATTAACTCTAGAAGTCTTCTGGTGGAGCTCTTGGGGTCTTCTATGTGAGTACTGTATCATCTGCAAATAATAATTTAACTCATTCCTTTCCTATCCCTGTTCCTTTTATTTCTTTCTCTTTTTTTTTTGGTCTTTTTCCTTTTTATGGGTACTGGGGATCAAACTCACGACCGCCTGCTTGCAAGGAAGGCGCTTATGCCACTGAGCTAAATCCCCAGCCCCCTATTTCTTTCTCTTGTGTAATTATTTTGGCTAATGTTTTCAGAACTATATTGAAGCTGGGTGTGGTAATGCATGCCTGTAATCCAGCACTTGGGAGACTGAGGCAGGAGGGTAACTGTGAGTTCAAAGCCAGCTTGAACTATATAGATAAATCATCCCTCAAAAAAGACCTAAATAAATAAATAAATAAATTGTATTGAATAAGAGTGGTGACAATGAATATCTTTGTCTTGTTCCTGATTTTAGAGTGAAAGCTTTCATTTTTTGTCCATTTAGTATGATGTTGGTGGTTGTTTTGTCATAGATGGCTTTTATTAGATTGAGATAAAGACCATCTATTTTAATTTTCTGTAAGAGTTTTATCATGAGTTCGTGTGGACTTTGTCAAATTCTTTTTCTGTGCCTAATAAGATGATCATGTGATTTTAGTTGGTTTTGTTAACATGGTGTATTACATTTACTGTTTTGCATATGTTGAACCATCCCTGTGTTTCTAGAATAAATCCTACACACTTGGCCATGACGTAAAATCTTCTTGAAGCTTTCTGGATTCCGTTTGCCAGTATCTTATCGAGAATTTTTGCATTTGTGTTCGTTAGGGAGATTGGCCTCTAGTTCCTTTTTTTGGTTGAATCCTTCTCTGGTTTTGATATTAGGGTTTGCTTGCTTCCAGGAATTAATCCAGGAGTATTGCTTCTCTTTTAATTTCTTTACAGAGTTGAAAAGTAGCAGCATTAGGTCTTCTCTAAATTTCTCGTAAAATTCAGCAGTGAGTCCATCAGGACCTGGGCTTTTCTTTGTCGGTGGCTTTGTAATTATATCTTCAATTCCATTGACTGAAAAAGGTTTATCAAGAATTTTTGTATCTTCTTGATTCAACTTTGTAATTCATATGTATCTAGGAATCTGTCCATTCTTCTGTGTTTTCCACCATATTGGAAAACAGGTTCTTGAAGCAGGTATTGATTATCTTCTGCAGGATCTGTTGTGATTTTACTCTTTTCATTCCTAATTTCATGAATTTGAGTCTTTTCTTTCCATTTGATACAGTTGGCTAAGGGTTTGTCAATTTTATTTAATCTTTCAAATAACTCTTCAATTCATTGATTCTTTATATTGTTTTCTTAGTCTCAGTTACATTAATTTTTGCTCTGATCTGTATAATTTCTTTCCCCTTAGATTTGGGCTTATCTTACTCTTTTTTTTCTGGAAGCTTGAGGTTCAACAGTAGGTTATTTATTTGAGCTTGCTGTTTTTCTGGTATAGGAATTTACTGCTCTGAATTTTCCTTCTAGGTCTGCTTTCCTTTTAGCCTATAAATTCCAATATATTGTATTAGTATTATTGTTTATTGTAGAAAGTGTCTAATTTCTTCTTTAATCTGTGGCCCATTGGTTATTCATTAGGGTGTTATTTAATTTACATGTGTTTATAAGAGTCTTGTGGTTTCCTTTGCTATTGATTCCAATTTCATTGCACTGTGGTCTGATAATATGCATGGGATGGTTTCAATTCCTTTTCCTTTACTTAAGCATGTTCTATGAGCTATTATGTGGATTTATTTTGGAGAAGGTCCCATGTGCTGTTGAGAAGAATGTGTGTTCTGTTGTTGGGTGGAGCAGTCTGTAGGTTTTGTCTTGGTTTTTTTGGTACTGGGAATTGAACTCACAACCTCTCACTTGCCAGGAAGGTGCTTATGCCACTGAGCTAAATCCCTGGCAGGTGGAACCGTCTGTAGATACCTACTAAGTCCAGTTATTCAAAGGTTTGTTTAGCTCTGATTGTCTTTGTTGACTTTTTTTGTCACATTGATCTGTTTATTTGTGACAAGGATGTATTGAGTTTCCCTGTCACAATTGTAATAGTGCTTATGTGATTTTTCATAATTTAGCATTTGTTTTATATAGTTGGGTACACCGGTATTTGGTACAAATATATTTATGATTGTTATTTCTTCCTTTTGGATTGTTCCCCTTACAAGGATGTGGTGACAGTCTTTGTCTCTTCTGATCAGTCTTGGCTTGAAGTCTGCTTTGTCTAAAAATAGAATGGCTATCCCCACTCTTTTCTGGGTTCCCATCTCATGGAATATTGTTTTCCTTTCTTTGACTTCCAGGCTGTGAATATCTTTTTGAGTTAAATATGTTTCTTGCATGTAGCATATTGTTGAATTTTGTTTCCTGATCCATTCTACCAGTCTCTTTCTTTTGATTGGTAAATTGAGACATTTATGTTGATGATTACAACTGATGTGTAGTGACTTGTCATATTATTTTTCTGTTGTTGATTCCCTTTCTTTATCTTTAATTTAATTGCTTGCCTTGCCTGGTGTATTCCCTGTATTGGGGTTCTTAGAATTGTCTTTATTGTCTTTTTTCTATAATGTCCTTTAGAACTTTTTAGAGTACTGATTTATTGGTCATGAAATTCTTTTGGTGTTCTTTATCATGGAAGTATTTTCTTTATCAATTTTGAAAGATAAATACATTAATCTGGGGTGGAGGTTGTTTTCTTAAGGATTTGTGTTGAGAGGTCTATTGTGATTCTTATGGGTTTTCCTTTACATGTTATTTATTTCTTTTCTCTTAACAGCCTTTAATATACTGTTCTTGTATTGAATTTTGGGAATCTTGACTATTACATGCCTTTCTTTTCTGATCAGGACTATTTGGAGTTTTATGTGCCTCACTTGTCTGTCTCTCAAGTTCTTTTTCGGTGCTTAGAAAGTTTCTGCTGTTACTTCTGTGAACAGATTTTTTTCAGTGCCCTTTGTGCTGTCTTGAATTTTCATCACTTCCAGTTAATTTTATACGAGTCATTTGTGTGTTGTCTGGCAGCAGCTGGATTGCTTTTTAATGGTCCCTTGCTGTCTTTAAGAGATGTTTCTTTTAATGATCACCAACCATAGGCTTGTCATCTGGATATGATGTTCTATCTTCACATTGGTTGACTCTGCTCTGTGTACTTTTAGCATAATTTTTAATCTCCTGAGCTTCCATTTGAGTCTATTTTATGGAATCCAGTCTTTTCTATGTTGGCCATACATCATTTCTTTCTATGCTCCTCTTTTTTTTTTTCTGTAGCTACTCTGGATTCACTAATCATTTCCTTCATTATGGTTGTCATGTCTTTACTTATCTCTGTTTTATGTTTGTCAACAGATTTATTGATCTGTTTTGTTAGTTCTGCCACCACCATTTCATAAAATTCAGGGTTTTTTAATGTCTTGCAGCTCAGTTGCCCCTTGATTCACCTTGTGCAAGTTGGGGTTATGGAGTGCATCTTGCTTCTCCCTGGAAGACTCTGGAGTCAAATGCCCTCACTGTGCCTCTGTAGACTCCATCCTCCTCTCTCATGCCAGAACCCAGGAGCCAGGGAGAAAGAATAAATTGTGGGCTGAGGGTATAGCTCAGTGGCATAAGCATCTGTCTGGCAAGGACAATTCTGAGTTTGATTCCCGGTACCAAAAAAAGAAGAAAAAAAAGGAAGAAAAAAAGCATATTTCCCCTGCCTTTTTTCTGCCTTGAGATCGTCTCTTTACATTCTATGTGGGCTCCAATTTTCCCTTCAGATCCTTCCTCAGTCCTGGGCATCCACCTCCCTCCTTTTCTTCTCCAAGTTATTATTTTCCAGTGTCTAGATTCTGAATCTTGGACAGGTTGATTTATTGCTGCTTATCACACTGCTATTTTCAACAAAGTCCTTTAATCTATCTTGGGTTGATATTTTTATATAGTGCAAGTCTAATTTCACTTTTCTGCCTATGGATATTGTTTTCTCAGCATTATTTTTTAGAGAAATTATCTTTTCCTCATTGTGTGCTACTGACATCATTGTTGAAAATCAGTTGCAAATGCACGTATTTCTTTCTTGATTCTGTGTATTCTATTCTCTTGGCCTGGATGTCTGTTTTCTAAGTAAGCACTATGCTGTTTTGACGACTGTAATTTAATTTCAGAACTTTACCAAGTTATTTTTTATTTATTTTTGATGTACCAGGAATGGAACCCAAGATTTTGAGTCTCCTAGGCAGGGACCTTACCACTGTGCTGTATCACCAACCTATACTTAAACCCACCCCTGCCCTCCTTTTTTGTATTCCTCCAGTACTGGGGATAGAATCTAGAACCTTTGCACTGAGCACTGAGCTACTTTTGCAACTATTTTTACTTGTATTTTGACACAGGGTCTTGCTAAATTACTAACTTGTCTAGGCTGGCCTTGAACTTGTGACCAGCCTCCCCAGAGTGTTTGGACTATAGGCATGTGCCTAGTTTTAAATTGCTTTTTATTGCACTTCTTTACTTATTAGAGATGTGCATTAGTTTTCAAAATAAAATGTGAATGGAGAAATTAAAATACATGTTATTTGTTTGACGAACACTTTTGTTAACATTACTTAGGTACTTTTCCTTTAGTCGGTGACTAAATTAGTAAATTGTGGCTCAGAACTCAACAAAATTGTCTTAACCAATTTGTTCTTTTTTTCAGCGTTGTAAGATGAATGAAGATACAGGCGCTGCTTATTTAGCACCGTGGCAGCTATCTCAGGTGGCCGATGGTGGCGGTGTTGGCGTTGTAGAAGAAAGCAAGCATACAAATTTGACTAAAGGCGACTTTGTGACTTCTTTCTATTGGCCTTGGCAAACCAGGGCTATTCTGGATGGAAGTAGCCTTGAAAAGGTGATGTGTAATGTAAAAGTATCTTTACCTCTGTACAATTCTTATTTTCTATACTTAATATTTACTTTTGTTTATCAAGAAAAAAAATTAAAGCATATATTTCTTTTAGCTAGCTGCCAAAATATAAAGAGCTTTTGTTCCTTTTACACTGTTTGCTGTGACTATATGTGACAATTTATAGATTACAAAAGAATGTTGTCACTTTGCATTTTTTGGTCCCTCAAGTAATATGTAAAATATATAAATATATTATACTAAGTACTAGAATTTCCCTTGTAGCCAGACATAGTGGCTCATGCTTGCAATCCCAGTATTCTGGGAAGCTGTGGCAGGAGGATCACAAGTTTTAGGCCAGCCCTGTCAATTTAGGAATTTAGTGGGACCCCCTGTCGATGTCCGCTCCCGGCCGGCAGGAAGGACACACGACAAAGTCTGGTAGTGGACAACCTTTTCTTTTTATTTTCCTTCTCCGTACAGCCTGCCCTGGGTTCTCCCAGCTGAAGCCTCCTCTGGTCCGCTCCCCGCGGCTCCTTTTGTGCTTCAGTCTGCCCCAAAGCCTCTACCGGTCCGCTCTCCGCGGCTCCTTTTGGGCTTCTACTTCCGGGCTTCTACCTGGCTTCTTCTTCCGCCCAGGGGTGGCACCGGTATATATACGGGTACAGTGTCCAATCATGTTAAAGTAAGCAAGGCAAGCTGATTGGCTAACATCATCAGTTGCCAGGCAGACTATATTGTTGAGCGGGTTGTTTACGCGGTAAGCAGGAAACTAACGTGCTCGATGGGAGGGGTAATCTACCTCAGGCTTTGCTCTTTACTACAGGCCTCACGTCCGCCGCGCAAGGCGAGCTATCACAGACGCGGCTCCCAACATCTCCCCCTATTTTATTTTTTATGAATGTGCGCATCGTAGCCCTTCCTGGACTGGGTGCAGAGGCTTATGCCCTATGTGTAGGTCCACCGTAGGTCCTTGGCTTAGACCCTGGTTGGCCATGCCATGGTCTGCCAAGGCCCTGAGGCCCTCGTCCTTTTTCTAGGGCCAGGCACAAACTGGACGGAACCTGGATGCACACAAGCTTGCACTCATTTCCTCTCCGTAAAGAAATCCCCTCGGAGAGAAATTTAGACCTGGGCAGCATCTAACAGTCCAGCGGCTTACGTGCAGGATGGGGTAGGGCCTGGCTTAGGTCGAGTCGTGCTGGGGAGGCACGCTCTTACCCGTCATTGACTCACCTACCCTGCTGTGTATTGTCACCTTATGGAGGAGAATGAGGGATGCCCGCCATATCTAGACTCGGTCGTGGGCCAATTGAGCAAGCCATGCATATGCCTGAGGATCTTCTTGTCCATTTCGGGCTACCGCTATTTCTATTCATCTTATTGGTTGGTCTGTGATGGATCTCCAGTAGGGCAGGTCTGATCTTCAGTCGAGGGCTTTGTTGCCCGTGTCAGTCTCTCCGGTATCCACAGTGGTTCTCGTCCCGGTTCCTGTGGGAAAACACAAACCGCGCCTCGGTTCCAGCTGACCACTGGATCCGGGCCCATCCATTGTCCTGTCATAGATAACCGCGCCTTTGGAGGCAGGCCTTGGCTTACTCCCCCTTTTTGTTTTTTATTTTTTATTTTTTATTTTTATCTTTTTCGTTTTTTTTTTTTTTTTTTTTTTTTTTATTGGTACCAGGGATCGAACTGGCGATTGCCTGCTTACAAGGCAGGCGCTTATGCCGCTAAGCTAAATCCCCAGCCCCCATTTCCTCGACCGGCGTTTTTTTCAGCCTGCTCGGCAGAGAACTCTGTGTACCAGGCTTGCCAATCCAGGTAACTGCCCGAGGGCAGACACGCCTTTGCCAGCTGAATCCAGTCCGCGGGGGTGAGGGGCCCAGAAGACAGATTCTCCAGCATGGCAATGGTGTAAGGCGCAGTCGGCCCAAAGGTTGTAACTGCATTTTTAAGTTCTCTAATCTGCTTTATCTCAAAAGGCTCCCATGCATTGCGTCCCTGGCCCATAGCTACTTGTACAGGAAATATCCCGTAGGGGCCACTATCTATCCCAGGTGGATGTACCTCATGAGACAAGCGTCCCCCCTGCCAAAGCCGCCTGTAAAAATACCGACCCGCCGGCGGCGGAGCATAAGACAGCGGCCGTGATTGGGCGGAAAATGGGGGCCCGTGCATCACTTCCTGTTCTGGCGAAAGGGGAGAGAGCTCCCAGGCGGCCGCCTCGTGGCGAGGAATCGCCTCCGGAAACGGCCCCCAAGGTGGGGCGGAAGGCTTCGCCTCCCTCTCGCGCCGGGGAGCGCTCAGGAGCTCTCTACTCCTCCGCAGACCAGGTTGAGCAGAGCGCAATTCGCGGGGCAACGCTGGAAAAGAACCCTGCGACTCCTTATTGAGCGACTTAGGCTCCTGACAGCTAGTCTCTTTGGCCTCCTTGCCATTCAACTTTCCCTCGTCCTCGGAGTCAGACGACTCCGAGGCTAGAGCCCCGTCCTCCTCCTTAGCATCCTTGTTCCCCTTGACGGACCCCTCTCGGGAGCTCCCTGACTGGGCCTGCTCAGATACCCTGCGTACTTTTGTAAGCTCTTGAGAGCTTTCTCCACAACCACCCTCGCTCTTAGTGTTGCTACCTAACATGTTTCCCATCTTTTAATATGTTACTCACCGCGTGAGGCCCAAGGAATCCGCCACTTACGCGTGAGCCTGAGGGGAGTCTAAAAGCCCTGTAGGTGCGCGCCACCCAGAGCCCAGGCTTATCCCCAACTCACCTGTCTCGCAGCTCTGTACTGGAGCGTTGTCCACTTCCACGTCTCGGGGGTGATCAGTCCCCGTACGGGCCACCAAATGTCGATGTCCGCTCCCGGCCGGCAGGAAGGACACACGACAAAGTCTGGTAGTGGACAACCTTTTCTTTTTATTTTCCTTCTCCGTACAGCCTGCCCTGGGTTCTCCCAGCTGAAGCCTCCTCTGGTCCGCTCCCCGCGGCTCCTTTTGTGCTTCAGTCTGCCCCAAAGCCTCTACCGGTCCGCTCTCCGCGGCTCCTTTTGGGCTTCTACTTCCGGGCTTCTACCTGGCTTCTTCTTCCGCCCAGGGGTGGCACCGGTATATATACGGGTACAGTGTCCAATCATGTTAAAGTAAGCAAGGCAAGCTGATTGGCTAACATCATCAGTTGCCAGGCAGACTATATTGTTGAGCGGGTTGTTTACGCGGTAAGCAGGAAACTAACGTGCTCGATGGGAGGGGTAATCTACCTCAGGCTTTGCTCTTTACTACAGGCCTCACGTCCGCCGCGCAAGGCGAGCTATCACAGACGCGGCTCCCAACAACCCCCCCCCTCAAAAAATATGGAAATAAAAAATTTTACTTTTTATTCATTTATTTTTTTGTCTTTTTGAGATACGGTATCACTCTGCGGGTCAGGCTGGCCTTGAGCTCACTTTGTAGCCCAGGCTGGTCTTGAACTTGCAGCAATCCTCCTGCCTCAGCCTCCTGAGTGCTGGGAATCCTTTTCATCCAGCCACCTATATTAATCCTGTAATGGGGAATAAATGTGTCAAGATAACTAATGCAACCTTCCTTGTTTTGCCTTTAAAAATCTTCACATTCCTTTGCCTGTCTGGGTGTGGCCACAGTTGGTCATGGTTTGTGTACCCTAAATTGTAGTCCCTTGCTGTTACAGCATAAATTGTTTCTGGAGAGCCATTCTTTCTGTCACTCAGGTTATGTTAAGGTGGCTATTCAGGAGATGTTATACAATTATGTATCAACCTAATGTTTCTAATAAGATAGATTTAACTAGAAATTTATTAGGAAGTAAGAAAGGAATATTCAGCAGCTAATGTTCTGCCTGTCAATGTGCTTATGCTTTAATAAGTGCAGCTGGCTGTTGTCCCCATTTTCAACTCAAAGCTCTTAAAAACCTTGGAATTTCCTGTGTGATAGAAATTTCCTGTGTGATAGAAATTTCCTGTGTGATAGCAATTTCCTGCATGATGACAAAGCCCCTTTCCACATATCTGAGTTTATGTTAATGAGATGACCGTGTGGGGTACCTAGATAGCCTCAGACTGGGCTGCTCAACAGAAAGACTGAGTGGAAGAGGGTTGAAGGTTAAGTTGCATAGCAACTCTTTAAGAATGAGATGGGATTGAACACATCCAGGTGCCTGGAAGGTGGTGCAGCCAGCTCCACAAGGACAGAAGCTCCTGGTTTTGGGACCCTTCTAGAACTCATCCTGTGAGTCCTTCACTTGACTTTTCATTTATGCCCGTTTACATATTTTTATAGTGAACTAGGAATCATAATGTACAGTGTTTCTCTGAGTTCTGTGAGTGATTCTTGCAAATTATCAAACTTGAGGAAGGATAGGAATCCCTGATGTATAGCCAATGAATCAAAAGTCTAGGCCTAGACTTGCAAGTGGTATCTGAAGTAGGAGCAGGTTCATGGCATTGAGGCTATTAATTCTTAGATCTTGAGATAGAGCGGTTTGGCAGGACTTTGAAGTAGCCTCCTGGTAGACAGACAGGCGCACTTGTGATAAGAGGGGAGAAGCAAATGGCTAATCAGAGCGACAAGCTACTGCACTTGCTGAGATAAGGAAGCAGGGTTTTTAGGTGCACTGCATGAGACGCCCATAAAAGTAAAGAGTCTCTTTTGTTTGGTGCTGTTGTGCCTATGGAACAGTCTGCCTTGCTGAACTGTTCTGTAGAGTATCCAGCTTTGATGTTCTGTCCTAAGCTACTGTGCCTTCACAGGATAAGTCAGCTGTGCTTCTTTCCTGTAATAAACTTTCATTTGACTTTTGCTTTAGAACTAGTCCATGTCTGACATCCATCTTACATGAGACAAGAACCCACTGTCATAACAGCAATCTGACATTAATCCAAACTGAATTGAGTTTTAGCTTGCCTAGTTAGTACACACACACACACACACACACACACACACACCCCATGCTGTCCAGAGTTTCAGGTGAGAGTATGGAAAAATTAGTGTGCTATGGTAAGAAATTGAGCAGTCAGGACAACTTGAACATGGTTTGGGAATAGGTACTAGAAATGAGAAAGAGGGATTCAGAAGCATAGGGAAATAATTGCTCAACACAATCTTATCTCACAGTATTTTTATATTGACTTTACTAGTATGCAACTATTACAACACATGAAATATTTCTGGGTATTATAGATTCTCCTGTGTGGTATAGAAATTTATGTCTTTCTTACTTTTTATCCATTTACGAGATTTAACTGATAGTCATTTAAAACTATTGAACACAAACCGTTATTTCTTTGTGGTAACTCAATGCCAAAAAAACCAAGAAAATGGGTCTTTTGGAGGTTTGTTAAACTTTTCCAAAATTATGTAACACCTTAAAAATTATTTTAACACTTGTATGGTAGAGAGTATTTTATATTTTTTTCAATTATGACTTTACAAATAAAAAAAAAGAGCAGCATAATTTTTTCTTTGTACCAGGAATTGAACTCAGGACCTTGCACTTGCCAGACAGGCGCCATGCCACTGAGCTATTTCCCCAGCCTAGCAGTACAGTTATTGATAGGATCTAGCAAACATGTTAAACATGAAATACAAAATTACAGATGACCTCATTTCTGTAATTAAACTAAAAGAAATTTTAGTACTTGTGTGTGTGTGTGCCAGGGGTTAAACGCAGGGCTTTGTACATGCACTACCACTGAGCTACACTCCAGCATGTTCCTGGACTTTTAGCATCAATAATGAAATGGTTGAAGTTTGAATTGATGGGAATTTTTTTGGTTTGGGTATATATATTTTTTTAATGGCGTCTTCTGTGTTGCCCAGGCTGGTCTTGAACTCATAATCTCAAGTATTTCTCCTGCTTTATCTTCCTGAGTACCTGGGAATACAGACATGTGCCATTACATTTGGCCTTGAGTTGATTTTTATATTTTGCATTTCTCAGAGATTTAAAAATTTTCCTGCTGGGCATGGTGATGCATGCCTATAATCCCAGCATTTGGGAGGCTGAGGCAGGAAGATTGCCACAGATTTGAGTGTAGCCTGGGCCACATAGTCAGTTCAAAGTGAACTATGTGGTAACTCATAGTGAACTATGTAGTAAGAGCCTGTCTCAAAAAATAAAATGAAACACTTTCCAAGTTTGCCTAGTGTTTTCCTAATAAGCATTTTCTGTCTTTTGATGTGCATAAGACTCGATGAGACTTTTTAAATGTAGGAATTATTTTTTCAAGTTTTTAAAATATAAAGAGAGCGATAGTTATGTTTTACTTTTTATATGTAGATTATAGAATTTTAACAGACTGAAGAATGCCTTACTGTTCTAAAAAAAAAAACCATAATGGGTAATTAGTCAGTTTGGACTACCATAACAAAATATCATAGGCCGAATAGCTTTGCTATCTGAGATGTATTTTCTATTCTCAAAGCTAGAAACCCAAGATCAGGGTTATGGAAAATCTGGTTTCCAGCCAGTTTTCTCTTCCTGGCTTGCAGATAGACACTTTCTTATTGGGTTCTGTCCTAGATCCCCGATCTCCTAAATGAGTGTACGGCGGAGGTTAAATAAAAAGAGACAAATTGTATGATTTTTAGGGCTACAGGAGGGTCAAACCCTTTAATTAAGCTTGAGGCTTCGAGGGTAAAGACAAAAGCTTCTCTGGATCAGTCCACTTATATTAGGACCAAGGACTAAGGGCGGACAGACTGAGGAACATGCAGGCAATGAGCAGGACCTTGGGAGTCACTTCAAGGACGTCTCCAAGTCATGAATCAAGTTAATTTAGTAGCCCTGTCTTATCATGAAGACATGGTAGAAGTGAGACTGCAGGAGTAATCTTTGCAGCTGCAGTCTCTACCTTGTTAATTGGGGTTGGAGCCAGAGTGTCCGCAGCTGTGACCTTATCTTGCCCTTTGAGGTATCTCTGGCCTCACAGGCCACTACAGGCCTCAGCCAGGACCAGTGATTCATAGAGGTTCACTTACTATGAATCAGCTCCCGTCACCAGGCAAGGGGCCTAGGCCTAGGACAGACTCACAGAAAAACAGAGAAAGCCAATTAGTAAAATTTCAATCCTGCTCAGAGCCGCTTCGTCACTACCAAAGTGTGTCCAACACTTTCTCACCACAAGGTATTTTTTGGGCAGGGGGTACCCTATGTTTCTTCTAAAGGCACAAGTTCTATTGGCTTAGAGTACCATTTTTATGACCTCATTTAACCTTAAATATCTCCTTAAAGCCCCTGTCCAATACAGTTACATTGGGGCTTAGGGGTTTAACATATTAGCTTGAGGATAGGGGACACAATTCAGACCTTAACAGGTTGTCTGTATCTTGCTGCCTTAAAACAGGAGTTGCAAATATTATGTTAAAAAGGCATATTTTTATTTTAGGTTGACCCACAACTCGTGGATGGACATTTTTCATATTTTCTTGGAGCTATAGGTATGCCTGGTTTGACTTCTTTGATTGGGATACAGGAAAAAGGTCATATAATTGCCGGCTCTAATCAGACAATGGTTGTCAGTGGAGCAGCAGGTGCCTGTGGATCCTTGGCCGGGCAGGTAAATGCGAAGAATTATTTGATTTTTCTAAAAAAGTAGTCATTCTGAATCTCTGGATACATGTACTGTACATAATTTAAAGTATGAAATCAAAGAAATTTACATTATAGTTATTTTACACATTTATGGTAGAAAGGCTATTATTACTCACTTGGTCTCTGTTAATAAGAATATAGCTTTTTGTGTTTCATTCTCCATTAACCAAAAATAGATTTGGTAGGTGCTGGAGCATTGCTGTCATCCATGTAAGGATGAGAATCATAGAGACCTGTCTGGAATTCCATTTAGGTAAAAAAATGAGTGGCTGAGGGTGTAGCTAAGAGTACAGCCTGTGGAAGCACACATGAGGCCTAGGATTCAATGGCCAGCAGCCTCCCACCCCAAAGCACAAACTGTTATGTATTTATTTTGGTTTGTTTGAGCAGGGTCTTGCTATGTAGTTCAGGCTGGTTTTGAACTCACTGTATAGCTCAGGTAGGTTAATGGAGAACTCACAGTGATCCTCCAGCCTTCCAAGTGCTGGGATTACAGGTGTGCACCATCAGGTGTGGCACAAACTCATATTTTAAAGAAACGTCCTCAAGAAAGTATTTATTGCCAGGCATGGTGACTCATACCTGTAATTCCTAGCACTCTGGGAGGCTGAGGCAGAAGGATCCTAATTAAAGTCCAGCTGGGCAGCCTAACAATTTAGTGTGACTTATCTCAAAACATAAAGAACTGATGATATAGCTCAGTGCAAGGCACTAGGTTAAATTCCTAGTAAGTCTAAAATAAAGAAAAAAGCACCTTACTGAATTGTAGAAATGCTGTATTTTGATAGAACCTTACAAAGTGCACTGTTTTGTGAATGATAGTCTTTATAGTATAGAAACTATTGAAACGAAATATTTTGATCCACAGTAACCTAAAAAATACTGAATTGTAAGATAGTAATGTTTGGGGTCTGATTATTCCCTTTGTTTTTTTTTTTTTTTTTTTTTTTTTGTCTTTTGCCTTTTTATTGGTACCGGGGATCAAACTCACAACTGCCTGCTTGCAAGGCAGGCGCTTATGCCTGCTGAGCTAAACCTCCAGCCCCTGATTATTCCCTCTGTAAGATCAGATTTAAATCATGAATTTTTTACTGAGTCTAATTTTATTCAGTTTTAAGTTTCTTAATGATGATACTGTCTACCCTCGTTTCTCTAGATTTCAAATTCCTTTCACCTAAAACCAGTGTAATTTACCTAACCTGTGATGAACATTCTCAATTACTTGTAATATCTTGTATATTTGCAGTTATATGTTTAAATATGTCATAAACCATTTAATTAAAAAAAAAAAAAAACTTTCCTCCTAGATTGGCCATTTGCTGGGCTGTTCCAGAGTGGTGGGAATATGTGGAACACAGGAGAAGTGCCTCTTTTTGACCTCAGAGCTGGGCTTTGATGCTGCAATTAATTATAAAAAAGGGAACGTGGCTGAACAACTCCGAGAATCATGCCCTGCTGGAGTAGATGTTTATTTTGACAATGTTGGTGGTGACATCAGTGATACAGTGATAAATCAGGTGTTTGCTGACTTATTTCTTACAGATTTGAGTACATCATTTTATTTGTTTGGCTATCTTATTACCCGATACTGAAGGAAAAGATACTTTATATAAAATTACAGGTTTTATTTTACTTATTATTGTTTTTAAATGATAAAAAAGAACTTGCTGATACCTATTTTCATTTTCCTGATGACTTGTACTGTGAACTTCAGTATTAGTTCTTGCCTAGCAATATATTTTCATCTTCAATTTATTTTTTGTGAAAAGTTACACTGTGGTAGCTGTAATCCCTCAGGATGATCACAAATTCAAGGTTCACATGGGCAACTCAGTGAGTCCTGTCTCAAAATAAAGAAGTTGGGCATGTCGCCAGTGGCAAATGTGAGAGACCTGCTTCGATCTCTTAAAAAAATTTTTTTAAAGATGCATTTTTAGAATATTGAAGTTCTGACTGCTAATTCACCATCCACCAACTTACAACCATGGTCCCTTACTTTGGGTAGGAAATAGGTTTTCATAGAGTATGGGTGTTTATGCATTTTCATTAATAATGTTATAAAATACCAACATGAACTATGTACTGCATATTCCTTTCCAAATGTAAGATTATCTGCAATTGAGGTTTTATTATTTAAATCCAGTTGAACTTGAGAGGATCACTGGAGTTCAAAGCCAGTTTGGGCTACATAGTGAGTTCAAGACCAGCCAGAGCTACATAGTAAAACCTGTCCCAAAAAAACCTAAATAAATAAATAAAGCAATGTACTACTACTAATAAAAGTAACAATGGCAATTAATATAACTCTTTTATTGAATATTAAACTTTTCATTTGTCTTTGTGTTCCTTTAAAACAGACTTATATCTAGCTAATTAAAACTTATATAATGGGTAAATCCTCAAAACAGACTCTGTAAATTGGCAACAAAGGATTAAATATTGCCAGTGGTCAATAGAGTTTGTCACTGAGACAGCCATAAAATCAGCAAACAGGAAAGCCATCTATCTGAGATGTAACCCTGTTTTTCTCTGTGCAGATGAATCAGAACAGCCACATCATCCTGTGTGGTCAGATTTCTCAGTACAATAAAGACGTGCCTTACCCACCCCCGCTCCCGCCCGCGGTGGATGCAGTCCTGAAGGACAGACACATCACAAGGTGCGGTCCTGCCCTTTGCCCTTCAGGCCAAGTTCCAGCGGCTTACATTGCATAGGTCTCTAGGGACGACCCTTAACATACAGATTTTCCTTGTTAAGAAAGACGTGAAAGTATATACTTTTAAAAAAAAATTCATTGTTGATGTCAGGGTCTCACTGCGTAGCCCAGGCTGGCCTGGGTTATTTTATTTATTTGTTTATTTTAAAATCAGATTTTGTTTGGTACATTTTGAATACACATAATGATGCCATTCATCATAGAGAATTTGTACCTTTACATGATATAATTTCTTTTTTTCCCTGTTCCCTACCCTCCTTTCAACCCCTTATCTCCTTCCCATTTAGAAAAGTTTTTGTTTCCATTTTTTCCTTCTTTTCTCATTTCTTTTTTTCCCTTTTTTTCTTTCCCCCTCCCTTCTCCCTTGTTCCTCTCCCCATTTGAACATACTCTTCCTATTTCGCAATACCTATTACACATTTACAGAAAGTATATACTTTTACACTGGTTCAGTGCAGTGTTTAGGTTTGGACTAATTAACACCCTGAAAAAGACATTTACTGGCTTTGACCACAGGTCAGATCAGGTGAGGTGGAAAAGGATGGTATTTACAAAGAAAAAAATATCACAGTACAGTACTATTGTCAAATCGGGTTATCCACATCTGGCAGACATAAACAGAAATCTACTATACTTACATTCGTGACTATACCTAAAACGATATCTGACCAAACTCATGTAATTAAATCCTAGTATCTGAAGGATTTTTACGGGCAACATTTACTAGAGTTCTGGAATGATTTGATTTTGATTTTCCTATAATATTCTCTCATCATTATCTTTTTCTTCTCATAACAGGGAGAGATTTCTGGTGTTAAATTATAAGGATAAATTTGAGCCTGGCATTCAACAGCTGAGTCAGTGGTTTAAAGAAGGAAAGCTAAAGGTAGTACCTTTTTTTTTTTCCTTTTTTTCCCCCACTGTTGGGGGGAAAGAAGGGTCTCATTCATACTATCCCAAGTGTCTACCACTGAGCTACATCCGTAGTCTTGGTACTTACTTTTACTCTTTATCTGTGTAATTCTTCTTGTTACTTGGTGTATTTTATTTTATTTTATTTTTTTTTTTTTTTTGTCTTTTTGAGACAGGGTCTCTCTATGCAATTCAGGCTGGCCTTGAGTTCACTTTGTAACCTAGGCTGGTCTTGAACTCGAAATGATCCTTCTGCCTCAGCCTCCCAAGTGCTGGGATTACAGGTGTGAGCTACCACACCTGGCTTAATGAGAAAGAATTTTTTTTCTTTTTTGTGGTACTGGTGATCAAACTCATACCTCATGCTTGCCAGGCAGGTGCTTATGCCACTGATACTTGATGTATTTTTATATTATTTGAGCATTTTATCGCAAACATTTGTTTCATTATAAAAATTTTTCTACAAATAAATGTGTACTGAGTACATAAATTATTAATCTGTGATCCAGAGACCTAGACCTTGAGTGCTGTCAAAATGTATAAATGACAGTTTTGTGTATGTGTTTATATTTTTAAAAAAGTTTTATATGATTATATGTTAAAATATTAGTATGCTAGATACATGGAAAAAAATTTTTTTTTTGCTGGAACCGGGGATGAAACTCAGGACCTCACACTTGCCAGGTAGGCGCTTATGCCGCTGAGCTAAATCCCCAGCCCTATATTTTTAAAAAAGCTTTTGATATGTTACTTATGGATGATTAGACAATAGGAATCATAGGGTTTTATTGGGAGAAAAGGAACTTTTTTTTTTTTTTTTTTTTTTTTTGAGACAGGGTTTTGCTGTGTAGTTCAAGCTGGCCTCAAACTCAGTGATCCTCCTGCCTCAGCCCTCCAAGTGCTGGGATTGCCGGTGTGCATCACCACACTTGGCCATAATGGGACTTTTGTTTGGTTTTTTGTTATTTTGGTCCCATAAATCAAACTCAGGACCTCGCACTTGCCAGGCAGGCACTGAATAATGGAACTTTTAAAATTATTTTATTAGTACATATTTGCAGTACATGTATTTTACAGTCATATTTGGGAGTGTAGCTCCAAATACAGAACATATGATTTTAGATGTAAGGTTTTAATTTGTATTACTGTCTTTTGTGTAAATAGAAACACTGAAGTTTAAAGAATCCTAAATGTAGCAATTTTGACTTACAGATCAAGGAAACTGTGATAAATGGATTGGAAAACATGGGAGGTAAGATGAATGCGTATTTATTAGTTATATTCTTATGCTCAGCACAAATACTTTTTTTTTTTTGGTACTGGGAATTGAATTCATGACCTCAAGCTTGCCAGGCAGGTGCTATACATTGAGCTAAGGATTCACAAAGTTATTTGGAGTCTAGGTAACTTTTTCATATTAAATGATCTTGAGGCATCATAAGATTAAACAAATTTCCAACATTTAACTTTTTCTTTTGTTCATTTCCAATTTAGATAACAGTAATTTCTTCAAATGTTACTTGGGTTATTTTGTGGTGTAACGTGGTTTTACCTGAGGTTTTTGTAACATATGCAAGCAGCAGAGAACACCAGGCTTATGTGAAAGTAATACAGCATGGAATTTATTGTGCTTGGGTTCAGGCAGAGAGGGAGATAAGACCTTCTGCCCTGAACAAAAAAAGTGTGTCTCTTTTATAGGAATGGAGCAAAGGCAGGGGATATAAGATCCCATTGAACATCTGTAATTAAATTTTTCTGACAATCTTGCATCTCAGTGGGCAGAGCCCTTTGCAGTGTCCATTGTAAATTCTTGAGTGTCTCTAGATGTCCCCAGGATCTGCAGACTTCCTTATGTATCTTGTCTCATTGCCTGTGCTTGCTGATGACAGCCTCAGTGATGAGCTGAATTCCCTGCAGAGAGCAGTGCTTCTGCTGGCAAGCAGGCTAGGGCTGGGTAGTCAGGCCAGGTTGGATACTCAGAGTTTTTTTTCATGACAGTTTCCTTCTGTGTTCAATACTAAAATTGTTGAAGAGCTTGGCATAGTGGAGTACATCTGTAATCCCAGCACTCAGGAGGGTGAGGTAAGAGGACTGCCATGAGTTCGAGGCCAGCCTGGGCTACACAGTAGGATCCTGTTTCACCAAAACAAAACAAAACAAAATCATTGAAGACATCATTCAAAATAATTTTATGTGTTTGAACAACTGGTAAAAAGTATGATGGTGACATTTAGCTTTTTAAATAACTTATAACTTATTTTTTTTCCTTTCCAGCTGCATTCCAATCCATGATGACAGGAGGTAACATCGGAAAGCAGATAGTTTGCATTTCAGAAATTTCTTTGTAATCTTTTTCATCAAAGAAATCACATATTTTTTCCCATTGTACACAAAATATTGAAGATGCATTTAAACAACTTAAGAGTACAGAGTCAGGCATGGTGGAACATGCCTGAAATCCTGGCACTTGTGAGGCTGAAGCAAGAGGATCCCCACAAGTACAAGGCCAGCCTGGGCTACATAGTGAGTTAAAGGTCAACCTGAATTATGTAGTGAAATTGTCTCAAAGAACAAAAACAAAAAACCCAAAACCCTAAGACTATAGATAGATCGACTTAAATGTGATCATATGTGATTTTTTTCTTAATGGTATAATTTAAATCTTTTTCTGTATCTTCAGTATTATATGCACTCTACATCTAACACATGGTTATTTATAATAATAGATGATTTAAAAATAGATTATTAATAACATAATCTATTTTTCATTTTTGTTAAAACTAATGTTATAGGGCTGGGGGCTTAACTCAGTGGCATAAGTGCCTGCCTGGCAAGCGTGAGGTCCTGAGTTTGATCCCCAGTACAAACAAAACAAAAAAACCCAACTGATGTTATAGACATTTGTATCAGAATTCTGAAGCCACTGGAGATTTGGTACAACTGTTAATGGTTCATATACAATAGATTTTTAAAATGGAATAACATTTATTTAAAATGAAATAAAAATTCTGTTGATTCTGAGGAGGCACTTAGTAAACATTTGTTGAACTAGAAATATATAAAATATTATATGATTCTTAGATTGAACATTATTATAAGAATAGAGTTGGGATGGCCATTCTGTATTAGAGGTGGAAAAGAGACTTAAAGGCATGATTATAATCAGGCATGACAGAGCAAGTCTGTAATCTCAGCTACTCAGCAGGCTAAGGCAGGAGAATTCTAAGTTTAGTCCAGCCTAGGCAATTTAGCAAGACCCTGTCTCTAAAAGCAACTGGGATGAAGCTTAGCAGTAGACCTGTCTAGTATGCACAAGGCCCTTGTTCAACCCCTACTACCAAACACACACACATAAAGGTATGATATATACAAGGGGCTGGAGACAGAGTTGGGGGTAGGGCTCAGACTTGTGGAACATGTTTTGGGATAGAGCAGAGGCTTTGGGTTAGGAATATGAGAAAATAATGGACCAGTTGAGAGAGACCATGAGATTAAATTTATATCAAGGATGTATTTGTTTTAAATAATTTATGGCACAAGCTTAAAAACTCAATATATATCGATAAAAGCATATTTTTAGTTTGAGTTAGCAGGCAGACTGCAAAATAGTTGCAAAGATGAGAGGTCAAGTAGATACAGTCACTTGGAATTTCAGGTAATTAAAGACAAAGGAGGCTGAAGGTGTAGTTCTGGGGTAGAACATTGCTTAGCATGCCAGTGTCTCAGGTTCAGTCTCTAGCAACACAACAACAAATAAAACAAAAACAAAGACAGATTGAAGGTATTTTGTGGTCATTCTGGGCTTTTAAATTTTTTTATCAGTACCAAGGATCAAACCATGACCACATGCTTGTAAGGCAGGCACTTATGCTGCTGACCTAAATCCCCAGTCCCTACTCTGGGTTTTGAACTCAAGTCCTTCCCACTGAGCTATAGCCCCAACCCTTTTGTACTTTTTGAGATCCAGTCTCACTAAGTCAATAAATTGTGCCAACTGGGCTCAAACTTTTTTGGAGACAGGGTTTCTTTATATAATTCAGGCTGGTCTTAAATTCACTGTGTAGCTCAGGCTGTCCTCAAACTCAGGTAATCCTCCTGATTCAGCCTCCCAAGTGCTGGGATTACAGGTGTATAATACCAGCCTAGCTTCTTGGGCTCAAATTTGATCCTTTTACAAGAATTACAATTGTGCTACCACATCCCCTCCCCCATACTAGGGATTGAACCCAGGGTTTGGCTCCTGGCTAGCCTTTCTACAAGAGCTATATTCCAAGTGGTTGATGTACTTCTGTATGAAACATTTGTAACAGTAGATTCAAATGCTGTTGATAATCACTCCAGTTTATTTCAGTGGCCTGCTGTTTATACTTTCCCAGATTATTTTCTTTCTTGAAGGTTAGAGATGTCAAGACTTCTCTGTATGTTGATTAAATCCCAAATCTACATCTTCATTACCTGAGTTCTAGATAGCTCATTGGTACCTCAGACTCTGCTTATCTAAAGAATTAGTTTCCTTTGCTGGGTGTGGTGGCATATGCTTGTAACCCCACACTTGGGATACTAAGACAGGAGGATCACTGTGAGTTTGAGGTCAACACTGGCTATAAAGTGAACTCAAAACCATCCTGAACTGCATAGTGAGACTGTCTTAAAATGACAAAAAAAATTAGTTTTCCTTGAAAGGTTATATGTATTCAAACTACTTCCTCACCCATGTAAACACTGGATTATCTTTAACCTTGAAAATACCTTTTCAGAGAACTTTTATCCCCACTGTCACTATTATAGTTGACTACTCTATTTTTTTGTACTGCAGCAGGTATTAAAAATAGTATTTTTGGCATCCACACAGTACATGTGTATTGGCTAGACTGAAAGTGTGGTAGACATAAATCCTTTATATTGACCCTCAAAACCTCCCCCCCAAAAGGATCAAGAGATTCCTTGAAAAGAGAAAACTGAAACTTAGTGAAAATATTAAAAATGCCATGCTAATTAATGGGGGAAATGTAAAACGCAACAGTGACACAAGTACTGAAAGACCTCAATGGTTTTTTTTTTTTAAAAACTATAAATTACGTTTTACAATATGCACTGAAAAAACCCATATGGAGTTCTGTATAAAAAAATTACAAGACCATTTGAGGATCAGACTTCACTGGGATTCTTTTCAAACAAATCAGATTGTTCTTTATTCATGTTTGGATTCCATAATAAGAAGCTGCCCAATAACCTAACAATAGGTCATATATATTACTACCATGTGCTGCATATGATTGAGATATTGAGGAATCTGTGTCTCTAAAAGATATTAACAACAGTAAATATCCTGAGGGAACAAAGCTCATGTTAATATTTACTGGTGGTGATTTTGATGTAACAGAAGACTACAGAAGTCAAAAAGTATCCTACTGATTTCTTTGGTGGCCTCATGATTAGTAAATACCCACCAGGCTGGGTTAGAGTAGGTTCTGCCCTTCACTGTTCTGAAGGAGAAGGTTTACTTCTGAAGCTAGAAGTTGCTATTGAAGAAATCTGACTGCAGAACCCAAAGGATTGAGTTGGAAGAGATAGAACCTTCATTGGATTTGGTTCTGAGGAGGATACATCTGGCTTCTGATGACTTTAATAAGTTATCTAAAAAATGTTAAAAGCTCTCAAGCCAAACAAAAAGAAAAATATGTGCCATGATACTTTTGGTACAACTTACAGAAGGATTCATAATGCAGAAACAAGACCTAAGCAAATACAAACCAGGAAAATGAAGGAATTGAAGAAACGACTTAGAAAGGGTAACAGAAGACTAGAAGACAAAGGCAAAGAGAATTAAAAATGGTGGAATTTAGACAACAATTAGAGTAATGTACCAGTGTTAAAGCTTGTTACATGGGGCTGGGGATTTAGCTCAGTGATATAAGCCTGGCAAGTGTGAGTTCGTGAGTTCAATCCCTAGTACCAAAAAACAAAAACAAACAAAAAAACACCACCAGAAATAAGCTCATTACGTGCTCTGCCAGATCCTGGTGTGTCATTTTCTTACTGATTAGTATCCTAGTCCTTCCAAGACTCCTCCCTCAATGTGTGAGGGGAGGAGGAGGAACTCTGCCACCACTGGTGTTTTCATAGACTTTTTGGGTGGTTAGTGATGAGGAAAAGGGCGCATGCCCTGCAGAGCAGAAGTGGCTCAAAGGAGCCATGTACACACTGTGTGTGAGCCACCTGGAAAGTTACTCCTCACCTTCCAGTGTGCGTTTACATTCGGCTTTCAGTTTTTGCTTCTCAATTACTTTGCCTGAATCCTGCCAGTTCAGAAAATTGAGAGTTTAAACGTTGTGTTTTAAAAATGTAGATCTCTTGAGAGTGATGCGTAGTTCTTGATCATCGACACGATGCCGTATTACTGATTATTTAAAGAGATTCTGGCTTTGGGATGGAGCTCAACATAGAACACTTGCTTGGTATGTGGAAGGCCCCCAGTTCCATCCCCACACCACCACCACAAAAAAAAAAGATTCTGCTTTAATTGCAACCCCACCGCCCTTCTCTGAGACAGAGGAATCTGATGCAGTACAAATGAGAAAGAACTCAAAAAGTTTTAAGGCACAGGGAACTTCAAGGAATCTGCAGGCCCTCAGCAGCCAAAGATTGCTTGAAGGGCCTTGGAGTGGAAACAAGCCAAAGGCCAGCCCTGTTTTGGAGTTTTCTTCAGGACCATCCCTCTGCCTGCACAAATGGGAAGATGCATTCTACTTTCTCTGCTGGTGTTGCACACTTGTTTTTCCAGGTGGCAAATTTAGGTTTCTTGATCCAGTTGTTAGAAAGAAGCTCTTATATTCGATGCAAGCCAGTTATGTTGTAAAGAAGCATAAGTATATGTAAGCTGTACTTTTTAGGTAGTGCAGAGAGGTAGTTCACAATTCCATGACCTACCTCCGTGCCTGTCAGCTGCTGATCATCAGATAATACGATTTAAAATATATATATATCTGATGATAGTCTCCATTGAGGTGCAGAGCAAAAGCTGGAGCTCAGTTTACCTTCTTTGTCCTCTCCCTTCTCTTATAAACACACTCCCTTGCCATACTTCTCCCTATTCCTTTCCAGGTGGGAGTTGTTCTCCTTGGGAAAATAAGGGTGCCAGTATTCCTCATACATACTTTTATAAATGCTTATCCATTTTGTCAAAGAACTAAACTGCTTTCTAGCTTTCAAGAAGTCAAATTCCTGAGTTAAGTGGTGCCACACAGCCTGAAACTCAAGTGTTCTAGTCCACAGCCAGGACCTCCAAGAGCTCTTTGCATAACAATATTTGGAAACCAGACTAGAGAATTCATAATCCAGAACATTTCTACACGTGACTGGATTCATACTCTGTTCCATATGTAACACAGAACTTGAATCTGTAGTTTCCCTTCTCTGGCAGTACAGGTTTCATGACTCTTTGAGTAGATCTTGCCGAATAGGAAACTACCCTTTCGGTGCCTGGGAGGAGGGAGTGAGGTCACGGCTAGAATGCACTGACCCGGTTTTCGGGCTTCCCGACCTAGGAGCCCTTCAGGGTGTAGAGAATGGGTAGGAGGCAGGGGGCAGACGTTCCACAGCGGGACCGGGCCCCGTGTGGCTGGCGGGCAAGCGGGCAGGGCCGGGCCGTCGGTCTTCGGGCGCGACCTCCGGCGGGGAGGCAGCGGAGCGGCGGGGGAGGCGGCGAGTGGGTGTGTGCGTGGGGGAGCGGCCAAACTTCCTGTCCCGCGTTCGAGCTGTTTCCGGCGGGAGCCGGAAGACGCGATGTGTGGACGGAATTCGGGACCGACTGACGGCCGGCCGGCGCCCGGGGTCTGGAAGGTGAGCGCCGGGGTGGGTCGGCCACACCCGCGCACCTGGGTGGTCTTGAGGAAAGAGGGGCCACCACTGCCTTTCTGGCGTCCTGGGCCGACCTGGCCCCTGGGGAGGACGGAGAAACCGCCCCCCTAGCGGACCCCTTCGGCTCGGGCGGGCCTGGGGGCGGCCGGCCTGCAGCCCTGCGGCTTCGGCCCTCCCCTGGTGAGATTTTGAGGGCGATGTTTTGAATCTTTTACTTGGTTTTTTGAGCGAGGGCGCGTGAACGAGATTGTCCGGAGAAATCTAGAGTCAGCGAGTCCCCGGGGCGGGGGCCCCGGACTGCACCAGCAGCCGGGCCTCCCCGCAGACCTCGGGGCCTCACACCCAGGCCTTTGTGGTGGGGGAAGGGACGCTGACGGGGCCTCGTCCCGGACGTTTTAGCAGAGAACCGACTCTTTTTTCCGGCGTCCACTTAGTTTCTGGATTTCGAATGAGGACCGGGCTGCCCAGTTGAAGGGGCTGGGCCACACGGTTTCTCCTCCGTCTGTCAGTTCGGGCTGTCAGTGGTCACAGCTGGGCTTGCATTTTTGCCGGATGAACTTAGCCTCTGAGATTTTTCAAGAGAATCGAATTAGTTTATTAAAGTTTAATCCACTTACTCGTGAGGCTCTGAAATGGATTTAGGCACCATTTGAAAGTTAAATACTATTAACTGGGGGATTAAGAGTTCGAATTTACTCCTCACTTGGAGTCTAGGGTCAGCATAGCATATTTGCAGAAAGGGTGAATGGAAACATTTTAAAAGTTGGGGAATGGGGGGTTAGGTAGTGAGAAATTTTACTTTATCTTAATAGGGGTAGAATAAAGGACAGCTAAACTAGTAGTCACTGTTGAATTCTAATTTGAGTCATACCCATATAGATATCAAAATCTCTCTAAATTAATTTGTAGCTTTAGGGGCTTTTCTTTGTAAATGAAATTTACCTTTGGGGGTTTGACAGTTATTCCAAGGCACCAGTCTGTGAGCAGTGGGAGTGACATAAGCAGTAGAAAGATAGGTGGGAATTCCAAAGGCCAGGTGACTGGTTAGAAACTTACTTTAATAGTGTAGGTGGAAGTTACTAAGAGACCTAAACAAGGAATACATTTTGGGAGAACTTAGAGTCACTGAGATTATTTAAATATGGACAATGAGAAATTTGTAAAGACCTGGAATTTTGCAGTTGAGTGGGAAGGTTGGGCAATAATTGAAATGGATAGTACAAGAAGAACAGGTTTGGTAGTGGAGATGATAATCTAGATTTTGTACTTTGTTAAGTTTGAAATGCTGTGGGATGTATTTGTGGAGAGACCCTGCAAGCCTTGAGAAGTAAAGGCTTGGAGTTCAGAAGAGCAGGACTAGAGACAAAATTTTGGTATTGTTGCATAGGACATGGTGGCACATACCTGTAATTCCAGCCCTCAGGAAAATGAGAAGGATCCAGTTTAGGTCCAGCCAAGGCTACGCAGCAAGACCTTGTTTCCAAAAAATGCAGTGTCATTCATTCACTATAGAAATATTTATTCAGTGCTCAGTACTGACAGGGAAGCTTTTATGGAAACCCTTTAAACTCATAGTAAAGACAATTTTAGAAATGGAAAATGACTTCAGGATTTCCTTTTGGGGTAATGAAAATATAAAATTGATTATGGTTACCTTGTACGCTTGTGAGTATAAAGACAGTCTACTCTTTAAAATGAAATGTAATGTGAACTCTGTTATTTTTAGAAACATTTGCATTGCAGTTTTTGAAATATGTCAAATAGGTAACAGAATTAGGAAGAGGAACAAATTTAATTGCATATTTGCTATTATATTACTTGGCTAATGTACTTAGTAAGTTCTTTGTTGAAGTCAGCACATTACACTTGATAACGTACTCTTGTAGATTTATTTGAGTTCAGCCTGCTTTTCTAATGCATCCTACTACTCTGACTTCTTCATACATTATTCTCAAACATACAGACCATAAATTTGGGTGCCAATTGTATGGCAGTACTCAGTTGTTCAAAAAAATGCTTATGTTATTTTTAGTGATTTTATTAAATACGCAAACACTAAAAAGATGTGACAGGTAACATATGAAGGTCAGTAAATAGTTGTCTGGTTTTTAGAGATTTTGTAATCCTAGAATCTCAAAGTTAGAAGAACTTTAAGGATAACTTTAAGAATAAAAACAAAAAAATTGGTAACTTCTTGGCTTATTGAAATGAGCTGAAACTGGAAAAAAGGAATTTTTCCCCCAGTACTGAGGATTGCACTGAGCTACATCTGCCATCCTTTTTAAAAATATTTTGATTTTGAGACAGGGTTTCACTTAAATCACTGAATTACCCAGTCTGGGCTCAAATTGGAATTCCTCCTGCCTCAGCAACTTACTGTGCCAGGATTATGGTATGTACCACCACATCCAGCTGAGAAAAGGAATTTTTAAGTCTTGCAAATTCGAGATCAAATCTAGAGAGATGCAAGTACTATTTGTGCCAGCTTGCTCAGTGGGTGGGAGTCCTGACTGTGGGTTAATAATTTGGTCTAGTGATTTATTGAACCCTGGTATTTTCCTCTATAAAAAGATGAATGGATTAAAACATGTTAAGCTAATGTGATTGGGTAAAAAAAATATAAATGCGATTTGTGATACTTTATTTTATATAGGAAAATATAAAAGGAGGATTTCAGGTAGTTAGAGGGGAGAAACCAGCAAACCCTAATCACTAAGGTACTCCTGAATGTCCTTTAGGTAAAGTCTGTCTTATGCTAACTTTTCAGTGCACCCTAATATAAATGAGAAAGCTCCTTCTGGGTACATTTTATACTTTATGATTACTTTATAACAATATTTCCACTTTTAGAAATAATTATAGCAAATAAAATGACCTCTTGTGGCAAAATGTTGAGGGAAATAAACTATAAGAAAAAATTGGGGGCTGGGAGAGTAGCCCAGTGGTAGAACAACTGCCTAGCGAGCTCAAAGCCCCAGGTTTAAGCCTTAGCCCACATACACAGAAAAGTAAGAATTTAAACTATGGAGATGGGAGGCACAACTGCATCAGGGTCCTGAGAGTATGGCCTTTGGGAGACCCTGTTCCAATTTTACCCAGAGTGTGTGTGTGTGTGTGTGTGTGTGTGTGTGTACTGAGAATTAAACCCAGAGCTTCCTACAAGCTGCCACTGAGTTATAGCTCCAGCTTTGGTTTTTGAGACAAGATCTTGCTGTGTAGTTCAGGCTGACCTTGAACTCACTGTGATCCTCTTGCTTCAGTTTTATAAATGTTAGAATTACAGGCATGTGCCACCATGTCCGGTTCAGCCCTCATTTTTTTAAAAAGCGTTGTTTTGGGGGCTGGGGATTTAGCTCAGCGGCATGAGCGCCTGCTTTGTAAGCAGGCAGTTGTGAGTTCGATCCCTGGTACCGATAAAAATGAAAAAGACAAAAACAAAAACGTTGTTTTGTTTTTGGGCTGCTGGGGATTGACCCTAGGTGCTTTCACATTTAGATACACTCCTACACCTTTTTTTTTTTTTTTTGGTACTGGGGTTCGAACTCACAACTGCGCACTTGTAAGGCAGGCACTTTTGCCACCGAGCTAAATCCCCAGCCCCTAAAATTTTTATTTTGAGACAGAGTCTCAGCAAGTCCAGGCTGGTCTCAAATGTGGGATCCTCCTATCTTAGCCTCCAAGTCCTGGGATTATAGGCCTTGGCCACCATGCTCCATCCAGCTTTGACTTTTTATTTGTTTATTTATTTATTTATTTTTTGGTGTGAGGAATTGAACTCATGACCTTGTGATTGCCAGGCAGGCACTTTTTTTTTTAAGACTAGTCAAGTGCAGTAGTGAGAAGGGGGGAAGAGTAGAACAAAGAGTTCAATCTGTACTGACTGTGAACAATCAATTGAGATAACTCACTACCTTCGGACCAGCTGCTTTGACTTTTTAAGTGTAATTTTTACAGTTATCAAAATATACAATAATAATTATAATTTAGAAAACTTGGGAAATTGAGGGAAAAGATCATACCAGCCTATCAAACAGTATAGCTACTATCAAAACTAAATTTTATTTTACTTTTTCCTATAGTTTTTTAAAAATAGAAAATATATAACTTTGTATTTTACTTTTTGTGAGAGAGGGTCTTACTTTGTAGTTAGGGCTAGCCTTGAACTTACTATGTATCCCCAGCTGGCTTTGAATTCACATCAGTCCTCTTGTCTCGGTCTCCCAAGTTCCTTGAGTACTGGGAGTTATAGGGATGTGTCATCCTGGTTCTGTATTTTATTTTTGTAATTAATGTCATGACCATTTTTGTTCATTGTTATATTGTGCTTATAACTATATAAAGTGACTGCTATATTTAATCCATCACTTCCTAATTGTTGGATATATATGTGTATTTATGTGTTGCTTCCACTTTTGTCACATCTTTGCGATGAATATATTTGGGGACATAACATTTTCCATATTTAAGATCTTTCCTTAGGCTAGATTTTAGAAGTAGAAATTCTGTATCAAGATATAACAGTTTTATGGGTTTTGATATTGATACCTGTTTGATGTTGTGGGTTTTTTTGAGACAGAGTCTCACTGTGTAATGCATGCTGGTCTTGAACTCACTATGTAGCCCAGGCTGGCCTCAAACTTACAGTGATCCTCCTGCCTCAGCCTCCTGAGTGCTGGGATTACAGGTGTGCATCATCACACCTGGCTCATGATGTTTTAAATAAATGTTTTGGGCTGAATTCTTTGCTAATTGTGATTTTTAGATATATAATAAAAAGAAATACCTTTGTTTATTTTACTGTTTTCTCACTTCTCTTAATGTTATCTCTTTTACTTTTGTTTAAGGTTAAATTGGTTACCAACCTACTTCAGCATCTTATGGGAAATGTATAGAGTTTTCTAAGGAATATGACCATAACAGGAAGATATCATTGACTCTGAATTAACTGAACCTGTACCCTGAAGAGCTATAGGATTTTGGAAGCTGAATCAATGTTATCAGATGAGTTAGAATCCAAACCAGAGGTAAGCGTACTCAACTTGCTTCCTTTCTTTTGGTGGTGATACGTCAATTGAACCTTAGTTCAGGGGTGAGAAAATATTTTAGGTTTTGTAAATCAAATGATTATGAGTGGAAAATTAGTTTATTATTTTTCTATTACTAAATATTTTCTCAAAAGTTTTAAAAATTTTATTTTTATCCTTTATGATTTTGGGGGGAGATATTTGTCATTTAAGGATACATATATATTTAAGTAATAGAATAGCAAAATATTTTATATATAAAATGTATATTTGTCATATATCTATGTAATTTGTATACATATACATATATATATATATATATATATATATATATATTTACTACCACAAACCATTGTTTTATTAATTGTATTTATATCTGAACATACTTTCTTTGTAAATGTAATTGGGAAATTTAAACTTTATTTCTTTTTCTCATATTAATTGTGGTGAATCTTTTGCATAGTGGAAAGATCACTGAACTAAAAGTCAGAATTCTAAAGTTTGAAGATTGGTACTGCTTCTAAGCAGTTACATGATCTTAGAAAAGTCACATGATGTCCTTATTTGTAAAATACCCTTTGGATCTTTTTTGATTTAATGGAGAGTTAAATGAGCCAGTATACAGAAAGATGCTTTGGAAATGTGCTCCGTAGAGTGCAGCTGATTTTTTTAAATAGCCCATCATTTTAACATGTGGTTTTTGTCCTTTCTGTTTGATGGAAAATGTCAGAGGTTATCTTGCTTATGTAAGTTGGTCTTTCTCTAGAACAGAGGACTTGGTAACATAACTTTAAACATTGTAGTTAGTCTAGTTTTTCTTTGAATATGGCTGAGTCTAGTAAACAGTCAAGACCTAATTACACCGGCATCTTTTGGTAAATTCAGAGGTTTAGGACTCTTCCTAATGACCTTTTTTTTTTTTAGCGCTGTCTTTTTTTCTCTTCCAGCTTCTGGTGCAGTTTGTTCAGAATACCTCCATCCCATTAGGACAGGGGCTAGTAGAATCAGAAACTAAAGACATTACTTGCTTGTCACTCCTTCCAGTGACTGAGACCTCAGAATGCAGTCGGCTAATGTTACCAGGTAAAAATAAAGATCACCAGGCATAGGTGATCTTGCCTGAGAGCTAGGTGGCATAGTGTACAACTGTAATTCTAGCTACTGTCCAGGCTGAAGCAGAAAGAGTGAAAGTTTGAGGCCAGCAGGGCTACTTCATGAGTCCCTGTCTCAAAATAAAATAAGATAAAAGCCTCAGGGTGTAGCTTAATGCTAAGGCTTTTGCACCGCCTGCATGTGGTTCTAAGTTCAATATCTAGTACCCAGTAGAGCAAGAAAACCCAAAAACCTTAGCCTCTTCTATGGTACCGGTAGAATGGATCACTGATCTTAAAAGTGACTGGCAGAAACTGTACATGTTAGGAGTCATGAGAAAAAAAGTAACATTGGAAGTTATAAGTGTATCAGTAGTGATCACTCACACTGTGAGAGTGAGAAAAAAAGCCAAGGCAGAGCTTTGGAACTCCTATTGAACATACAGTGTAAGACAAGAGAGCATAGCCACGGGTTTAGCTCAGTGAGACAAGTGTTTGCCTGGCAAGTGTGAGGTTGTGAGTTCAACCCCCCAGTACCAAAAAACAAACAAGACAGAAGAGCCTGAAAAGAAGGAAGGAAAATGGAGGACAGTGAGGTGGTAGGCAGAAGGATAGATGAGCTCAAGACCAGGCTGGGCTACATAGTGAGTTGAAGTCCTAAAATACATAGCAAGACCCTATCTTTAAAAAACTAAACAAAAAATGGCAGATGTCTTAAGTTAGTCAACATTAATTTACATTTCTGCTTTTCTACCATGTTCAGAGTTATATGATCCCAATCCTTATGGATATTCAACCTGTGAAAATTTCCAAATCCTAATAAATTTTTATTTGTTAGACATTTTTCCCCCCTGAATTTTTTCTCCAAGTTTTAATTTATGGTGTAAATTTTTGAACAACTATGAAGGAAATGAAGTTGGGGGGGATTCTTTTTTCTGTTAGAATGGCTGTCATCAAAATAATGACAGATAAATATAGGGAAGGCTGTAGAGAAAAAGGAACCCTTGCACACCAGGTAGGAACTTAAATTAGTATAACCAGTATGGAAAATGGTATGGAAGTTCCTTAGAAACCTAAAAACAGAAACATGATGTCAGCCAGCAATCCTGCTTGTATGTATATCCGCAGGAGTTGAAATCAGCTGTGTATATAGCTTTACACTCAATATAAACAAAGACCTATAATGAAACATATTAATCCAGAACTGTAAATTTCATTTGTTTTCCAGGCTATGTTTTTAGTTTGGGAGCACAAACCAAGGGCTTGTGCATGCAAGGCACATGCTCGGCCTCTGAGCTACATCCTCAGCCCTTTTTAAAATTTTATTTTGACATAGAGCCTCGCCAAGTTGTGCACGTTGGCCTCCAACTCACAAGTCTTCCTGCCCCAGCCTCTTGAGTAGCCAGGATTTACACATGTGCACTGTTGTGCTTTCCAAGCTGTTTTATTTCCCCTTTTATTACTCACCAGCACTATTATATACGTGGTACAAAAGTTAAGAAGTCACTCCCCCCAAAATAATTTAAAACTTAGAGCCTATTGTTGAATTAATATTCATTGTATAGCTATAATTTTTTAAGGAAAAATACTGATTTCTGCCATCTAAAATGTCTATATTCTAAAATATAGTCTAAATGGATATATTCTATAATGTCCAAATGTCAATGAGTGATTATTAGTTATGCCAAGTGTCAGTGCTCTGTTTCTCAGTTTGCTGGTTACTTTTAGAACTTAAAGCTATTCCTGTACTTCTCTGAGACAGATTCTGTATTTATAGAATGAGAATGATTGTACTCCCATATGGGTGCTAGGTATAATTATTATTATTGTTTTTGTTGTGATTATATTGTTTTGTTTTGTTTTATTTTATTTGAGACAGGATCTCGTAATGTAGTTCAGGGTGGCCTTGAAATCACTATGTAGTCCAGACTGGCTATAAATTTGTGGCCATGTTTCTGCCTCAACCTTTCAAGTGTACCACCATGCATGGCTTTATTTATTTATTTTTTGTACCAGAGATCAAACTCATGACCTCACACTGTCAGACAGTCACTTACACCGCTGAGCCAATTCCCTGGTCCAACCGTGCATGGTTTTAAGGTGCTAGATATTAGAGGATATTAAGTACATGTCAAAACAGGGAGCTCCTTGTAAATGGGTGCTATATAAAACTATGGTGTTTTTGCTTTTACTAGATGATACTTCAAATCATACTAACTCCTCCAAGGAGGTTACTTCCTCAGCTGTATTGAGAAGCCTTCAGGTAAATGTGGGCCCAGACGGAGAAGAGACGAGGGCTCAGACTGTACAGAAGTCTCCAGAGTTTTTATCCACTCCAGAGTCTCCTAGCTTGTTACAAGATCTACAGCCAAGTGATAGCACTTCTTTTATTCTTCTTAATCTAACAAGAGCAGGTAGGTATGCTTTCCCTTTTCCAAACTGTCCATGTTTAACAAAAAATTGTGGATGACCATATGTAAATCATAATTAAAATGCAAAGAAACTATCATTTGATTATTTTGAAGAAATGATGTGATCTGGTGACCAGTTGAATTTGTACAGGAAGAGGGAAGATTCTAAGATGACTCTAACAGTTCTTGTTTGGAAAATTAGGTAGTGCAGTTTACTGACACAGCAACACAGGGAAAGCAAGGCTTAGACAGGATGCATGCTCGTACAGTTTGTGTCATTAATGATGTGATTTTGGAGGAATGTTCAGAAGGAAATGTTGAGAGAGTTAGAAACAGGAATCTAGAGTCCAAAAGAGATCTGGTGTGAAGGAACTCATTTGGGTGCTTAGTAGTATTCAGAAAAGATATAAAACAGCAAGTGTTGATTCTTCAGGACAAATTTGAAGCAGTAACAAAAAACAGTATGTCTGGCACCCTGAAAAAAGCTGAAAGACTTAACAACAGGAATGAGCAGCTAGAAGAGAATGAAGAGAACTAGGAGAGAGTGGTGGGTGGCACGCAAAGGGAGGAAAAAATTTTAAGGAAGAAAAATTGCCGATCATGCAAATTACTACAGGTGTACTACAGGTTAGGTAAATGTGTTGGTGACGTTAACAATAGGAATTCTTGCTGCACTAGTGGAGGTAGAGGCCCTGGTTAAAGAGATGGGGAATAGGTGATAAGTGAAAAAGTTGATATAGTTTAGAAGGTACACTTGCTCAAGGAACTTAACTTTGAAGGAACAGGTAAGAAAGTAATCATTAGAAAAGTACTTGAGGTTTTCTGTTCTCTGGAAAATGAAGAGATGAACTAAAACTTTTAAAGGTATAAGAAAAAACTGGTCAATAGAGAGGTCTAGACTTAGATAGGAGAAGATGTAAGTGAAGGACCCAGGAGGGGATGACTGATCATGGGGTTGTGACACTAAGGGTGAGGTTGGCCTGGTTTCAAGAAGGACAGCTTAGCCTTCGAAACAAGAGGAGACAAGGTAACAACCAGCCTATGAGGTCAGAGTAGAAAAGTGATAGCCTAATCATCTGCAAGAACAGAAACTCAAGGTGAAAAGCAAAGATCTAAAGTAGTTAATCAGGACATGGGTACTTCAAGTCCTATTGATTCTGGGCCAGGTCAAACAAAGGATTACTTGTTGGCTAACTTTCATATGTTTTCTTATTTCTTCAAGGTCTGGGCTCTTCTGCTGAGCACTTAGTGTTTGTACAAGATGAAGCAGAGGATTCAGGGAACGATTTCCTCTCCAATGAGAGCACAGACAGTAGCATTCCATGGTTCCTCCGAGTTCAGGAGTTGGCCCATGACAGTTTGATTGCTGCTACTCGTGCACAGTTGGCAAAGAATGCAAAAACCAGCAGTAATGGTGAGACTCATGGTGTATTCCTCTCGTTCTCTGCATAGAGATTTTAGTAGTATAATAGCTATATTTTGGGTTGCATATGATTCAGTTTCTGTTGTTGAGATTGGGAGGCTAGAAATGTGTAAGTTGTTTGTCTTATTTTGTGTAAAATAACTTAACCTTGCTGGATTTTTGTGCAGAATCCACCAAGGCAGTATTCTGAATTCTCAGTTCAAAGTAATATACAGAGCACTTTTTCCCCCAGTACTGGTATGGAACCCAGGGCTTTCATACCCCAGCCCTTTTTTATTTTTTGAGACAAGGTCTTGTTAACTTGACACATTGCTTAGACTAGATTCAAACTTGCAATTCACCTGTCATATAGTCGTGTGCCACTGTGCCTGGCTCAGAGTAACTTTTAAAGAGCAACTCTAAAAACACGGATCCTGGGTTTATCTTGAACTGCTTTTATTACAACAGTCCTCAAGTATGTAAAAACAAATTCTTTGTTAAATTTTTGTATTTAGAGTTTTATTAACAAAAAACTGCAAAACCAATGAAATACAATTAATATAAAGTTAGTTTGGCAGATGATGTTTCACTGCAATTATAACTGCCACTTGCGGCAATTTTACAATTACCTATGGTAGATTTTGTCCTGTTTTATTTCATTTAAGCATCCCTGTACCTTCTCTGTGCCACTCTAGTCTGTTCCAGTAATTTTCAAAATATATCCCTGGCTTATCCATATCACCTGGCAACTTAGAAATGCTTCTACCTCAGACCTACTAAATTAACTTGGTTCTGATATGTGTTGAAGCTTGAGGTCCATGCTGTATTCAAACAACTCCCAAGCCAACACAAAATGTTTGCTCATATAACATGCCATTAATACTATTTGTTTTAGGTCTGCCTCTACCTCTCATTATCCTGTGGCAGCTAGATTAGTACTGACAGTACTAATGTCAGTAGTAATGTTGGTTCAACACTAACATTATCACATTAGCTTATACTCTAAAATCTTATGTCAGCACATAGCAATTTGGAGTTCACATAGATGATCTTCTCTACTGTGTTTTATGAATATTTTTAAAATTGCTACTCAAATGAAAATGAAAAACTAAAAAGTTTCTCATGGAGAAGTTAAGGATCCTACAGATTTTAGTATCTTAGTGTTGTTCTCTGCAGAGATGAAATTCTAAACTTCCTTCAGTTTTTAAATTAATTCATTCAGTCTGTATCTGTTGTAATTATGCCTAGAATGGTTTATTTTGCTATTTGGGGAAGATTCTGTCTGAGATCCTATTTCCATTTTTTACTTGGCATTCAGGAAGTAGGTGCTGTATTTGCTAGTGAGAAACAGCACAGAGAAGGAATTTGAGATTTAGAATCTGGAATCTTAAAATTCAAACCTGGCATCATAGTAGCTCCCTGCCTTGGGCAGTTGAAGCTTTTCTTAGCTTTAGTTTCCTTAATGAGCAAAACACAGCAATCCAGGTAGTTTGCCTGCATAGGTTTTTTGGGAATTAAATAAGATTCTTTATAGGAAACTGGGAACTACTTTATTATCAATAAGCATTATATAAATGTTTTACTCTAAAAATGTATTACTTTGCCAGTTTAACAATATCTTACATTCCTGAATATAAAGCAAGCCCAAACCAGGCATGGTGGCACACGCCTGTAACCCCAATACTCAGGAGGCTTTAGGAGAAAGATCTCTGTGAGTTTGAAGCCAACCTGGATTACAAAGCGAGATTAAGGCTACCCTGAACTACAAAGCAAGATCCCCATCTCAAAAAAAAAGTGAGACCAAATATGAGATTAAAATGCAATTCTATGGGCCAGGGATTTAGCTCAGCAGCATCAGTGCCTGCCTGGGTTGTGAGTTCAATCCCTGGCACCAAAAAAAAAAAAAATGCAGTTCTAGGGTCAAGCTGCTTTATGCATCACTGGTGGTGGGAGAAAAAAGAAATTAAAAAAAAAAGTTTCCATTTTCCTAATGAGATGATGTCCCTACTTTTTTTTGCTTCTAATTTAGCTATACAAATGTTTAAATGTGTTTTGATGTATAAATAAATGAACATAAATTACCATCTAAAAATTTTATTCTACATAATTTTATTGGTAGAATTTTATTCTACAAACTTTCCATTAGAAATAAATTAACTAATGCTAAGGTAGATAGGAAATTCTTTATGAGAATTTACTCATACAAAATATATCACCTTAATAATACTTTTTACTCACAGGAATTGAATGATTTTATTGAATAGTTAATCCTTGTTAACAGATACCTTAGTTGTCATTTTGTGAGTCCTCTATCAGTTTTTCAGAGCACATCATCTTCACTTCTAAGTTGCTTAAAATACAGAAATAATTTTGTTTATGATACTGTATGTCAGGTTAACAGAGACTTTTAGCCTTTGTAAGTAGGTTTTATAAATACAGTTTTATTGCATAATGGCCATATCCATTAATTGCTAATCGTTTATAGTTACTACTTTGGCAAAGTTGAATGCTTGTGCCTGAGACCATGTGACTCTAAAGGCTGAAAATATTTACTCTCTGGCTCTACATAGAAAAAGTTTGCTTACCTCTACAATATATGACATTTTCAGCAGAAATTTTATCTCAAATGCAAAGACCTATTCAAATAATGAGGGTCTTTAAAAGTACTTAGTGTTGTTCAATGCTTGTAAGTATGTTAAGTGTGAATTTTAAAAAATCTTTTAAAATCAGATAACCTCTGACTATCCAAAATGGTCATTAATTGAGCTTATTGTGAGCAACTCTGTCTTCTCTAATCAATTCTTAGGTGTTTTTTTTGTTTTGTTTTGTTTTTGTTTTTGTTTTTCCTTTTTATTGGTACCAGGGATTGAACTCACGACTGCCTGCTTGCAAGGCAGGTGCTTATGCCGCTGAGCTAAATCCCCAGCCCCCAATTCTTAGTTTTTAAAAACTAAGAATAAAGTTGGTAAATAACTGAAGGAAGCATCTTTTAAATGAGTGCTTGTTTAAGAAACTAAATACAAGGCAACTCACTTTTTCCTGAGGGAATTTTTTTTAAATACAATACAGTACTGGAGATTGAACTCAGGGCCTTCACACTGAGCTACAAGTCCAGTCATTGATTGACTTATTGATTGATTAATTGATTGGGTCTTGCTAAGATGCCAAGTTTCCCAGGCTGAGTTCAAGTTTATGTTTGTCTTGCTTCAGCCTCTCAAAGTGCTTGTATAACAGGCATTCACCACCATCCTAGTCTTGATTCTTGCCTCAGTGTCCTGAAGTAGCTGGGATTCAAAGGTGTGCAGCCATACCTGACTAGGGGATTTTTTTTAGGGAAAAAATGATGGCCCTAGAGTTGAGCATATACTGTATTGGTAATCGTCATTGTTGGAGAGGAGGTATTGCTGTAATTTCTTTGCCATCCTTATTCTATATGTATTCATCTTTTTGTGGTTCATGATTGTATAAATGTTCTTTTTTAATATCTTAAGGTATATTCAAAATGAAGTATACAGAGCTGTTCACTGATTTTTAAGTCTCAGAATCACATAAGGTTTCTACAAATTTTCCATTAGAAATAAATTAACTGTAACACTAAGGTAGGTAGGAAATTCTGTCATGTTTAAATTGTACCTGTGTGTATGCAGTGGCCCAGGATCAAACCAACCACCTTGTGCATGCCAGGCAAGTGTTGTACTATTGAGCTACACCCCCAGCACGCTATTAAACAAAAATTTTAAAAATTGGAATAGTATTAAAAAAGAAAAAGTTAATAATAACTTGCAGAAGCCATCCTAGATTCTGCCCTGAGCTCAAAGCAGTTTGTTTTATGTCTAGAATTTGGTAAAATAGCAAGGAAAATGTAAAACTGAAAGACAAGATAGAAATTTTTTTTTTTTCTTCTAAGAAGCAAGGTTTATTTAACTCACAGTTTGCAAAGGTTTCAGTCCATAATTGGCTGATTTCAGAGCAGGGTGGCAGTTGGCAGAGGGGTAACAGTAAATGGCAGTGGAGGACAGCAAAAGCAGTAAGGGAGAAGAGAGAGATGGGAGAGGGGTTAAGTAGAAACTATCTTAAACAATACTTTGATGCCAGAGTGTGATAAGTACAACATATATGTCCTTGGCTGTTCTTGGCTTTTGAGAGGGTAAAATTTGAAAATGTAAATCTTATTCCTAAGTTACCCTATGTAGTGAAATAAACTCTGTATGCTCATAGTGGAATTAATAAGTCATTTTCTCTATTGATGTCCAACTGCGTCTTAAAATGAAGGAAGACTGCCTTCTGTCACTGTCTGAGGAATTTCAAGAAAGTAAAGGAAGCTGGCTCTGGGTAGTGCATGCCTGTAATCCTAGCACCTTGGGAGCCAGAGGCAGAAAATTCAAAAGTGCAAGCCCAGCCTGGGAATTTATCGACACCCTGCCTCAAAATTTACAAATAATTAAAAGGGGCTAAAGCTGGGCATGTTGTCACACACCTGTAATTCCAGCACTCAGGAAGCTGAGGCAAGAGGATCTTGGTGAGTTCAAGGCCAGCCTGGGCTACAAAGTCAGTTCAAGGCCAGCTTGAACCATCTGGTGAGTTAAACCCTGTCTTAAAAAAGGCCAAAAAATAAAATAAAATAAAATAAAATAAAATGAGCTAGGGATGTAGCTCAGTGTGAAGGCTCTGAGTTCAGTCTCCAGTAGTCTCCTCCACACCGCACACAGAGTGCAGGGAGAAACACCACTTGTTAATCTTTAACTTACATACATTTTAAGTATGTATTTATTAATTGAGATAGGGTCTTACTATGTAGTTCAGTCTGGTCTTAGACTAACTGTGTAGTATCATGTTGGCCTCAAACTCATGGCAGTTCTCCAGTCTCAGTTTCCCAAGTGCTAGGATTATAGGCATGTGCCACCACACCCAGCTTCTTACATAAAAGTTTTAATTAATTGATTTCACTTTTTTTACATGGTACTCAGGATTGAACCTAGGGCATTTGCTCTGAACGATGGTCCACTTTAACAGTTTTTAAAATTTTTTTGGTTTTTTTTGCATTTTATTTTTATTCTTAGTGAGGGGGTACTGGGATTTGAACCCATGACCTTGTGCTTTCCAGGCAGGCGCTTACACCACTGAGCTAAATCCCCAGCCCTTTTTTGTCTTTTTGAGACAGAGTCTCTCGGGGCTGGGGATTTAGCTCAGTGGCATAAGCACCTGCCTTGCAAGCACGAAGTCATGAGTTCAATCCCTGGTACCCATTAAAAAAAAAGAGAGACAGGATCTCTCTATACAGTTCAGGCAGGCCTTGGGCTCACTTTGTAGCCCAGGCTGGTCTCGAACTCGCAACGATCCTCCTGCCTCAACCTCCTGAGTGCTGGGATTACAGGTGTGAGCCACCACGCCCGACTAACAATTTTTAAATTTGAGACAGAGTCTCACTAAGTTGTCCAGGCTGGACTAGATTTTTCAGTCCTGCTTCTGCCTTGCAGAAATTTCAGGTGTGCTCTACCATACCCAGCTGCTTTCACTTAAATTTAATGGATGCACTATTTTTACCTCCATTTAATCTGAACAAAGCACCAGTAACTTGTTTTGTTTTGGGGGTACTGAGGATTGAATTCATGGCTTTTATACTGAGCTACATCCCTCCCTAGTCTTATTTTTGAGACAGGGCCTTTAGAATCACTTTGTTGCTCAGGCTGGTCTCAAATTTATAATCCTCCTGTGTCAACCTTCCCAAATCCTGGGATTAAATACAGTGGTACACCTGTGCTTGGCTTCTCTATTTTTTAAAAATTATTATTTATTTAATATGGTTATAAAGGGTCAGGGATATACCTCAGCGGTATAAGTGCCTGCCTGGGAAATGCAGGGTCCTGAGTTCAATTGCTAGTACCAAATAATAATAATAATAATGTTAAAAATGTAAAAATCAGCTGAATTTTTGCATTTTAAAATGCTTTATAAAACAAGATACTTTATAACAAAAGAGAGGTAGTAGAGTATGGGGCCCTGACCTAGGACCATGGATCTCCTGCTTAAGGATCTGATGAAGGAATAAAACACAGAGAAGATACGTAGTTTAGTTACAAGGGGAACTGGATGGTCAGAGTCACAGAAGAACTAAGTCCACGAGGCCTTTATTAGGTGCACAGCTTGATTGAGGGGTATGCTGGTGGGCTATACGAAGTGATGAATGTGAACCCCTGACACAAGCAAGGCTCAAGGATTTGAAGAACAAAGAATTTTTGGAAAAACACACAGGAACAGATGATCATGGTTAAGTAGTAACCTGATTATCTACTGAGACTACTGAGCTAGAAGGAATTTGGGTGAGTCAAAGTCATCAGCTGTAGTGTTTCTCTTCCTTTGAGGCACCAGGACTTCACAGACTATTTGCTGGTTTGGGCCCTGGTCTTTGGCTTGGAGATTAATTTCATCCCCATGCCAACTGTGGGCCTCATCACAACTCACTTAGGCCTAGGACAGACTCTTGATTCAATACATTTTTAGGTCAGTTTATTAACATCAATCACTGCCTGCTGTGAGCTAGCCCTCATCAGTAGAGGAAATTAGAAGATAGTTTTTATTCTCCAGAATGGCAGGAAACCACCATATTGATTTCAAAAGATGGAAACCAAGGCTTAGGATTTAGCTTAGCAGTGTAAGTACCTGCCTAGCAAGTGCAAGGTCATGAGTTCAATCCCTGGTACAAAACAAAAAAACCAAAAAGATGGAAACCTAAGAATGGGCATCTATGGGCCCAGGTTTTAGCTTAGTGACATAAGCACCTGCCTTGCAGGTGCACAGTTGTGAGTTTGATTCCTGGTACCACAAAAAAAAGAATGGGCATCTATGATAGAAATCAGCCAGAAGCTCACACTAAGTCAGAATGATCACACCTCCTTAAAATACAGGGTTTTGTTGCCTGAACTTCAAGTCTTCTCTGTCATATCCCATTTTGGTTGTTGATTTACCTGCTTCCCTGCTTTTACAAATCTGTAAAATTCAAAATAGATTTAATTTTGTTTGAGATGTTTGGTAAGGAGCCATTTTGGGTATTTCCTGTATCTGTCGAAGAGGCCTGCCCAGATGTGTGAAACAGAAAAGAGTTGGGGAAAGTGAAGATAGATATTTGATTAATGATCACTAGGAGTGAATTACAGGTGCTTTATTGTTTGAACCTAAGTATCTGAGCAAGGTCCTTCCCTGGATTATAAATATGTGACTGTGTTATAGGAGAAAATGTCCACCTCGGTTCTGCTGATGGGCAACCCAAAGATTCCGGACCCCTTCCTCAAGTGGAAAAGAAGCTCAAGTGTACTGTTGAAGGATGTGATCGGACATTTGTGTGGCCTGCTCACTTCAAGTATCACCTCAAAACTCATCGGTGAGCAATTCTGAGGTCTCATATTTGGAGCTTGAGAACAGTGATGCTCCCTGAGAAACTTGTCTCCCAAATTGACGAATTACAGGAAAGCAGAGACTAAAGCTAACTTCTGGTTAAGATGTGTTTCTTTGGCTTTTTATTCTTGTCCTAGTGATAGGGATCAAACCTAGGGCCTCACGCATGTTGGACAAATGCTGTGAGCTATATATACTCAGCCTTTCTTTCTTTCATTGGTCCGTTCATTCTTGGTACTGGGAATTGAACTCACAGCCTCACACTTACCAGGCAGGCAGTTAAACCCCTGAGCTAAATCCCCAGTGCCTTCTTTTATTTTTTAATAAAAAGATACTCACTGTATTATTTACCCTATTCTTTTTTTTTGGTACTGGGGATTGAACTCACGACCTCATAATTGTGAGGCAGGCGCTTATGCCACTAAGCTAAATCCCTGGCCTTATTTACCCTATTCTTGATAAAATGTTTCAGTGTGATTGTTGACACTTAAATGTCTCCACATTCTCAAACTCATAAGAGTTTTAAAAAACCTTATATAAAAACAGAAACAAAAAAGTAAATAAGTGTAAATAAGTAAATATGTCCATAATGACAGTTACTCAGAAGGTTGAGGCAGGAGAATCACAATTTCTAGAGGGCAGGCTGGACAACTTAGCACAACCCTGTCTCAAAATAAAAAGAGCTGGGAATGTGATTCAGTGATAGAGCACTTCCTAGTTAGTATGTGAAAGCCTTGAGGTCAATCCCCAGTACCTCCAACAAAATAAAAGAAAAATACATAAGCCTGGGCTTCCATGCCAAACCTGTGAAATAAATATGGGGAGTGGGGTGCTATAATTTTAAGGAGCTCTTCAAGGTATTCTTATATATCCAGGTTTGAAATTTACTGTCTGCCTTGAGAGATGAGTTTTGACTTCTCAGCTCACCAAAGGTATTTCCAGGTACTGCTACTTACATGATTGTTTTTGCAGAAATGACCGCTCCTTCATCTGCCCTGCAGAAGGCTGTGGAAAAAGCTTCTATGTGCTGCAGAGGCTGAAGGTGCACATGAGGACACACAATGGGGAGAAGCCCTTCATGTGCCCTGAGTCCAGCTGTGGTAAGCAGTTCACTACAGCTGGAAACCTCAAGAATCACCTGCGCATCCATACAGGTGTGTGCAGCCCTGCGTTCCCTGGCAGTTTCCTTGTCTCAGCAGTTGTTTGCCTTTCCATAGAAGTGAAGATACTGGGTTGTTGCTAGAACACTGAGATGTGATTGATTTTTAAAATGTGTCATTATACTTTTCAATTCATAGAATAACATTTATTAAACTTCACCTCTGTGTGAGGAATGGACAGTGCTGATTTCTGTCCATGGGAGCCTAATGTGTAGGAAGAAATATGAAATTTTCTTAGATAATAATAATGAGATAGGGACAAAATCAGTCTGTTTTCAAATCTCTGAATAGTGCATTATTGTATTTTGGGCAGTAACATTTATTGAGTCTCACACAGAAAATACAGAGCACTAAATGGGATAAGGTGGGGAAAATACTTAAGGTGTAATTTTTTACTTTGAGAAGTTTGCTTTCTTGTTACGAGCCTCAGCAGCCTATCAGTATCAAAGGAGCAAAATAAAAATTTCTTACCTCTTAGTTTAAGAATCTAAAGTTGGGCTGAGGATGTAGTTCAATGGCACAGCACCTCCGTGGCAATTGTGAGGCTGTAAGTTAGATTCCCAGAAAAAAAAGAATCTAAAGTTGATTTTCCAATCCACTTATTATTAATAAGCATACACAGTCTGATCAAAACTTAATCACCGAACCCAAATGATCATCTGAGGATATATAATTATTCCCTGTGCTCTTGCCATTTTGTCTTTGTTCATTTTTTCTTCGCTAAAATAATAGCAGGTACAGTTAAAAGGTACTTAAAAAGTATATCCTGAGCTGAAGGTACAGTTCTAGGGGTTTTTTGTTTGTTTGTTTGTTTGTTTTTGGTGCTAGGTGTTAAGTCTGGTAGATACACGTATTCTCTGAATATATTTTGGGGCAGAATAGTTTTCTATTTTTAGCTCACTCTTGAAAGAGTAAATTATACTTTCTCCAAAAAAGCAATCTGAATAAACATGTAAGCAAGCCATCTAGCTAAATAGCTAAGAAGAGTTACTATGGCCTATTGTTAAATTTCAGTGACCTTTTCATGCTTATGCTGCTTGTCATCTTTGTATCATTTGAAAACATTGAACATCTTTACTTTCTTTTTACTTTCTGCTCCTTTTCTCCCTTTATTTTAACTTTTGCTAGCGCTTATCTCTTTTGTTAGTCTCCTAATTGCTCACTAATTTCGAGAATCCGCGGCTTCAATTGAATTATTTCTGCTGGAAACCTCATAGATCTAAATTTCAATCACAATACAATGAAAACATTTTTTGGGCACATTATATGCCACCCAGATGTTTATTATCTCCTTTAATCTTTAAGATAACAGTAAGTACTGTACTTATTGATGAATAAATAGAATATTAGAATTAAGTATACTGCCCAACACCACAGAATTTTTTTTTTTTTTTTTTTTTTGGTACTGGGGATTGAACCCAAGCCTTTTACACAGAACTACATCTGTAGCCCTTTTTTATTATTAATTTTGAGATGTGGTCTTGCTAAATTGCCCAAGCTGTGCTCAATTTTGTATCTTTCTTCCTCATTCTCCGGGAGTGCATGGTGAGTGCCACCATGTCTACCTGGATGGCTATATGTATGTATGTTTGTGTCTTTTGCAGGACAAAAGGTTGAACCCATCTATAGCCCTTATTTTCATTTTTCTTCTTTACCCTCAGATTCTTTTTTTTTTTTTTTTTTTGTACCGGGAATTGAAGTCACGACTTCGTGTTTGCCAAGCAGGCACTTACGCCACTGAGCTAAACCCCCTAGCCCACTTGCTGTTTGTTTTTTTGAGACAGAGTCTTGCTATGTAGTGCAGGCTGGCCGTGAACTCAGTGTGTAGCTAAGGTGGCCTTGAACCTCCTGCCTCAGCTTCCTGAGTGCTGGGGTTACTAATGTGCTCTACTGAGACTACTTAAAGCTGCCAATTTTCGTGGTTACTATGTGTCAGGAACTGTGATGAATATTTATAAATTTTTTATGTATCTCATTTAACACTCAAAATTGTCTTTTGAGATTATATTATCTATTTCATAGATCAAAAATTTATTGTTAGAGAGGTTAAATATCTTCCTCATGCTAATAAGTGGTGGTACCAGGGTTTGAACTGTGGGTTGATTCTGAAGCCCATTTGAACTCTTATGCTGCATTACATTTTGAATGTCCTATTCCTACTCTGTGTCTCTTTTCTTGAAAAAATCATAATCCTCTCAGTTTCCAAACCAGGAAGTCCTGCCTTGTAGGCCATCCTAATGTAGAGATGTCATACTACTAGATCCTGAGGTGGGGTCTTTTTCTAAATCCTCATATTTCTTAAATTCTTCAGTTCCATCTTATTAAACACTGACCTTAGTATTAAAATGTGTTCTTGTCCTAACATTTATTCTGTCATGTATTAATATTATGTTTATTGACTCAGAAACTCTTGAGTGCCAAGTCTTCTAGGGATTGGTGTATCCAAATAGGCATTAGAAAAAGTTACAAGAGATTTAGGATAGCTCAGTGGTAGAACTCATGCTTAGCATGTGTGGGCCCTGGGTTTGATCTCTGCCACCAAATAAAACAAAAAAAGCTACAGACCAGTGCGAAGCCTAGCATTTATCTGTGTGGTACAGTATAAAAGAACAGTATAGTTTATACAACAGTGCTGCTGTTCCTGCTATACCTGGCTTCTGTGTTGCTACCTCACTTGCCACATTTTGAATTACCTCAGGCACTCTCAGTTTCAAGCCTCTGCTCACATTATTCCTAGTGGCTTATATTCTTTTCCATCCTTCTCATCTTTTAAGACCAGCTAAAGCTCAGCTACTCTCAAAAAATTACTACAGTTGAAGTTACTCTCCTTCTTAATGCTTATGTAGGAACTTGTGTTGTAGTTATTTATAAATATATTTTCCTCCTACTAGTCTGATCCTTAGAAGAGAGTCTGCAACTTTGATTTTTTTTTTCTACCTTTGTTTTTTCAAATGGTGCTGGGGTTGAACCCAGGGCTTCAGACATGCTATGTATAAGCTCTATGATTAAGCTATACCCCCAGACCCTTGCTCTTAAATTTATTTATTTATTTTGCAGTCCTGGAGGTTGAAGGTAAAGCCTTGTATATGCTACATTGAGCTACACTTTCAGCTCTTTTTTGGTTTGAGTCAGTATCTCACTAAATTTCCCTGGCTTTAACTCCGTGATCCTTCTGCCAGAAGTTCCAAGTAGGTGAAATTACAGGTGTGCATCACCCACTTAGGTAACTTTTTATTTTGAAGTAATTGCAGACTTGCAAGAAATTGCAAAAATAGTACACACAGAGTTCTTTGTGACTGTCACCTGGCTTCCTCAAAATGTGACATCTTAGGTAGGCTTAGTAACAATATTGAACTCAAGAAATTAATATTACTATCAAATAATCTGCAGACCTTACTTAGTTTTCATCATGCAGCATTTAAAAATTTTATTTATCTACTTACTTATTTTCTTGTAGTTTTGGAGATCAAACCCAGGGCCTTCTGCATGTTAGGCAAGTACACTGACACTAAACCACATGTCCAGCTTTCATTTTTTTAAATAACAAAATGATATTACAGAAAATGAGAAAAACACAGAGAAAAAAGTAATCCAAACTCTGGGTGGTGGCACATATCTGTAATCCCACCATTCTTGGGAGCTGAGGCAGGTGGATCACAGATTCAAGCCCAAACTGGACAACTTAGTAACTTAGTGAGACCCTGTCTAAAATATATAAAATAAAAAAAGGGCTGAAGATGTAGCCTAGTGTGAAGAGCCTGGATTCGTACTAAGAAGGGGAAAAAAAAAAAAAAAAAAATAGAAAGAGGGAGGGAGGAAAGAAAAGATCTGCAGGACGACTGGTTAGATGTAGCTACCTTCACAATCTCTTTATAGACTTTACTGCATACTCCTGTGACTAAATATCTGTCTCCCCATTATTTTGTAAAATGGGACTATATACCTTTTTCAGACCTTTAAAAATCTTCAGACTTGGTTAATCTTTTTTGTCTGTTTTAATGATGCTGGGGATATAACCTAAAACCCCATGCATGCTAGGCAAGTGCTCTTACCACTGAACTCTCTGCAGCCCACATTATTAATCTTACTATCATCCAGAAGAGACAGGATCATTGGAGAGGTCAGCCCTTCAGGCAAGATGGAGAAGGAAGTATGAGGTCAGAAGTTCAGTCCTTCTAAGGAAACAGGCAGGGCTATGTAGCAGATTGTATACCAGATCACTTAGAAACAGAACTTTCTAGGTAACCTGTTGAATCATATTGCAATGCCAGGTATAGTGGTACATCCTTATAAGCCCAGCACTCGGGGGGCTGAGGCAGGAGTATTGCCCCAAGTTTGAGGCCAGTCTGGGCTCCTTAGTGAATTTAAGTCCAGCCTGAACTACATAATGAGACCGTGTCTCAAAACAACAACAACAACAAAGAAATATATCTCGTGAACTAAAGAAATCAGAAAGAAGTCATTAAAAGTAGAATAAAGGGCTGGGGATTTAGCTCAGGAGCATAAGCGCCTGCCTGGCAAGCACGAGGTCATGAGTTCGATCCCTGGTACCCAAAAAACAAACAACAGAATAAAGTTGATGGGAAAAGTCAGTTCATCAGAAAACTGAGTTTATCTAATTTTCTACCTCTAGGAGAGAAACCTTTTCTTTGTGAAGCCCAAGGATGTGGCCGTTCCTTTGCTGAGTATTCTAGTCTGCGAAAACATCTGGTGGTTCACTCAGGTATGAGAACTTGTACTATTTGTAAATTTCAGGAAAGGAGACCAACAAAAGAGTAGAAGGGAGGGTGGTAAGAAACTGTTTACCCTACACATACATAAAGCTTCTGATTCACAACTGAATCAGAAATCGGGGCCCTTAATAATTGTGTCTAGAGGATCTCACAACTGAGGGTTGAGGGCAGATCTAATAGTATTTTCTGCTGAGTCACAGAAGTACTTTCTAATCCAGAATTTTTATGAGATTAACAAACTTTTTCAGACTATACTGGATCCTTTGTAAGTTACATCAAACAGATCCTGTTTTTTTGGAATTTATATTTCATTCCTCTGGGGGAATATTTCAAATCAGAAGAGTTTGTAGTTAGGAATTTGTTAGTGATAACAGCACTCATAGTATTAAGCTGCCTGAGAAGGAATTAGTGATCTTATTTCATCATCATTTTGGTAGAAACTATGCCTTTGACTGTTAGAACCACATTGTCACCAATAGTCCAAGAGAGAGAAAAGTTTTAATGACCCATTTTTTGTTTTTGCATTCTTAAATTAATTCCTTGTAATTGTTTCAAATTGCTCATTTTGTGCAGATGACCTGGTCTTCCCTGCTAAAGATGTCTTTCAAAATATCTGAAAATATTCAACATCAGCCAGACTTTGTAAGCTCAATAGAAAAAGCTAAAGTTTCCCTTCCCATCCTCTCAAACAGAAGCCTACAGCTGTATCTTGGTGGGACTGCTGCCTGTGAGGCTTTATAAATTATATTGAAAGCAGGATTAAAACACAATTTAAGAAAGGCCTCCAATCTCAAGAATTTGTAGAACCTACTAAAGGTACATCCAGATGAGAACTCATTTTACTGCAGGATTAATCTGGCAGTGATGATAAGCTAAACTGAGAAGAGAAACTTATTACTTACTTATTTATTTTTGTACTGGAAATCAAACTCAAGACCTTATACATGCCAGGTAGGTGCTTGTGCTGCTGAGTTATATACCCAGTGAGTCTTTCTCTTATTGTATGGAGGGCTGAGGATGAGGTTCAGTGGAGCACTTGTCTACAATATATGAGACTCAGTACCACCAGAAAAGAACAGTCTGCTCCTAGCACCATATGGAAAGAGACCCAGTAGCAGCATCTCTGTGACTCCACAATCAATAAAGTAATAGGGAAATAGAAGCACCAGAAGACTACTGATTCATGAAGTGTGGTAGTGAAGATACGGAGGAAAAGTTGGCTGCCTCATTATCAGGCTGGCTCACAGATTCATGAGAAGATTAGAGACGTGTTGGAAGAGACGATAGTGAGTATTAGAAGGACCCAGTATACTCATTTTCGAATTGGAAAAATTCCCCATAACTGGTAGAAACTTGTTGATTGACTGAATTAATTGTCATAAATAAAAGGACTGGATAGTAGCAGTGATTATTCAAGAACAATCTGACCTACACAGTGAGACCTTGGTTTAAGAAAAAAACAGAAAAAGATTCAGCAAGGTCTAGTGTTGCAGTTGAAATCTTAAATCTAGACCTTTTTGCTCTCACTTTTTGTTTGTTTGTTTGTTTGTTTGGTCTTGAGACAGGGTTTTACTGTGCAGTTCAGGCTGGTCTTAAGCTCACTTTGTAGCCCAGGCTGGTCTCAAATTCACAAGGATCCCCCTGTCTCAGCCTCCAGAGGGCTGGGATTACGCTGTGTGCCACCACACCCAGCTTTTGCTTTCACTTCTATTTTCATACTTACTGCAAAACAGTTGGGTCCTACATAATAGCTCACATTCTGGGTTTGTTAGTTTCCTTTTATGTCATTTATCTTATTTTTCCTATATTGACTAAAAATTGAAGCTCTAAAACAGGTATGCCTTATCTGCTGGCTGCATACATCCTTGAATAGCTAGTAAGACAGCTTCAGAAGGTCATAAGCTTTTAGGATTTTTATGTAACTGTTGGCACCTTGCTTGCTTGTTCTCTCTTTCTCTGTCTTTTCATTTTGCTTTTTTGAGACAGGGTCTCAACATGTAGCACAGGCTAGCTGGACCTGTGGAAATCCTCCTGCCTCAGCCTCTCAAGTGCTGGGGCCACAGGCATGTTTTACCACACCTAGCCTGGTTAGCAGCATTTTTCACAACTCAGTCCCATGGTGTTCTGGTGCAGACTACCCAGGCAAACAACAAAGTGGTGTGTGGGAGAGGGCACAGTGTGTTGCTGCCTCCTGTGAGATAGTGTGGCTTGGTGAGTGGAAGGCAGCAGTTATCCTTCTTTATGGCTGAATTGTCTTTATCCATCTGGTAATGGGTGTATAGGCTGCTTCCATTATGTAGCTGTTGTGAAATGTGCTAATATAAACATAGCTATGCAGGTATCACTGTAGTATGCCCAGAAGTATATACGGGTCAAATAGCATTTCTAGTCAGTCGGGTGTGGTGGGGCACACCTGTGAGCCCAGCACTTGGAAGATTGAGGCAGGAGAATAGCTGCAAGTTTAAGGCCTGCCTACATAGTGAGTTCAAGTCCAGACTGAACTACATAGTGAGACCCTGTCTCAAAAAACAAACAATTAGCATTTCTGTTTTTAGTTTTTTGAAGATCTTCCATAATGATTTCCAAAGTGGTTGTATTAATATACATTCTTACCATGTGGGATGATTCCTTTCCCCCCACAACCTCACCATCATTTGTTGTTTTGGGATCCTTGATGATGACTGTTCTTTATGGAGTTGTTGTTTTATTTTTTTTTATGGTACCAGGGAATCGAACTTATGACCTTGCACTTGCCAGGCAGACACTTAGCCACTGAGCTAAATCCCCAGCCCTATGGTATTGTTTTTGATTTGCATTTCACTAATGGTTGGAGCCTGAACATTTTTCGTGTTTATATTGGCCATTTGTATTTCTTCTCCTGTTTATTCATTTCAAATGCTCACTTTTTAATTAGCTCTTTTATTATATGGGGTGTCTGATTTTTTTTTAAGTTCTTTATATAGTCTAGATATGAGACTCCTGTTTGAGGAATAGCTGGTAAAAAAATTTTTTCCCCCATTTTGTAGCTTGCAGTTGTGTTTTCCTTACAATATATTCTTTAAGGATGTATAGTCAAAATACTTTGTCTAAATATCCTTTAAATAATTGTTTTATTATTTCACTTGCCTAATATATTTGTTTCTTTTTCAAGTAGTATTTTTAAATTTTAATTTTATGTAAAGGCATAAAAAAAGGTAGGTATAGTCAAAGAATTATTCATTACAGTTCTAACCCGTTACCCTGTTTTTTCCTCTTTCTTTTAAAGATATTTTAATTCCTTTTAGATTCACTTTTGGGTTTTTTTGGGGGGGTAGTTGTTATTGTTTTGGCAGTATAGTATTAGGGATTGAACAGCTACATCTGAATCCCTGGCCCTTTTTTTCAAAAATATTTTTCACTTGGGAGGCTAAGACAGAAGGATTGATGTGAATTCAAGGCCAGCCTGGAACACAAAGTGAGTTCAAGCCCAGCCTGAACTATATAATGAGATCTTGTCTTAAAACAAATAAACAACAATCAAAAAATCTCACTAATTTATTAAATTGCCTAAACTGGACTTGAACTCTCTCCTCCCCCTTCAGCCTTCCATAGTGCTGGGATTACAGTCCTATGCCACCATGCCCAGCTTTATTTTTCCAGTGTTTCCTTTCAAAAGCATAAATAAGTTCAGATTATTTTTATTACACACAGCCTGAGAGGTTTTTTATTCCCCACTCCCAGTACTGAGAATTTTTTTCCAGGGATACTCTACAACTGAATTATATTCCCAGGCCCTCCTCCCTACTTTTGTTTCCTGCAGTGATAAGGATCAGCCTGCAGCCCTTTGTTTTACTTCTTTTAAAAATTTTTTTGAACAGCATCTATTTTGGTGGGGGGGTACTGGGTATCAAAATCATGACCTCATGCTTGCCAGACAGGTGCTTGTGCCACTGAACTAAATCCCCAGCCCTTTGAGACAGCATCTTACACTGTTGACCAAGCTGGGCTTGAATCTGTAACCCTCCTGTGTCATCCTCCTGAGTAGCTGGGATTTCAGGTTTATGCCACAGCACTTGGCTCTCCATATAGTGCTTTAAAAACTTTAGATACAATTCACATACTATAAGATTCATCCCTTTTAAAAAATGTGTGGGCTAGGCATGATGGTGTACACTGTGATTCAAGTACTTGGAAGGCTGAGGCAGGAAGACTGCTATGAGTTCAAAGCCACCCTTAACTACATAGTGAATTCAAGCCCAGCCTGAACTACATAGTGAGACCTTGTCTTAACACAAAACAAAAAAGAATTGCAATTTGGTGGTTTTTAACATATTCATAGTTTTGCAGTTGTTGCATTATCCAATTCCATGTAATTTTATGCTTCCTAAAAGAATCCCCACATCCTACAGCAGCCATTTCCTGTTTCTGTCTTCCCCTTATCCCTGGCAGCCATTAACTTCTTGTTTTGTTTTGTTTTTTGAGACAGGGTCTCACCATGCAGTTGAAGCTGGCTTTGAACTCACTTTGTAGTCGAGGATGGCCTTGAACTCAGCAATCCTCCTGTCTCAACCTCCCATGTGCTGGGATTATAGGCATACACTACCATGCACTTAACCTATTTTCTGTCTCTGTGGATTTGCTTGTCTATACAATACTTTTCATAGTTAAGAAGAGTATACAGTATGTCATTTTGTGTCTTGATTTTTTTCACTTGGTACATGTTTTCAGGTTTCATTCACATGTGACTCAATAATACTTCATTGTTTTGATGTGTCAAATGTTGACTGTTATATATAAGGCTGCTATGAACATTTCTGTACAAGTTTTCATCTCTTTTATGTGCATGTCTAGGAGTTGAATTTCTGGTCACATGATAAATCTCCATTGAATTTTTTTCTTTTTTTTGGGGGGGGGGAGGGGACTGGGGATCTTGCCATCTCACAGATGCTTATGTCACTGAGCTATATTCCCAGCCCATCTATTGAGCTTTTCGAGGAGCTGCAGTTTTCCAGAGTAGCTGCATTAGCTGGGTATGGTGGCACATGTTGGTAATCCTAGTGCTTGGGAGGCTGAGACAGGAGGATCACCATGAATTTGAGGCCAAAATGGGCTACATAGTGAGTTCAGGGCCAACCTGAACTACAATGTGACCCTATCTCAAAAAAAAAAAAAAAAAAAATGATAACAGTACCTGCATCAGTTTATACCCAGCTCCTCTATTTCTTGATCTGCTTCCCATTTGAGATAGATCAATCTCCCTACTTCCTATTATTTTGCTCTTCTGTATATTTTAGGTTTTTCTTTTTTCTTTTTTTTTAAATTGGTACTGGGGATCGAACTCAGGACTGCATGCTTGCAAGGCAGGTGCTTATGCCACTAAGCTAAATCTCCAGCCCCTATTTTAGGTTTTTCATATAAGAGAAGCCTTGTGATATTTAAGCTTGTACTTCTGATTTATTTCCCTTAACTACTATATTTGGTCTTTAACAAAGTAAAAAAACACACTGTTTAATAAAGAGAGCTGCATGCAGAAGATTGAGTCTAGATCCCTGTCTTTCACTATGTTCTAAACAAAAATCAAAATGAGCCAAACATCTAACTATTAACATAAACATTTAATCTGCTGGAAGATAAAATAGGTAAAACTCTTAAAAGTCATATGTGTAGGCAAAGACTTTCTGAACAAAATCCCAGTTGCACAAGAAATAGTACCAAGAATCAACAAATGGAATCTTACCAATTTAAAAGCTTCTGGGCATGAATTTTTTTTTTCTTTCAAATCCATTTTATTTCAAAGAATGGGCTTGAGTTTTTGATCCCTGATCTAAGTATGGTTGTCTAGTCAGATGGAGTGGAGACACAGAGTTTTGGACTTAAGGACACAGAGTAATAATTGACCCTTTTAGAGCTTTCAGGGATAACAAACAGCCAGCTGTGGTAAGCATGCCATGAGTTCGCCACTATTGACATAGAGGATAGTTCAGATCATTATGTTAGAAGAATACACAAGTGTGGATATTGAAGATACTGGTGCCACAAATAAGACGGGGATTGGAGCCCAGGATTGGAATCCTTGGGAAAGGGTACATGTATTAATTACAGTTTCATGGGAAAATATTTGAAAAGGGAAGTAAATTCTTTATGTGGGTGCAAGGATCCCACACTACAGAAGCTGTGGTAGAGGTCATAGTACAGTGGGTCTGGAATGGATTGGGCTGGGAGTAGTGCACCTTCCTGGTGTACTCTTCCTGCCTTCTCCATGTACTAAAAGTTGTGAGGCTTTGGAGGGAGAGTATGGGAAAAAGAGCAGCCTCTGTAGTTCACCTGCTTTGGCCTTCTGCATCTAATCTTGGTCCATTGATTTGCCACCAAAAATATACTTCATTTTTTGGCTGCCTTATCTCCTGGTCCCTGTTTCAGGAGAGAAGCCTCACCAGTGCCAAGTCTGTGGGAAAACCTTCTCTCAGAGTGGAAGCAGGAATGTGCACATGAAAAAGCATCACTTGCAGCTGGGAACTACTGGGAGTCAAGAGCAGGAGCAAACTGGTGAGGAGGACATAGTGGAGCACTGCATCTTTCTAAGTTCAAGAACAAGTCAGATGAGCAAGGGCCCATCTGACTCTGGTGATCTGATTCAGTTTTGGGTGGTGAGACCTGGTCTCGTTTTATATGCTGCAAGTTTCCAAACAAATGAGTTTTTATTTTTGGTTTTTAGGGGCTGGGGATTTAGCTCAGTGACTTAAGCGCCTGACTGGCAAGCATAAGGTCGTGAGTTCAATCCTTGGTACAAAAAAAAAAGTTTTGGTTTTTGGAGCAGGCCCTCCTTATGCAGCGCAGGCCAGCCTCAAAGTTGTAGCAGTTGTCCAACCTCAGCCTCCCAAGTCCCGGGAGTACAGATGTGCACCACCGCACCCAGCATGCAGGCTTTTAAAATGTGTATCTTCTTGCATGCCAGCATCTCACCGCCTGCTTAAAACAGAATAACCAGATAAATGAAATAATTTGCAGTTCCCAGAACCTGCTGTTTTAAAAGTTCCTGTAGGGGATGGGGTGTAGCTCATTGGTAGAGCACTTGTCTAGCATGCATAAGGTGCTGGGTATAATCTCCAGCACTGCAAAAAATAAATAAGTGGGTTTTGGTTTTTAGGAGCTGGGGATTTAGCTCAGCAGCATAAGCACCTGCCTTGCAAACAGGCAGTCATGAGTTCGATCCCTGGTACTGATTAAAAAATAAATAAAATAAATGAGTTTCCCTTAGTGGCATGCACTTTTACTTCCCATAGACTTAGGATACTTAGTTGAATTCAGGAGTTTGAGACTAGCCTGGGTAACATTGAGACTTCATCTCAAAAACAAACAAAAAGTTCACCTAGTGAGTTTGATAATGTTGGTACATAAACTAGCGTTTGACTAGCATGGTAACAAAAAAATTTCTGTATGACAAAATTTATGGGTTTATTAGTTGTGACTGTCTTTTGCCCTACCTTAAATTTGATAACCTTTTTTGTTATTCTTACTCCTTTTCCTAGTATTTCCTCAATCAGTTATTTCCTACGAAATACTACTAAAGATTGTCCATCCCAATTGACATGCTAATTTTTCAGATGTTGATCACAAAGATAATTATCCCTAAAGTTCAACCCTTTCCTTCTAGGTTTATTCTTGTTTCCTGAAAGTAGGTGAAATAGGTGACATCTGAGATATAAATTAATTTTTAGTTGCGGAAGAGAAGGCTAGTTTTGCTGGTTAGGAAAACAAGGGCCAAGAGCAGCCTGGATTGCGTCTGTCTCTCACACTCTCTTCTCTGTGCAGCTGAGCCACTCATGGGCAGTAGTTTGCTTGAAGAGGCTTCAGTTCCCAGTAAAAACCTGGTATCTATGGATTCCCAGCCCAGCCTTGGTGGCGAGTCCTTGAACCTACCAAATACCAATTCCATCCTGGGAGTTGATGATGGTAAGACTTTGAATTCTCCTTTACTTGGGGAAAATTGGCTGCAAGTAGGGACTAAAGAATGGGGTGTCTCCAAAACGGAGACTTTAAATTGAATTTTTTATGTGTAGCTATGGTATGACTGAGTAGCATTTGTGTTTTACTCTCTGGGGCGGTTATATAAATTTATTTTAAAAAATTAATTGAAGATGATTTAACAAGAATAACGAGAAAAAATTTTAAAAGAGAAAATTATTTGTAATCCCAACATCTTAGCCCAACTATTTCTGTCTTTCCTATTGCAGTTATGGAAGAACTTAACTTTTAAAACATTTAAACAGAACATAACCAGGTTTTACAGAGGAGATATAAAGCAATTTCTCCATACCTTCAAAAGCCATATCTTCTGGAGAAAAGAAAGGGCCCTCTAGGAGTTGCTCCTCTCTGGTATAGAAATTTCACCCAAGTTACACAGGCCAGGCCCTCTTCTCTGAAAAACTTACCAGGTGAGGTCAGCATGCATTTATTCAGTGCCTACTGTGTACCTGGCACTATGGGAAAGGCAAAGTAGGAGATAAGACCCTTAAAATCCAGTTGAGAAATCAAAATTTACATATGTGTGCAAAACAACATTGAGTAAATAGGAGGTAGTACACTAACACACAGTACAGTACTGAAGAGCAGTAAAAGCTACAAAGCCCTTATGTGAAGCTTGTAATTTATTTGAGGGCTAAATGGTTTACCTGTAAAATATTCTCAGAAGATTTTCATGGTGTCCCCACTGATGAACACTTAAAGTTTGAGATCTTGTGTGTTTTAGTTACTTATATCCTACTCAGTAAGTGACCATATTTGTGGGTTATGTTTTTTTTGTTTTTGTTTTTGTTTTTTTTTTTTTTGAGGCTGGTGTCTATGTAGTTCAGGCTGGCCTTACACTCACTCTGTAACTCACAGCAGTCCTCTTGCCTCAGCCTCCTGAGTGCGGAGTTGTAGACGTGGGCCACCATGCCTGCCCAGTTTGTGACTGTATAACTTCTCTTTGGAGCCTACAAGGTCTAGTGTGCTGCAGTCTCATGACCCGTACTGGTGGAGAACTACAGCAAGAGACACGGAAATTGCCTGAACTGCTTTCCCAGTGTGAAGAAGAAAGTCCCAAGGAAGGAGGGGTTATAGAGTAGGACTTTTAAAACCTAGATTAAGTTGTTGAAGTGCACATATTGAGCTGTTAGTGTTACTGGTGATGCTTCAGGGGCTAAATCTGGTTCCCTGATCTGCCTGTCTGAGCTGGTTTAACTCTGTTTCATACATTTTAAGTCCAGATTACAATACTAAAGCCATTATTCTAAATTGCTATATTGAAAAATGGAGAACTCTTATATCAAGATAGCTTGCTTTTTCTTTCCATTCTCTGTGTGTAACTCTTTCCAGTCACTGGTAATGATTATCACTTGAACTCACTTGAAAGGAATACAGAAATGTGGGACTCAAGTTTTTCAGGGAGTAGTTTTTAGGTTTTAATGAGAGGTTTAATGTGGTAGTAGCATATCTGTTTATTCACTTTTCATGGAAGATTAATTTTTTTGTTATTTCACAGAGGTGCTTACTGAAGGATCCCCACGTCCCCTGTCTTCAGTGCCTGATGTAACACATCACTTGGTGACCATGCAGTCAGGGAGGCAGTCGTACGAGGTTTCTGTCTTAACAGCGGTAAATCCACAGGAGGTAAAACTGTCTCTTGACCTTACTTTCTGTGTCCACTTCTGTGGCACTTGATTGTGAATCTACAGCAGTGATGTGAACCTTTTAAAACTTCAGTGATACAAACAGCCTACTGCAGTATGGGTGCCATAGGTTCACCACCATTGATCTAGACAAGATCGGGTGTGTTCAGGGTGGTATAACCATAGCATCACTGATCTAGAGATCTGAAAATATCTCGTTTCTGTTTCTTGAAAATTTTGACTAGAGTATCTTCCTTTAAGCTATATATGAGTCCACCATCAAAGGACCATGTGTTACAGTCTTGCCTTGCAAGTTGGGAGATTAGCGTAGCACAGCAAGATTCTCAGCTTTAGCATACTTCATATACATCCTTAGCGAAAATGTCTATTTCCACTGTTCTAATGTGCAAGTGCCGCTTTTACTTTATAAAGAAAACAACATTGCTGAGTGGTAGTGCATACCTACATCAGAATTTGAAAAGCTGAGATAGGATCATGAGGTTGAGGTCAGTCTGGGCAGCATAGCAAGTTCAGAGCCAGCTGAGATACACAGTGAGTTCAGGGCCACCAAGGGCTACATAGCAAAACCACTTCAGAAAACAAAAGAAAGAAAATAAATATATCCTGGAATAAAATGGTTCCTGAGCAAAAAAAGATTAGTGACAAAATCATTAAAAATAATTATCCACTCTCCTAGGATCATGTTTCTGAAAGGTAACAGGCTAGTTCAGCTGGGCATAAAGGAATAGATCCACACTTGCTTTTTGAATGAAAGCCATCAAAATTAAAAGAGGCCTTTCAGGGGATTCTAAGAACTTCTAAGTCCATGGTCTTGGCTCTCATCCAGCAAACAGAATGAAAACCAATCAAGTCTCAAGAATTTTAGGGTATTTCTATGGTCTTGAGTCAAAGGAATGCATCACAAGTTCATTTTGTATGTGCAAGCCTTCACCAAAAGCTTGAACCCTTTGACTGTGAAGTGGGGGGTATAGATTTTTTTTTTTTAAACCAAAAAACCTTTCTTCTTTCCTTCCATTGTAATCTTTATGGTAATCTGTTATCAGTCAAGTGACTGCATTGAGACTAAATTGAATAGTCTTAATTATTTTAAAATATCCCTGGGGATACCCGGGATCACAAGTCTCTGGACATGCATGCCAACACCCTGCCAGGACCTTTCTTTGTATTCATTCTTGTGACCCATTGTTGTCTAAGCTACCTTTAAATTGTACTAAATATTTTGCTGTTAGTATCATTGGTTCTGTCCTAAGTCACCTTTTCAAAGTTACTGTTTTGAAATGAATCATCTTTCTCACCTATGAAGCCTCCTCATTTTTGCCCTTTTTCTGTTTTGAGATTTCTGTTTTGAGGGAAGTTGTCAGAAAATAGTGAGATAATAGGACACGAACTCATGTACCTATTACCCAAGTTCTGTAATTAACTTTATACTGTTCTGGTTTTATCTTTTCCCTCTACTTGTAGTTGTTGCTGTTTTGTTTGTGGGTGGAGTTATATTAAAGCAAATTGCAGAGCTATCACCTATAAATTTTTAGTATGTAACTCTTAATAGATAAGAATTTTTAGGCAGGCATGGTGGTACATGCCTGTAATCCCTGCACTTAGGAGCTAAGGCAGGAGGATCATGTGAGTGCAAGGCCAGCCTGAACAACAGAGCAACACCTTGTCTCAAACTGCCCCCCCGCAAAAGAATTAAAAATAAGTAATTATTGGGTGTCTTTAGTTGTATTGTGGATGTCCTGAATCCATTCAAAATGTTTACCATTGGTCATCTGGATTTTGAAGAACCACCACAGGTCACTCAGTGCTATACCTATCCATGAATAAGATTGTTGAGGACACATGTTTTTATGAGTCTACCTTTCCATTTGATGGCACGTGGCAGTAGTATTCACCGTACTCTTTATCACACTTTGTAACACTCATGAAAGAGGACTTCCAGACTGCTTCAGAAAGTGTTCATAGTAAAAAGACAAAAAAAAAAAGAAAGTGTTCATAGCAAGAGGGAGTGTTTTTAGGGGAATTCATGGCATCTTTTACGACAATAAAATTTAAAAATTCAAACATTCACTATATATTTTGATCCTCATCCTGCTCTTAATCCTTTACTTAGCATGAATTTTTTTCTATAATTCAGTTGTAACCTATTCTGCATTTGTTTTCAATCTTCTACAGTTACTAAACCAAGGAGATTTAACTGAAAGACGGACATGAGCGTGGGTGCTGACCTTTGAAGGAGCAGCTCTGCCTAATCCGAGAGTGCACCGTGGGCGTAGGACAGAGGCCCCAGAGCCACCGGAACCAAAATAAATCTGTGAAGGACGGAACCCCTCTTTTGCCTCTTTACTTACTTCCCTGCAGAGAACATGAGTGTGTGAGAGCTTCTCTTCAGCCATCCCGTGATCCAGACAAGAAACAAAGCAGGGCCTGGGCTGGTACCTCCACCTGCCTCTTCTCACTGCGGAATTCTGGGACAGACTTTTCCACCCAGTGGCAAACAGGGTTGTGTTTGCTGAAGTTTTTCATGACAACTGTTGAGGGAAGGTTTTCCTTCAGAGTTTTCACCCCAGACCCAGCTTTCTCTTCACATGGATGGTGAACATCCTGCTGTCAGCCACAGAGCTTCTCCTTGAGTTTTCAAGAGGCCTTGTTGCTTTGAAGAAGGGAGTAATGTCAGTTCTGTCATGGCGTTCTCCTTTCAGCAACCTTAGTAAGAGACTCTCAGCCACTGGGCTGCAAAAAAGAATTACTTGAATCTCCCTTTGGCCGTGCTGAGGTTCTATCTTGTCTTGTACACCTCTGCTCAGTCACTTTGCTTTCTTTGTTGATGGAACATACAGTAGCATGTTAAGAAGGTTTTTTTTGTTTTTTGTTTTTTGTTTTTTTTAAAGTTAAAAATCACATGATACAGAGCTTCACTTTCCCTTTAAATAAACAAAACAGCCCAGTCAGTTGGTTGGCTCTTCCTTCGAATACAGCTTAGTTTCTTAAAAAGGAGAGCAAGAAAATAATTGCTTTCTCTTTAAGATGGGGCAGTGATTCACCCTTTAAGATTCCATGTAGGTAAAACTGACTAATCCTGAGAAACGTGACATGAGATTCTTCATTTCTACCTAGCAAACACACATGGTTGTTACCAGAGTATCACTCTGTCATATCAGAGCAGTCTGTGTCTAGGAACATGCCGTCATAATAGGTAATTTTTAGTTTTTCCAGAAAGACAGTTAAAATGTGAGCATTTAAAGCACTCTTGTTACCAGTCTGCCCACAGTTACTAATAGAAAATAGTCAGTTATGGACAACAGGAAAAATATCCCAAAGGCCACCTACTAGTAGAAAATCATGGTTTCCAGAAAAGTTTTAAATTTATTTAAAATGATCTCTTCCATGCTAACACACACACATGCATAAAGTAGCACATTTAAACAGGTAACAGGAAAAATTAGTTCCTTTTAAATAATTACAGTTCTTAATTTATTAATTACATACATAATCATCCTAAACTATGCAGAATTAATTCACAGCAAATATGTATTCTTAAAATGCTAGGTTCTGTGCCTGATGTGGCATATGCCTGTAATCCTGGCACACAGGCTGAGGGGATGATTGTCACAAGTTGAAGGCTAACTTCCACAGCAAGACCCTCCTCAGAAAATAAATTCTGTAGCCTTACTTTGATCCTACAACAGTGATTTTTTACCTAGAAACATTTGGCAATATCTGGTGACATTTTTGGTTGTCACATCAGGAGAGGGGAACTACTGGCATTTAGTAGATAGAAGCAAAAGTGCTGTAAAACATCCTACAATACACAGGTTCTTTCTCTAACCACCAACAAAAAATTACCTGTCCCAAAGTATCAGTTGCTCAGGTTAAGAAACACATGTTGTATTTTACCTACACAATTTAAACTACTAGGGATTGAAGCCAGAGCCTTTGCTATATCTCCAGCCCTTATTATTTTTTGAGACAGGATCTTGCTGTATTGCCCATGCTGATCTCATACTCAAGGCCTTCATGCCTCAGCCACCTAGAATGCTGAGATTACTGGCATGTACCACCATACCAAAGCTATATTTTAGAATAATCTTTATCTTTTTGAGACAGGATTTCACTATACAGGTTAGGCTTGGCCAGTTTATGCCACTGAGCTAAATCCCTGGCTTTCCTCAGCTGCTTGAGTTCTGGGTTATAGGCATGCACCACCATGCCTGGCTGAATTTTTTTTCCAAATTCATTTCATTAAATTATTTTTAATTAGTTGCAAACGTGTAAATTCCTGGTTTCAGGTGAAAATGTTGATCTGGCAGTGTTGGGCCTGTTTTCCAGCAGGTTTTATACTCATTACTTACTCCTACTACCTTGCATCTATCAATTTGACTCATTTGTTTCTTTCTTTCTTTTTTTTTTTTTTTTTTTGTCTTCCTTTTTATCGGTACCGGGGATTGAACTCACGACTGCCTGCTTGCAAGGCAGGTGCTTATGCAGGTGCTGAGCTAAATCCCCAGCCCGACTCATTTGTTTCATGATTAACCCCAGTAGGCATCTGGGCTTGTGTATCACCACCACTATCCTTTTGTGGTATCGAGACAGGGAGCACCACTGGTTTCTGAGACAGGGTCAGGCTAACCTCAAATTCAGATGTGCCTCTGCCTCTGCCTCCGAAATGCTGGGATTATAGGCGTGCACTACCATACCCAGCATGAAGAAACATCTTTTGGAATGGTGTGCCTGGCCAATAGAAATGAAAAACTTTATTCGGGGCTGGTGGTACATGCCTATATGAGGTGTAATCAGAATATATGGTTGAATGTTCAAATTTAAAAAAAAAAACAGTAAAAGATTGCCATTTAAACTCACTCTTGTTTCAAACATACTTATGTCATCATTGGCAATTTCTGAAGGTCTGGACTTAGTGAGGGTTGTTCAGACATGATAGAATATGGTAGATGCAGCTGCTGACTGCCATCCATTGGAAACGCAGGTTCATATAAATGTGGCTGGGTGTGATAGCACACACCTGTAATCCTAGCACACAGGAGGCTGAGGCAGGAGGATCACAGAGTTCAAAGCTATCCTGGGCTACATAGTGAGAGCTACTCTGGACAAGCAGGGAGTATTCTAAAGGAAAATACTACCCTCTATTTAAGTGTCAGGGAAAAAGCAAGTACTTTACCTGTGAACTGTGATCCCACTACTCTATACTTGTCTATTTTGATTTCCTCAAATTGCTTCTGTCACTTCACCATGTGGCCATGACATCCAAATTTTGTTTGCTTTCACTCAGCTCCTAGTTAGATGCATGATGTTCAGAAGCAGTAATGTTAAGTGTACTGGTTAAGTGCGTGGTTTGAGATTGTCTGGTGATTCATAAGACAACATCTCCAAGGCTTTCTTAGTGCTTGTCACCTGTTTTAGGGGTTCCTCTGAATCTTGCTGTGGATCCCTGATGTTGAGTGTTATAATTTCATTGGTACTGGAAAATAAGGTACAATGAAATAGAATATTTTAAGGAAAGCATTATGTAAGGCTGAAGAATGATTTCAATATTTTCATTGTTATATATGGGTATAAAAGGACATTTCTGAGAGGAAAACAGACAAATTAGGGGAGGGGCTACTAGGACATAAGAAACAAAACTAAGAATAATGAAGATCCTGTGTATCTCTCTTTGATTTGGACAGTATCACCTAGGTTTTGGAGAGGTGTTGCTAATAAGTTAACCTTTAAAGAGTACTAGAAAAAGTTTCATCGTTTTACAAGCAGTCAGATTATACACGATTTTTGGCCACATGTGGTGGTACAACCTGTTATCCCAGCTCTCAGGAGGCTGAGGCAGGAGGATCACTGAGAATTCAAGGCCAGTCTGGGCTACAAAGTGAGTTCAAAGCCAGCCTGAACTATGTAGCAAGACCTTGTCTCAAAAAGACAAATAAATAAATAAAACTAAAAACATTATACATGATTTTTCTTAAGAAATAAAAGAAATACTTCTCATGACATTAGAACTGGAATTAGAAAATGATGTTGATTCAAATTGAGAGAGCCGGGTGTGGTGGCTCACGTATGCAATTCCAGCACTCAGGAGGCTGAGGTGGGAGGATCGTTGTGAGTTCCAGACCAGAGTGGGCTACAAAATGAGCTCAAGGCCAGCCTGAACTGCATAGCAAGACTCCGTCTCAAAAGACAAAAAAAAAAAAAAAAAAAAAAAAAAAAAAAAAAATTGAAAAAGTCTAAACTTAATACAACTGTTAGATTTTATCCACAACTGCACTATTCTAAATCCAGAGGTGTGGTAGACCTCTAGCCTGGTCTCATTTGTAAGTATGGGATTGTGATCACAAAGTGTGAGTGGCTCTTTGGAAGTTTTCTCCCAGTGGCAGTGTCTGGGATAGACAACCCAGAGCTGCAGAGTGGCACGGCATCTCAGTACCTGGGCAAATCCTTGCCTTGGGCGTCATCCTTCCAGTGCACAGCTCGGGTGCCCTGACTCTTCTTCTTTACGAAGTCCTCCTCCAGCCCAGCCTGCCTCAGCGTGGCTTGATACCGTTGCTCTGCTTCTTTCCGGGCAAGGTCCTGTGGAATGGAACTTAATCTGCTATAGCTGACTCCTGAATTATTTTAGATGATTTTAAATTGCTTTATCAGTTTCCTTATAATCCTGCCCCTAACTGCTACCTCCACACTTAGTACTGGGCCCAAGTTTGCAGAAAAATTTCATGGGAGTTTTTTTGTTTTCAAGTCTTAGCGTGCAAGTGAGCTCCCTGAGGATCCAGTTAAAATGCAGGTTTCGGTCTGGTTTGGGTCCTTGCACAGTACTCCACTCATGCTGTAGAATGTACTTTTTTCATACTTTTACTTGGTCCAAACTCATTTTGCAGAGTACATTTCTTTTCCTACAATTGATAAAGGTAAAACTTTGATACCTATAAAAAAATGCAGGTTCACAGTAGGTAGGGCTCAGATGTGGCCTACAATTCTGTATCTCTAATACTACCAGAAGATGCCAACTGTTAATTTGGGAGCCACATCTTTGAAAAGCAAGGATTTAGATTTGTGGGAGACCAAGTGAGGCCCACATGAAAAAATATAGTCTAAAGGCCCCATAGTGCCTCATGGTTGTAATCCCAGCTTCTTGTGAGACTAAGGCAGGAGGATTGCATGAGCTTGTGTGTTTGAGATAAGCTGTACAACACAGGGAGACCCCAAATCAAAAACAACAGCAACAAACACAATTTAAAAAAAAAAAAAAACCCAGAATTTAGCATGGGGTACACTAAGCTGAAGCTACTCAGGAGATTGAGGCAGGAGGACGGCAGGTTTGAGGGCAGCCTGTGTAACTCAGTGAGACCCTACTTAAAAAGGGGGAGACTGGGAAAGTAGGTCAGTGATAGAGCACTTGTCTAACACATTCAATCTGCAGTACATTTTAAAATTTAAAAGCAGCCAGGTGGCACACACCAGTAATCCCAGCACTCAGGAGCTGAAGCAGGACAGCTACAAATTCAAGGCCAGCCTGAACTACATAGCAATACGGTCTCAAAAACCTAAATGCAAATAAATAAGTTATAAATAAATGTATATTGAAATTTAAAAGCAAATGAACTATCATGAAGAATACTAAAATATTAACAAATAGAAAGTAGCTACATTCAGGACAACCTTAACAAAATGTGTAAATACTTAAGAGCAAAAATCATAGAGTACTTTGCATTTTTCCTACTGTTGAGATCGGAAGACTACACTTTCAAGTCAATATCTAAAAGAAAAAGGTTTGGATGGGAAGTTTTTTATTTGTTTTGGTACTGCATGTTGAACTCATGTAGTGCGGAGCTACATGCTCAGCCTTTTTAATTTTTATTTTGAGATAGGGTCCTGTCTCTGCTTCCCAAGTAGCTTGGATTATAAGCATTTGCACCACACCTGGATAGCATGAGAGATACTAAATGAATCCAAGAAGTCCAGCCCGTGTGTGAGGCTAGAGAGGACCAGAAGATGCCGAAATTAAGCTCCAGCTGGAGGATGGAGCTAATGCCCAGCATTTAGAACTAGTCACTAGGGACCTCAAGTTCTGTCTGAAACTAAAGAGGAAAGGGATACACAGAGCCTGATGCATCCCAAAATGCTTGGAACAGTGGCCTTTCTGGGCCATTCAAGTAGCTCCAGAGCTTCCCTAGGAAGAACTCATAGGGATCTCTCTTCCCTTAGAGGACAAATGATTCTGCCTGAAAGCCACTTATTTTAGAAAGAGCCTTATGAGGTGCATGTGTGTACCTGAATCCTTGAAAATGTACATTTCGGGGGAAAATGGTACTAATAAAGGGGTACAACTGAGAATGTCGAGTGTTGAAATGTTCACTGCTTGGGCTGGGGATTTAGCTCAGTGGCATAAACACCTGCCTTGAAAGCAGGCGGTTGTGAGTTCAATCCCCAGTACCGATAAAAAGTTAAAAAAAAAAAAAGTAAAACAGAAATGTTCAATGCTCACATTGAAATTGCTTAATAATCTCTAAGAACCGTTTCATGCAGGCAGAAAGAAAATAAATGACAGTGCAGCTTTACCTTGGTAACTTGTTCAAAGAGATAGGGCCTTGTTTGTATTCTCTTCTTCATTTCTTCCAGTTCTTTTTTATATTCTTGTGCTCTTTTACGGTCATTGTTCCTGGAATGAAGAAGATTTCTAGAGGAAATTTCATCTTTTCCAACCCAGAACACCATCCATTCCATTAAGTAGAGTAACTCTGAGCTACACTGTAAATTTCTAATTTCCTGGCAAAATGCTTGACTCCGTTTGTAGAGATGCCAACCCCCAATAACTCCAAGTTGCCATTTTCCAATCTTACTGGATCCCAAGACAGAGTGCCCCGCTGACACACAGAACGCACTTACTGGTTCTCTCTCAGCTTGGCTTTGAACACTTCCTCCAGGCTTTTATGGGGATCCATGGCTTTTGCACGCAAGGCCACAGACTTTGACAGTGCTTGACACTTCTTTTTGTGCATCTCTAACCACTGAATACTCTCATCTGCCTTCTCCTTTTTTTCAAGTGAACTTCTAAGGCAGGGAGTGAAAACAAGGGTACAGATGACCATCCTGGGTATATGTAAGAGCAATCTTAATCATCTTTCAGGAAAATACGTTGGTGTTTTTGATGAATAAATTTACCATTGTGGACATTTTCAGAAAGAACAAGATGTTGAGATTAAATCCACTGGCAGATAAAGCCTTCACAGTGCTGCAAACCCAGAGATTTCCTACCACAGGAAAAATTCAGTAACTTAAGTGTAGAACATGCAAGTTAAAATATCCTTAAATAGTCAAGTATTTATTAGATTTTTCTAGGCTTGCACCTGTCTGAAAACACTACTACTAGCTACCATTTGCTGACCTATGTATATGAACCACATTTCCTAAAAACCTCCTAATTGCCTTGTGAGACAGAAAACCCCTCCACATGAAGAGATTGATGGTCAGAGTGCAAGCCACTTGTTCAAAGATACCCAGCATGTCAACTGAAAAGCCAGGATTAGAACCACAAGCTTCTGCCATCGTACCACAAACAGTAAGCTAGAAGGTACTTGAGTTCATGCTTCTTTGGAAATATAAATCCACATTTCCAAAACAAACAAACTAGAAATGCTCCTCTTTCAAATCAGACAACTTGAAATCAACACGAAGCACTTGTTTTTTAAATTATTCTACAAGGTTTTATGTGGAGTTCTACCAAAAGGAAAAAAAAAAAAGCAAGATGTCTTGTATTGAGATTTATACATTCAAGTGGACAGAAAGAGAAGAGCACGAAAATTTAGTCTGTTGAGATGCCAAACCCTCCTGCTGGAAAGAGGCATAGCTATCTTCCATAGGTGAGCTGGCCTCTTTTCATGATATTATTGTGCCTCTGCATATTGATGTATTTAGCCTGATTCAGTAACTGTGAAACTCAAGAATTTTAAATAAACTGGGAGCACCCCTGGGAAGGCCCCAAGAGGGGAAGGCACTAAAAGGTACTAATTCACTGGCTGGTCCCCAGGGCTCAGCTGCTCACTACACAGTGATGCACCCCCCAACACACACACACACAGTAGCTCAGAGGGCTTGTAGAGGAGCTCTTTCTGAGGTGCTGGCTGAATTGCAGAGTTAGCTAAATTTCAGAGTTAAAAGTAAAAAGGTTCTGTGATAGAGTACTTGCCTAGTACAGATAAGGTCCTGCACTTGATCCTCAGCACTGCTAAGAAAAAATGCAAAACAGGCTCCTTGTTTCTTCCATCCAACTCTGACACCTTCCAAAGCTCAGAGCACTTCAAATCCAGCACTGATCTGGGCATGGAGGCGCACACCTGTAATCTCAGTACTCAGGAGGCTGAAGCAAGATCATCATGGGTTCAAGGCCAGCCTGGGTTACATAGTGTCAGCCAGAACTACATAGTGAGGACCCATCTCAAAAAAAAAAAAAAAAAAAAAGGAGGATTACAATCCGAGGTCAACCTGGGTAACTTAGTGAGTCATTGAATCCTTATCTTAAAAAAAATGACTAGGGTTGTAGCTCATTGCAAAGACCTGGATTCAATCCTCAGTATGGAAAACAGAAAAAAAAAAAAATCTGGCAATGACTGTCTCTTTTGTGGCAAGTTCAGCCATCTGCCTTCAGGCGTCTCTGAATGTTTTTCATTCATGGCAACCTTTCTCTTTCATTTATGGGTTTTTATGTATACTAGTCTGTCTGGAGCCCTCTTTCTCTTCAGCCTATGTTGCCGACTCCTCATTCGAGTTTAATCTCTGATATTACTTTTTTTTTTTTTTGTCTTTTATCGGTACCGGGGATCCCACTCACGACTGCCTGCTTGCAAGGCAGGCGCTTATGCCGCTGAGCTAAATCCCCAGCCCCTATCTCTGATATTACTGTAAAAGACAAGCAATCCCACTCCAGCTGCCCTGTGTCCCTGAAGGCCTCGATACCTGCACTCCTTACAAAGTATGGTAGTTGTTTATTGACTCTCCTGTATTTCAGGCTGCACATTACATGGCAGTTTCTTAGGGGCTGGGGATTTAGCTCAGCGGCATAAGCACCTGCCTTGCAAGCAGGTGGTCATGAGTTCGAACCCTAGTACCGATAAAAAGTTAAAAAAAGCAAACATGGCAGTTTCCTAAGATGTCTTCATGGTGCCCTGTACACCGTAAGTACCCCTGAGTGTTTGCTGAGTGAGAGCTGGGTGCTGTCCACACCAGGCAGGCAGAGCTGCACCTATTTCTGCCCTGGTCACAGAGTCCCTTCCAACTCCTGAGGTGTCTCTGATAATAGCACAGGGGGGTTGGCACCAGGGGTCCAGCATTAGGTCCCAGATCAGAGTACTGTGGGTCCTGTGTGGCCAACCACTCACCTGATTGCAGACTCCCTCTTTCTGGTGGCATCTGTGATGTGCACAGGGAGGGTGTTAACAGAAAGCGAAGCAAGGCCACTCAGAGAGCGACTCCTGGGCAGGGGTGTAGCTGGTGGCTCTAGGGAACCCTGAAAAAAAGGAAGGCTGGTACTGATGCAACAGCATGTGGTCCTGGTTTGTCTTAATGAGGATTCAATTTCAATCAAAAACTGACAAATGAGAAGCTGCATTTTTCCCCTGGGAAAAAGGCAAGGCTAGTGAGACTTCAAGCCTAGCAGCAGGCCAAGACTTGGATATAGCCTGAAGTTTTCAATCAGATGAGAAGAGTTCTTCAGAATTGGTACAAGGATATGAGCAACTGATCTCAATTCTGAGCCTCCCAAACTTGCTTGGGCTTATTTCTTTTTTCTTTCTTTTCTTTTTCTTTTTGAGACAGGGTCTCACTATGCAGTTCAGACTGGCCTTGCACTCCCTTTGTAGCTCAGGCTGGCTTCAAACTTGCAGTGATTCTCCTGTGTCTCAAGCACTGGGGCCTGGACTTATTTCTGTAGAGCTCCTCTAGAGAGAGGAACAGAGGGAGTTTTCCTGTGTGGATATGTTTATAACTGAGTTGGTATTTTGTTGTTGTATACCTGGGCCCACCCTGTACTTCAGACCTCAGGCCTGACCCCCAGTAGCTGCCCAGGCCCTTACCTTTCTTCCTCTGGAAGCTGCTGTGTCACAAGACCGCGGAGGGTGGCACAGGCTGGCGGTCCTCAGTAAGAAAGGCTTGTTGCGAGTGGCCTCTCGTGTGTCCCTTCTCTTGGCAGCTCTCCTCTGGAAAGCCTTGTAGAGGGCCTCGTGGTCAGGGATGACAGGATTCACCTGAGGCTGGAATCCAAAGTTGGTCTGCAGGAAGCTGAGCTTCTTCTCCTGAGTACGGGCAGCTGTGCGGGGCTGTGGGTTAGGCCGGCTGCTAGAGGAGGCCAGAGGGGAGGCGGCCTTGTGCAGCGTGTCCAGGGCCCGCATCTGGATGCGAATTTTCCTGAAGAGCTCAGCTTCTGTGGAGAAACAGTAAGAGTGCTGAAGGGTGAGGGGAGACCAAGCTTCACCCCAAAAGGTCTGGAGAACTTCCCCCACCTCGAAGTGCTAGCAGTAGTGTGCTGAAGCCGGCTGTGAACCTCCAGGGAATTTTGTGAGCCTGCTGACATCACAGTGGGAGGTCGGCAGTTAGCAACAATTGAAAATGGCAAATATGGCACAGCAGTCTGCTGTTTTTCTTTTTCTGCAGTGCTCATGAATACGCAAGGACCAGGACACCATTGCTGTGGCACTTGGCTCCTGGCAACACTTATGGAGCATTTTATAAATTCCTTCTTCAGGGCAAAGCACAAAGCTCACCTGCCATCTACCCTCTGCCAGGCCCCCTGGTCGCTGAGAAGGGCCACCAGCCAACCATTCCTGCTGCCGCTTCCTCTCATTAGTCACAGGCTCTCCATTTCCTCCTCCTAAACTTTTCCCCAGACTCTTTTCACTGTCCCCAACTTCATAACTGCTCAACTGTGAATTTCTGAAATGACCTCCTATCATGTTTCCCCCAAAACAAGAGTTTGCTGGGTGACCACTCTATAAGGTAGGTACGGCAAGGATAGGTCGACAGGGCTGTTTTTTTGTTGTTGTTGTTTTTTTTAATGGTACTGGGGATCGAACTCACGACCTGCCTGCCAGGCAGGCACTTACCCTGCTGAGCTAAACCCCCGGCTCCGGGCTGGCATTTTTGATTTCTAGTGGATTATTTTTCTGTTTAGGTCTTATTTTGGGGGAAACAGGGTATCAGATCAACACCCATCCAGTCTTGCCACCCTCTCATTATCTATGCAAGTATTAGAGTGACTTTTTGGAATCCGGTCATAAGCTGCCACCCTACTCAAAGGCTGTCAGTGGCTCTACAGTGCCCTTCAGACGAAGTCCAAACTCCTCAGGGGACCCACAAGGCCCCTCAGAACAAGCCTGTGTGTCTCCCATTCTCCCTCTTCTCTGACTTACCTCCAGGCCACATCTCTGCATGCGCCCTTCTTTCTGTCTTCACCAAATTCACCATGGCCCCTCCTTCACCAGCACCCTCCTGGCGCTCACTTTCTCAGGATCCTTCCTGAACTGTTCCCCCTTTCACCCCAAGTTAGTCCTTCACAGAACCCTCAAGTTTCCTATTAACCCTTGATATGATGTATGCCATCAGTAATTATTTGTCTCTTTCCCGTGCCACTGCGTGTCTACAAACTGTTTACTCACACAGAATAGCACTTAGTGAGTTGCACATTAAGGCCAAAGACTGGGCTATAGATTTTGTTTTTCCTGAGGTTCTGGGTGGGGAACCCAGAGCCTCACACATGCAAGGTGAGTCCTCTGCCACTGAGCTATAACCTCATACCCTCAGGAAACACTACTTTTGAAACATGTAAATAATCATCCTCTAATTTCAGTGATTTGTAATTGCCTCCCCAAGATGAGGGAGGCACTGGGAGCTTCCTAGGGGAAGCTGGCTAGAAGTGCCAGTAGCCTCAGCGGTCCTGGGTGTCTCACGGTCTCGGCTCCTGTACTTGTGCTAGCAGAGGCCTTCACATGAGTCCACTGAGAGAGCTCACCAGGACCTGCCTCGGGGAGCACTGTAAGACCATTCGCAGGCTCCCTAGCCTCCCTCATGGCTGCTCTGAGGATGCAGCCTCCAGCGGGTCCACCCGAACAGCCTGTCTCCAGGCCAGGCTAACTAGGTCCCTCCAGTGCCTCTGGTGTACCCAAGCAGGAGGCAATGTGGCAAGGATGTCTTTACCCTCAAGTTTGTCTCCAAGGGCGGGCTCCAGAACGGACTTTGGGATCCTTCGAGTGGCTTTCTTTTGGGGGACCTCAGCCTTATCTGTGGCAGCCAAGTCTCTCTGTCGAGCAGCTTCCTTCCGCTGCTCTTCCTTCTCCAGGAAGCTGAAGGGCTTCAGGGAAGAGAGGAGCAGTTCCTTCCTCTTCTGGATGCCTGCCTGCCTCCGGGCTTCACTGCGCTCCATGATCTCCTGGTACAGGGGCAGGTAGACGTGTGCTGGCACAGGCTGTGCCCGAAACTGCCGGTGGCACTCAGCCTCCTCCTGGCCCTGCCTCTGGGCCTGCTGCTTCCCTTGTTCAAAGTAAGCAGGTGAGGCCAGCCACTGGGCTTTCTTCTGGGCCTCACGCAGTGTCATGTGGAATGGCCGAGGGACAGTGATGGAAGATGCCCAAGAGCTGATGCTTCTGTGTCGGGAGTGAAGCCCAGAGCCTGAGGGTGGCTGGGCCTGGGCCTCGGGGACATCACAGGGAAGGCTGCTCAGAGAACTGCAACGTCTCCTGGGTTCACGCCTGGGGGAGAAAGCGGATCTGTGTGTGGAAGACAGGGCAGTCAGGGGGCCTGGTGGTTCACAGCTTACCTCTGGCTGGATCTCACACCCCACAGACCTCCCTCCTCCCATGGGCAATCCTTGCAGCACACAGGGAGCTCTTTTTAAAACTGAGCATTAAGTTGCCAGTCTGTAGGGCTGGGAATTTAGCTCAGCGGCATAAGACCCTGCATTGCAAGGGTGTGGCTGTGAGTTCGATCCTTGGTACCGGTAAAAAAAAAAAAAAAGAAAAATAAGTTGCCAGTCTGCACTGTGTTTATATACGCGAGAGAAACTGCAGTGGGGCAGAACAAGGACTCAGGGTCAGATCCAAGTTAAAACCTTGCTTTAGACGTGCAAGTTTTGCATTTCTTCAGACATAAAATGGCAAAAATAATATCCATTTGCAAGACAAATGGGAGGAGAAAGCAAATGTTGCTGTAACTTTATTTATTTATTTATTTTTTGGTACCAGGGATCGAACTCACCTCATGCTTGCCAAGCAGGCGCTTAGGTCACCGAGCTAAATTCCTAGCCCCAGAAAGCAAATGTTAAATAAGATAAAACACACGTGCATAAGACAGGCTTTACTGGGGTCAAGGTACCTTGTCATTCTTGGGGGAAAAGTGTTGGGAGAAAGGTATTCCTTTAATTAATTCCAATGCTTCACTGAACTAATAGCTGCCCAGAGATCTGATTTAGGCTCCTGGGTTGGAAATGGAACACCTGCTTGGACCCCAAAAGGTGATCCGACTTGGAGCCTCAAGAAGTACCATAAGTAATCACTGCTTTTCACAGTTAGGAAGTGAGGCCCAGAGACAGGATGTGACTTGCCTGAGGCAACTGTTGATACAGGTTCTTACCTCACAGATGGAGGGCACTGGACCGGCGGCCTCCCTCGGCCCTTGTCTTGGAAGAAACTCTCCAGATCTTCATCTTCAGAGATGCTCTTATCACTGTCTAGGTCAGAGGCTGTGAGGGACTCCAACAGACCCCAGCTGCCTTTCTGCTTTAGAACCTGCAGGGTCCCGTAAAAGCTCCCAGTGGAGTCAGAAGTAGAGTCTGTCTCTTCTTCTGGGCTGAGAAACTCATAGAGTTTGCCAGCTCTGGGCAACACCAGCCCATCCCCAGATAGTTCATCTTCTGTCTCAGTGTCTGAGGAGGATTTTGGAGCGTATATCTGAAATAAAACAGAAATTGGCCATGGGTTATACTATAATTTCAAAGGTCTTCAAAATGCAACTGCTAGCCAGGCATGGTAACGCATGCCTATAACACTAGCACTTGGAAGGATGAGGCAGGTAAATTTCTGAGAGTTCATTGCCAGCCTGGACCACATAATGAGTTCAAGGCCAGCCTGAACTATGTACTGAGACCTTCTTGCTACCCTCCCCCAAAGAGAAAAAAAAACCTCCAAACACCCCTAGAAAACAAGACATGTTCCTCACTGTACATAAAGTTCATGGTGTGATAGATCGGTGAGTTTGGTTGAAGCACAGGAAAGTAAAGTGAGGCACTAAAGCTAGGTCCTTGTGCTGTGTAGTGTGGTTTGCATTTATACAGTACTAACCTACACTGTGCATTCTGCACACGGCACTCTGCAATTCCTAACCACAACCTTGTCCAAACTGTGTCCTGTGTTACCCAGTTACATACTTTGCCCAAGTTACATACTTGCTGCCATTTTCTTTCTTTTGTTTCTCCATCCATATCCCTGATTTCCTCATATTCTAACTAATTTCCACTCCCTCATTAGGGATGGATGACTACGTGGAGACCACATGGCCTGGCTGAAAAAGTACCATGACAGAACCTGTGACACCCAGCTAACCTTTAAGCACTTCATTCAAGGGGCAGGGCGATAGCTCAGTGGTAGAGCACCTGATTCACATGCTCAAGGACTGGATTTGATCTCCAATACTGCAAAACAATAACAAGACTTCATCATAAAGAATGTACAGAAAACACTTAAGGGGAAGTTGCCATCTGAGAACAAGACAAATATGGTCTCAAGTCTTATGAAACTCTCATTACAGTGAAAGGGGACAAAAAACACAAGAGGACAATACATTTAAAAAACAAAAAGTGTGAGGGTATAGTGTGATAGAGTCCTACAGAAAGCTTCTCTGTTGATAAAGCTCAAAAGGGGACACTGGGAATGCACCTAACATTAGGGTTAGGTTTATTAACTTATTGCAATACATTAGGAAAACCGTAAGGAACCTGGCATGTGTGTGCGGAGGATTTCAGGGCTGACTTATGCTATCTTGGGCAAATTTCTTAGTTATTTTTTCTAGCAGTGGTGAAGTTTATTCGAGAAAGTAAAAGTGAGGAGTGAGAGAGATACTGGCTCTGCAGAGCTAGTAAAAGTGAGGAGTGAGAGAGATACTGGCTCTGCAGAGCTACTTTGGGTTGAGTAAAAGGAGAAAAAGCAATAAAAGCACACCCTGGAGAAAGCAAAGCAGACTAATGTAAAAAAAAAATCATGACAGCCTTTTTCTTTCTTTTTTTTTTTGCCAAGATCTTGCCATTGCAGTTCAGACTGGCCCCAAACTCAGTGATCCTTCTGCCTCAGCCTCTTGAGTGCTGGAATTATAAGTGTGACCTACCATGCCTGATGGTCTTACATTTTTAAACTTATTTTTAAAGAGCAGAATGTATTTACTGGGGGAAAGAAAGCCTCTATCGGGCTGGAGGTTTAGCTCAGCGGCATAAGCCCCTGCCTTGTAAGCAGGCAGTCGTGAGTTCGATCCCCGGTACTGATAAACAGGAAAAAGACAAAAAAAAAAAAAAAAAGCCTCTATCTGAGAGACAGAAGGGGTCCAGAGTGGGTTCCCACTATATTTTAAAACTTTATCAAGATATAATTTCCATAGCATACAACTTACTAATTCAAAGTGAGTATTTCAATCTAATACAGTCAACGCTGTGCAATTACCACAAATTTGAGAACATTTTCATCGCCCCCAAAAGAAACTCCATACTCTTTAGTAGTCATTTTCCATGTACCTTAACCTCACACATCTCACCACCTACTAACCGCCACTAAGCTACTTTTCTGTCTCTATGGATTCTGAAGCAAGTTTCTTAATCTGCCTATACCTCTGTTTTGCCTTCCACAAAATGGGAACTGTGGTACTGGTTATAAGGCAGATGAGAGGATTAGGAAAAACAGTACATTGCTACGGCCCCAGAAAGTCTCCTAAAAGGTAAAGTAGTGAAGTCCAAGAGCGCACTGGTCTCTTAACGCCTAAAAGCGATCCAGTTTTAATCTCACGCCCCTCAGTGACACGCCTCTGCCGTCGGTCTCCAAGGTAACGCAAAACAGTTTCGTCTCTTAGGGATTTCTTTCCCGGACACAGGTCCTGCTGTCTCCCTTCTTTCTCTCCTCACCTGACGGCTGAACTCTGCGCTGCCAGAGGCTCCCGCAGGGCCCCCCACAGTCATTTTCGCAGCCAGAAGAAGCAGCAGCTGTTGTGACAGCGGCTGTGGCGCCCTTGACAGTGCAGACACGCCCCTTTCTAACTTTGGTCTCCGATTGGCTCTCAGGGCATCCTTCCCATCCGTCCCGCCCCAAGAGGCAAGAATCGTGTTTTGACTGGTCTATTTCCTTCGCGCGTTTTATTTCCGGGTTGGAGGACGCGGTTGAATGGGCACAGTATTGGAAGATACTGCTCCGGAAGTACTAGCCAAGGCGGGTCTTGCGAGTCGCCTAGTAAGGGGACGCAGGTCACCATCATGGCGGCACGACTAGCTTTGAGTCGCAGTTGTGCTCTGCCTGCATCTGCTCGCAAAAGCTCGCTGGTCTCCTGCCGGAGGTGGTCCGGCAACACCGCAGACACTGTATACGATGTGGTGGTGTCGGGAGGAGGCATGGTGGGCGCTGCCATGGCCTGTGCCTTGGGTAAGCGCTTCTCCAGGCTGATAGCGGTGGGAACGAGGCGATGGGAATGGTCAGGGACATGACACTGCTTGTCCAAAGACTGAGTGGCCTGGATCTAGTAGTCCAATCCCTGCCCTAGAGGAGCCCTAGGACTCTCAGGCTGCGTTTGGTGCTTCAGAGCCTACAGGGTCAAAAGTGGGCGGGGCCTTGAGTCCCTCTAACAGGCAAGAAACACCTGCTCGGGTTAATTATGCTGTTGGAAGGCATCTGGAGTTCACTCTGAGCTACACGTTCTTTTCAAAACACCTTTATTGAGATATAATTAACCCACTATAAATTTCACCCATTTAAAGGTACAATTTAATGGTTTTTAGTATATTCGTAGAGTTGTGTAACCATCCTCACAATTGAGTTTTAGAACATTTTCATAACCCTGATAGAAAACTTGAAACCTTTCAGCAGTCTCTCCCCAATTCCTTAACCCTTTAGACCTGTTTTTAAAAATATTTAAATGGAATCTAATTAACATGTTTTCAAGGTAACACACATCCATACTCTCTTTCTTTTGAGGGCTGAGTGTAATACTCCGTTGTGTGTGTATAGGAGTGGGGGAATTAAGGCAGGGTCTCATTATGTAATGCAGGCTGGCCTAAGAAGTTGATCATGTTTTTTTCAATTTATATTTATTTCTGAGATTTCTCACTATGTAGTTTAGACTAGCCTTTTGAATGCAAAAGTTCTCCTGCCTCAGCCTCTTGAGTGCTGGGATTACAGGTATGTGTACCACACGTGGCTTTTTAAAATTTACTTTTTTGTATTTATTTCTGTTATGAAATTTTGTTTTATTTTTTCGTAAGATAAAAAATAAAGTTACAAATAAAAGGACAAATACAGTTCAAATACCAAAAAACAAAAACTTGATGGAAAAAAACAGAGCCTGATTACCTTGTTTTTCTCTTTAATATATTGTCCCATTTACGCAAATCTCAGCTGCGATTTCTATCTATGAGGTTGGCTAAAATTTTTTTAAACTGAAACAAAAAAATTGTACCTGTTAATGATGTATCATGTAATAGCACACATGAACCCTGCATGCTTACATCAGGTTAAACACTTATTTCTTTAAACATTTACAATTCCTTCATGTTGAAAAATTTCAAAACTCTTAGCTTTTTGAAATGGCCAGTAAATTGTTACCCCATTATGCAATTACATCCTCAATTTTTCTAAATTACATAAAATTTTTCTTTCTTTTTTTAGGACATGATATTCACTTTCATGACAAGAAAATCCTGTTGCTAGAAGCAGGTCCAAAGAAAGTACTGGACAAGTTGCCAGAAACTTACAGCAACAGAGTCAGCTCCATTTCCCCTGGCTCTGCAACCCTGCTCAGCAGTGAGTGGTGATCCTATGGAAGCCCAGCCCCCTTCTGGGCCTCAGGGCACGCCATCCCCAGAGCATCTGTGACGGGAAAACTCTTGTACAGTGAGGCTGGGATGTGGTGGGACTCTGGGGAAGCACCTTTGAGACCAGTGGGTCCATCGTGCACACCATAGTATTGCGGAACTGAGTCTGAATTAATTGTGAACCTTTACTCTCTGTTCCCAAATGGGCCCTCAGGTGGGCAAGGGATCCTGCAAGTTCCATACTTTCCTGGGGTGGAGGAGGGGTGCGGGAATGTGTTCACACAGAACCACTTAGCAGATTGCCTTGGGGTCTCTGCCGGATGTTACCCACCCTGTGTGGAAGCAATCTGTCTATTATACTCTTCCAGGACTTTCTAGCTCTGTATGCTGCTTTACTTTTTAATTCATGTTACTACTTGGTATGATATATTCGTCTTTTGATGTTCAGTTTCTCTAACTAGAAGGTCAGTTGCAGAAGACAGGGGTTCTTATATTGTTTTTGTGGCATAAGAAACCAAAAATGTAAATAAGGACCAAAATGTGTAATAGGTATTGTGAAATAGGAAGAAAACGTTCAAATGTGAGGAACAAGGGAGTGGGGAGGAGGAAAGGAAGAAAGAGAAAAGAAAAATTGAGAAAAGAAAGAAAAAATGAGGAGCTGGGGATTTAGCTCAGCGGCATAAGCACCTGCCTTGCAAGCAGGCGGTTGTGAGCAAGATCCCCAGTACCGATTAAAAAAAAAAAAATGTGACAAAGAAAAAAAAATGGAAACAAAGCTTTTGTAAATGGGGAAGGGGGAGGGGTTGAAGGGAGGGGAGGGAAATGAAAAAAGGTTATGTCACGTACAGATGCAAATCCTCTCTGATGAATGAGATCATTATGTACGTCTAAAATGTACACATAAGGCTGGTTATGTAGCTCAGTGGTAGAGCTCTTGCCTTGCATGCACAAGGCCCTGAGTTCAATCCCCAGCATCACAAAAAAAGAAAAAAGAAAAAAATACAAATAAAATCTGATTGGAGAAAAAAGACAGAGTTCTTAAGATAATGAAGAAAAGAATGATACGGCTTTGGTTTGCTTTTTGTTTCTCTTCTTATAGCATGATTTGACTTTTGGGGCCTTTTTCATTCCGCATATCAGGGAATGAGAGTAGAGTAGCTTAGCTCCTAGCACTGACAGGCTGCAAGCAGAGAAGGTTTTTCTGTCACAGGAGAGTATGGAAAATAACCTCTTACAGGCTGGAGAGCCAGACGGGGCACAGGCTGTCTGTGGGCTGGCTCCAATTACAGACCCTTTCTTTTGTAGGTTTTGGCGCCTGGGACCACATCTGCAACATGAGATACAGAGCCTTTCGGCGGATGCAGGTGCCTCTTCTACCTTGTTCTCTCTGGCGTGATGTCTTGGTCTGTCTTGTGTTAAGACCCTGGAGTCCCTGTTCTCTGTGTTTTCTGTGACTGTGGGAGGAATTAGACGAAGTTCACTTGCAGTCATGAAGGTGGGGTGATGCTGCGAAGCTTCTCACTTCACTCTGATGGTTGGCAACATGGTACTTCTTGTCACTTGGAAAAGCAATATTTAGTTTCTGATTAGAGTCATATTTCCTTTTCTTTGGCTTTAATGCAACTTTCCCTCTGTGTTTCCAGGTTTGGGATGGCTGCTCAGAGGCCTTGATAATGTTTGATAAGGTTAATTTAGATGACATGGGCTACATAGTGGAGAACGATGTCGTCATGCACGCGCTCACTAAGCAGCTGGAGGCTGTGTCTGGTATGTCACAGTCTCTTCCCTCTTCCGGTTACTCCCTGGGAAGTGAATTCCTTAGGGAAGGGAACTGCAAGAGAAGATTGCTTTTACAGACACTGAATGTCTGTCCTCAAGAAATCCTCTGGTTGTTACCTCCGGGTGGTGGGTTTTCTTTTTAACAGCTAGGTAGCTTGCTCCTCTCCTCTTCCTTTCCATTTTCTTCCCTCCCTTTTTCTAAGGATTGAACCCAGGGCCTTCACACTTAGCTACATCCATAGCCTGCCATCCTTTCCTATTTTTTGAGACAGGGTCTTGCTAAGTTCCCAAGGCTGAGTTTGAACTTGGGATCCTCCTGCCTTAGCCTCCCTGAGTGCTGGGATTATAATAAGCATGTGCCACCACCCGTCTCTAACCGTGTTATTTATGTACAATTTACACATCATAAAACTCACCCATTTAAGTGTATAATTCAGTGACTTTTAGTGTATTTCTTCAGTTGTGCAGCCATCACCCAAGTACCATTTTAGAACATTTCCTTCACCTGAAAAAGAAGCCTCATACCTAGTTAGAGTCATTCCGCAGCCCCACTCGCCAAGTCTGCCAACCACCAATGTGCTTTCACTATGCAGTTCAGGCTGGCCTTGAACTCACTGTGTAGCCAGGCTGGCCTTAAACTTGAGGCCTCAGCCTCCTGAATGTTGCCTCAACCTCTGGGGTGCTGGGATTACAGACATGTGCCACCAGGCATGTGTAATGTGCCAATTGTGGACAATTCATATGAATGGAATTATATAATTTGTACTAATTCATGTCAGACTTCTCTTGCTGAGTGTATTTTTGAGGTGTATCCACATTATAGCATGTGTCAGTACTTTGTCCCTTTATTCCTGCATAGTATTATAGCTGCATAGTATTCCATTGTGTGAATATACCAAATTTTGATGGACATTTGGGTCTTGGGTAGATACTTGGATTAGCATTGCTGGGTCGTATAATAACTCTAGATCTAGTATTTGCAGGAGCTGATAAACTGTTTTCTAAAGACTGCACCATTTTACCTTGCCACCAATTTATGAGCCTAGTTTCTTTATGTCTTTACCAATAATTATTTTCCTTTTTTTCTTTTCTTTATTATTAAGTTCGTGTGTGTGGGGCTGGGAGTTGAACTCCAGGACTTTGTAGGCAAGCACTCTGCCACTAAGCTATACTCTCACCCCCAACCCCTTTTGAAAAGTTTTATTTTGAGACAGTTTTTGTTGCATTGGCCAGGCTGGCCTGAAATAATGCAGCCCACCTGCCTCAGCTTCTCCAGTAGCCTGGATTACAGGCATGAGCCACACCATGCCCCGCTAATATTTACCTTCTTAGTTTACTTGTGATTGAAGAATATTTTGTTTTGTTTTGGCTAGGTTTTGCAGTGTCAGAAATCTAGGCCAGTGTGTATACCAGGCAAGCGCTCTACCTCTGAGCCAAACCTTACAGCTC